CTCTACCTGCCTGCCTGCCTGTTCTGTTCTATGATGGATAGATGATGGGATGGTATATGGTATGGGCTCGTTGCACCGTCTGTCTGGCCGTCCGTCTCTAGGTAATTCCCCCGTCTACAATACAAAACTCCCGGTATGTAGATAGCCGCCCGCTCCCGCCACACACAAACACACGTACATACACAGACACACACGCACACACGCACGCACACGCACCAGTCAGACCAGCAGGCCAGCCCCGCGCACACGCTCGGGCGCCCCGAGACGGTGCGAATGCCGGGCGCTTCTAGAAGGCGCGCTCGGCCAGGCCGCGCAGGGCCGTGTGTCGAGGTAAGTCTTGCGCCGTGACGGGGCTGGCTGGCCAGTGCGAGGACGCGGGCGAGCGGACGTGCGGGACGTTACGGATGTGCGGGACGTTACGGACGTGCATGCGTGCGAGCGAGCGTGCGTGCCCGCTCTCACTGCAAGTCAGCCTGCTCGGGGACGATGGAGTTGAGGCGGCCCTTCTCGAGCGCGGCGCGCACGTTGCCGATCGTGAACTCTTCCATGGCGGTTTGGGTCTGCGGGGGGAGGAGCGCGAGCGCGGCACGGTCAGCCGGTGGCCAGCGCGGGCAGGGTAATATGCCCAAAATAAAACAAAATGAAGCGCGCGCCCACGTGGCGACGACGAGGGGGAGGGGGAGGGAGCAAAGGCAGGGGGGGTGCTCTTCTTAATCTCCAGCACGGGCCGGAAGGGGCGGGGGGGTATATGTGCCGTGGGGGAGAAGGGGAGGGACCTACCTCGACGGTCCAGGTGCCCATGTGCGGCACGAGCATGACGTGCGGGTTGGCGACTAGGCCGGGGTGCACGGCGGGCTCGTCCTCGTACACGTCCAGGCCGGCAGACCAGACGTGCCCGCTGTCGAGGGCGGCAACGAGGGCGGCCTCGTCCATTACGGCGCCGCGGGCCGTGTTGACGACTATGACGCCCGGCTTCATCTTGGCGAATTCGGGGCCGGAGATGATGTGGCGGGTGTTTTTCTACGCAATTTTGTCGTCAGTTATTGCGGCTGTGTTGTGTGCTTTGTTTTTGCTATTTTTGGCTAGGCCGCCATCTCCGTTGTTCCGCCGACAGGAATTGGAGATTGGGATTGAGGAGTTGGGTTATTGGGGTTAGGGAATAGGAAAAGGGGAAGGGATGCGGAGGGAGGATGCTTACGTTCAGAGGCAGGTTCAGACTGATGACGTCGCTAGTCGACAGCAGCTCGTCGAATGTCACATACTTTGCGCCGCCAGCCAGCTCGTCGCTGAGCTGCTTACGGTTGTGATAGATGACCTTCATGCCAAAGACCTCGGCCTTCTTCTTCAGGTTGCGCCCAATGCCGCCCATGCCGAGGATGCCGAGCGTCTTGCCCTCGGGGTCGTGGCCGAGCGGCGGCGCTGGGTTACCGCGCCACTTGCCCTCGCGCAGCGCCTGCATGGACGTGTTGAACCCGCGAAGCGTGCCGATGATCAGGAACATGTTCACGTCGGCTGTGGCGTCGTCGACGAGCGTGGGCACGTTGGACACCTTGATGCCCCGGGTCGTGCAGGCGTGCACGTCGACTTGGTCATAGCCGGCTCCTGGACGCGGTCAGTGTTGGCTTCTCGAACGTTTAACATGCCCGAGATCCGCTATCTAGATGTTCCGGGGCTGGAAGAGCTTGGGTTCGAATGGATAGGCGCAGGAATGGTGTTTCCGCGGCTTGTGAGCAGGAAGAGCTTTGCCGACTGAACAGCATATCGAGCAGAGACGTGCTGCTACCGACTTCCTTCGTTTGTTTTCTCCCTGCATGGCATCTCTCGCCTGGCTCTTTTCCATATTGACCATTCATAACCGCAAGCATCGGTGACCATTGCATGTGACTCGAAACGCATACAGGACATAACAGAAGAAAAAACTTACCATTGTGAGCGATGAATTTCAAGCTCTCCGGAAACACATTAACCAGTTCCTCATCCACCAGGCCGGTGATTTGAACGCTGCCAAACGTGCGGTACGCTGCAACGACGCCGTCCAGCTTGCCGCTCTTGCACTCTTCGATGAACTCGGCCCGGTTCTTGGCCTGCGGGGTAACAAGCTCCGCAATGTCAGAGAGAGCCTCCCACGTCTTCTTGGCGCTATAACACGGTTAGCTATGCAGCGCTGGAACGCATCTGGGGCAAGGACGCCATGCGAGACGTCGACGCGACAGCCTGGCGTGACCTCGCATGTGAAGAGTATCAGGCGGGGGATGGTGCGACGTACTGATCAAGGTTACCCAACAGAAGGGCCTTTGGCTTGCTCATCTTGCTGCTGGCGTGAAGAAACTTGACGTTGAACCGAGGTGCGAAAGCTGAAGCTGATGCTGACGGGCGAGGAGTGCAGGAGAAGCTGAGGTTAGGGCGCGACAGGCGAATGGCAGAGGAGGTATTAATGCGAGAGAAGAGGCGGAAGGAATACATTGGATGGTGACTCACCAACCCCACGAAGACGCGATGGTGATGCGGTGGGAAAGCGGGGATGAATCTCGGGCTTCTTCAGTCTGCCCCACACTATTTACGTAGCCTCTGATTGACGGGTGCCCCTCCGGTGAGAGAGATCGGGTTTCGGCTGACCAGCCGACGACGACAATGTGCAGGATGCGGGATGCGGGATGCGCTCCGACAATGATAGCATCTGATGAGAGAAGTACCGTCTGCTATTTGTATGGACGCATGCTATCATGGCTCCACCAGGGCCGACGGCATCCGTCTCAGTACCGAGCAGTCCCGTTCACACCAGATGAGCACGATAGCTGAGCACGCCTACCATTACGAAGCAGAGCGGTCCCGACGCCGATACCGCTTTCGTGCAACCCTTCCGCCGAGGAGCCTGTCCGCTTTCCTAACTGGGTATACATATCCATCGGGAGGTAGTTACGCACACCACGAATTCATTCCTATCACCGTCTTATCTTCACAGCGTAATCACCAGGCACGAACAATCCACTGCAGGAGCACATGCATACATTCTTGCTGCACCTCCATAAACACAACCGTGGTATCCAACAAAGAGAAACCCCTTCCTATCACAGCCAGAAACATGTGCGCAACGCCTATTCTTATACCATTTTCCCCAGCCACGCCCCAGGTCACTTTTTCTACACACCGCCTTACTCCGAATCGTCGCCCTCGAGCAGCTTCGCGTAGTCCTCGGCGCTCGCAAACGTCGGCAGGTTCTTGAGTTTCCTCTTCTTCTTCTTGTCGTCGCCTTTCCTCTTCTTGCTCGGCCTCTCCTCCTCACCCTCCTCCTCGCCCGCGCCGAAGCCCTCAAAGTCGCTTGGCAGCTCCTCGTCGGAGCCCACAAAGGCGCCTTCGTCGCCGTCCTCCAGCGCAGCCGCGTCGAACCCGTCATCAGATTCGGCGCCGGCATCCTCTGCCATGTCTTCGTCTTCTGAGGGTGCGTCGCCCATGTTGATCTCGACGCCTTCGTCCTCGCCCATGTCCATGTCCTCATCGTCATCGTCGCCCATCGCCTCTTCCAGCTCGCTCAAATCCTCATCGTCCTCGTCCGCATCACCTTCAATCTCCGGCCTGCTGCCCACAAGCGCCTTCCAGATCTCTCCCTCCTCATCCTCGCTGCCCTCATCGTCTGCTGCCTTCTTGGCCTTGTTTTTCTTCTTGTCTGCTGCCGCACGCTTGCCACTCTTCTCGAAGTACTGGTGGAAGAAGACTTCGTCGGCACCAACGTCCTCAATACGCTTGCGCCAGAACTTCTCCGAGTTGAGCGGTGCTTCCGTCCGACCACCATCCCGTGATTTGATGAGCAAGTCAGCCGTGCTAGCGCCGGCCATAGGTTGCATGATACTTGCGCCCTTGCCGACAGACGTCTTCTGCTTAGCGTTGCGGTAGGCGAATCGGTCGAGGAAGTGCATGAGGGTGTGGAGGGTCGGGTCAGGCTTGGGCGGCATTTCCTCCTGGTTCAGAAGGCGAGAAGCGAAGAGTGAAACGGAGGGGTGGAAATGTTGCGGGAAGGGAAGAATGTCCCACAGGCAGGCGAGGTCAGCATTTGTATGCTCGGGGTCGCGTTTGCGACCATCATATCGCGGCGCTTCTGAAGTTGGTGCAGCAACTTCTCTCGAGGCGGCTGCATTCTCCGCCGCCGCGCCGTCGGTTTCGCCATCTTCAGGAGCGTCAACAAAGTGCTCCTCCTCATCGTCCTCGGTGACCTCAGGGGTGGCAAGCATAATCTTGATGCTAGGGAAGGTGGTCTGCAGCTCGGCGATGAGATATAGCACACCACACGCAAAGGGGGCCTCGTGGAGTGTGATAATCTGCAAGAGACGTTTGACAAAGGCCTTGACGCGCTTGATGCTGACATCCGCCTTCAACGACTTGTACAAAAGGTTGAGATACAAGATCTGCTTTGACGAAGTCAGTAGACGGGGGTCCAGCAACGACTCGTACAGTGTCCGGTAGAATCGGTCGGCGGAGAAGTGCTTCGTCGAGGAGATCTGCTGGATAAGCATCAGGGCTTGGATGCTGGTGTTGAAGTTGGACGAATGCGTGACGCGGAAAATAGTATCGAGCTGGTTTTCGAAAGTAGCGTCGTCGGTCTTTGCGTAAGGGAAGGCGCGGTTAACGCCAGTCAAGACTTGAGCGATGATCTTGTCGTTAAATTCCACATCCTTCGCATCGGCATTCTCTTGCGCCTTAGCCTTTGCTTTTGCCTTCTGCTGAGCCTTCTTCCCGGCCTTACCGCCACCACCCTGTTGGCTTTGCTTCTTCTCCTCTCCCGGCCTTGGTGATTGCTTGAGCAAAGCAAGGAAGATGCTGAAGTAGATTTCCAGTAATTTGTTTGCCACCTCTTGCTCCTTCAGGCTCAAAATCGTCTGGTTGAGGGTGATGATAGCGTAGTATCTCGCATGCGTGCTCTGGCCCGGCCGGAAAAGGAGGTCGGATTCAATCGCACTAATCACAACACCTTTCATGACCGGATGGGAAATCTGCAGCTGGAGAAGCAGATAGGACGCCCGCGACGCGATTTTCTTGTCCGTGTCACCGAGCTTGTTGATGAGAAGCCTAAGCAAGTTCTCTTCCTGTTCCGGCTTCTCCTTTAGCAGTTCCCAGACCATGGTGATCGCCCGGCTCCGCGCATACGGCACTTCGTCGTTACACCATCCTTCAAGCACCTTGAGCAGGTCAAAGTATGTCCGCTTCAGCCAGTCCTCGTATGCCCAGGCCACCAGATGCGCATCGTCGACTCCGGGAGGCAAACGGTCACCACTCTTCCAGTTGGCATTCTTGCCCGAGAAAACACTGAGAAGACCCGGCTGCTTCAGGAAGGATCTCAGTTTCCGGTCTGGCGGCAACACAACACCTGCACCAAGCAAATCTTTCAACGCACCCAACGCCATAAGTGCCTGGTTCCTACTCTTCTTCTTTGACATTCCCAGTAAGTTTTCAAACGCCTTCACATTGTGCAGAGGCGATTCCTGGATCAGCAAGGTCAAAGCAGAGACCTTATCCTCGAGGGTACCCGAAGCCATGATAGTCGACAAGAACTTGTGCGAGGAGTCGGCGGCCATGTTTTTGGAAGAATAGTTGGAGTTCTCGGCGTCCAGAAGGGAATCGGCATATTGTTGGAGCTCTTCAAGCACGGCACGAGAGGGCGGTTTTTCGATCTGATCCGGTACGGGAAGAGTTGGGAGTTCGGCGGTGTGCCAATCGGGACGCGGTTGGAAAGCCTGGAGGTGACTATGAGCATTTGCGCGATCAGAGCCGGGCGGAGCAGCATACCAGAGCCTTCTTCTCCCCGTCCATGGCAGGCTTCCTGCCGCGCGGGCCGTCATTCCTGCCTTTATAGCCATTCGCCTTGTGGTTCGAGGGCTTGTTTCCACGGAAGCCCTGGCGGGCCTCGGAGGCGGTTCTCTTGGTGCCCATGGTTGGAGTCTGGCGAATGTATGGCTGGGCCTGTCACGGTCCCTCGGGGTTGAGAGAGCTGTCGCGAACAGTGATAGATAGCCCTGGTCAGAAAAAATCGCGCCAAGCTTTCGGCCATCGGCAGCTCGGCGCATTGTCCCCCGCGTTAAGCAATTCGCCTGCCCCTCCATTCAATTGCGCACGAAGAGTCATACAAAGTCTCTCTCTACTCTCTGGAAATTTGCGCTTCAATCGCCATGGCTGAGAACACCAAAGTCTCCATCACTCCGCTTCTAAAGCGCCTCTGGCCGGATCTGCCTGTTCCCAATGCCGAGCCAGTCACTGCCAGCGAGATCGCCCTGGCCATCTCGCACATCTTTACCAACAGCCTTTCACCGGTCCAATGCGGCGCGCTTTTGACTGCGCTGCACTTCAAGGAGCGTGATCGCCAGGCAGATGTCCTGTTCAAATGCGCCGGCGAGATGCGCAATGCCGCCGTTCCGGTGGATAAGAAGGCGCTGCGCGACGTGCTCAGGAAGAATGCTCGCAAGGAGGGAACCTACCGCGGTGGGCTGGTATGGTATGCCCGTTGAATGCTCACGTTGTGGGAAGACACGGACAAGGGTGCTGATTGGCCTATGACAGTGCGACATAGTCGGGACCGGCGGCGATTCGCACAGCACCTATAACGTGAGCACTACCTCGTCGATCATAGCATCCTCCCTCCTCCGCCTCAGCAAGCACGGCAACCGCGCCTCGACCTCCAAGTCCGGTTCCGCGGACCTGCTCGACAACACCCAGCCTCGTGCCCCCGTTCTCAGCGCCGTCGCGCCCGATACCCTGACTGAAATTTACGATGCTACCAATTACGCCTTCCTCTTCGCACCCGTCTTCCATCCCGCCATGAAGTACGTTGCGCCTATCCGTAAAGAGCTGGGCTGGCGCACCATCTTCAACCTGCTGGGCCCTCTGACGAACCCCGTGGAATCATTGATTGAGGCGCGCCTCCTCGGAGTTGCACGTCGCGACGTTGGGCCCGTGTACGCGGATGTGCTGCGCATGGCAGGCGCGAAAAAGGCGCTTATTGTTTGTGGTAACGAGGACCTGGACGAGCTGAGCTGTGCGGGACCTAGCCAGGCTTGGATGCTGAAGGAGAGACCCAACCCCGAGTTCCGGGGCCCAAAGGACGAGGAGGACGAGGAATACACCACGTCCGACGACGATGCGCCCCCGCGCACATTAGTCGAATATGAGCACTTTGAGCTCGCGCCCGAAGACTTTGGCCTTCCGCGTCACCCGCTCAGTGAGGTCAGCCCGGGTAAGGAGCCACATGAGAATGCGGCCATCTTGATGAAGATTCTCCGCAATGAGATGTCGCCCGATAACCCGATTCTGCACTTTGTGCTCATCAACACTGCCGCGCTTTTCGTCGTCAGTGGTGTTTGTGAGGCGGACGAGAGCAGCATGGGCCCCGGCGATGATGGTAAGGTCATTACGGAAAGGGGCCCCGGTGGGGGAAGATGGAAAGAGGGTGTCAGGAGGGCGAGATGGGCCATCGAGAGTGGAGCGGCTCTCAAGCAGTGGGAGGCATTTGTGGACGTTACCAACAAGGTCAAGGGAGCATAAAAAGAGGGCGAGAAGGAGAGAAATAAAACATGTCGCCTGGTGCGTAGAGCTAGGGGAACGACGTCGGTGATTTTTGGACCAAGCCGTATTCCGGCTTGGAAGAGACTGATATTTAGGACTGAGTCCAATAACCTTTCGGCTTTCCAATCAACACGGTATCAATCCACATGAGTGCTCTGGATGCGACTGACCACAACCTCGAAAGTCTAGCTGATCCACAACAGCACTTAGTTGCAACGAGCGTTTACCTATCAAGTATCTAGTAAAATGTGACCCAGACCCTCCTGGTCCATTCAATCGCAGAGCCACGCTGAGGAAGCGGTCTAATTGTGTTTGTCAGGACGGGGTCTGTCTAACGACTAAAACAGGTAGGTACATGTAATAGCACTGCAAACGGAGTTAAGGGCGGACATGGACACGGACTTAGTAGTGTTCGGACTTTGGCGTCATGGTGTCATTCAATGGAAGAGTAACGGACTTTATATAAATGTCGACGAGCAGTATTCCAGTTGCTATCAGCGTCACTGTTAACACTACCAGCACTACTATCACGCCTAACTCCAAACCCAACTCCCCCAAACACCAGACAATACTCAACACAACTACTACTATCATTACCACCACCAAAATGTCCATCCTCCTTACCGGCGGCACAGGCAAAGTGTCTCTCCGCCTCTCCCAACTCCTCTCAAGCACCACACCACCGACCCCCCACCTCATCGCCTCCCGACACGCCACAACCACGCCGTCGACGCTGCCCTCCGCGCTGCCCGTCCCCTTCGACTGGCTCGACCCCGTCACGCACAGCATGCCGTTCAAGGCCGCCGCGGCCGCGGGCCTGCCGCCCATCGAGGCGGTCTCGCTCGTCGCGCCAGCGGCGCCCGAGCCCTCGACGCTGCTGATCAAGTTCGTCGACATGGCCGTCAGGGAGTACGGCGTCAAGCGGTTCTTGCTGATTGCCGGCAGCTCTGCGGAGCTGGTGGGAGGGCCGAAGCAGGGCCTGGGCGAGGTGTGGGCGCGGTTTCTGGAGCTGGCGAAGGAGCAGGGGGTCGGGTTTTGCGTGCTGAGGCCTACTTGGTTTATGGGTGAGTGGTGCTGCGTTTCTTTGGTGTTTTCCCTTCTTGGGGGCTTGTGTGTGCGTGAAAGGGTCATGGAAGGCTGATGATACGGTGCTTGGTGCAGAGAACCTCTCCGAAGAAGGCCAGCGTTACGCCATCCGCGACCACAGCAAAATGTACACGGCCTGCGCTGACGGCAAGATCCCCTTCGTCAGCGCGACAGACATTGCTGCGGTGGCGTTCCGCGCCCTGACGGACCCCGTCCCGCATAACACTGACTACCGGGTGCTGGGGCCCGAGCTATTGACCTACGACCAGGTAAGTGTTTGATTTTCTTCTCCTCACCACAACATATACCCTTCTTCCCTTTCTCCTTCTTCTTTTTTTCTTCCTCCACTTCCCTTCCTATCTATCCCCCGGCCTCCCCCAAACCACACATCTAATGCCCCCTCCCCAGATCGCAGCCAAGCTCACCAAGGCCCTGGGCCGCCCAATCACGCACGTGAAGCTCAGCCCCGAGGAGCGCAAGCAGCAGCTCATGGGCTTCGGACTCGAGGAGCACTTTGCGCGCTTCCTCACCGACCTGGAAGCCGATGCCGCAAAAGGGGTCGAGGCGCGCGAGGGCGACGCCGTGCTGAGGGTTACGGGCAAGAAGCCGGTTACGTTTGATGAGTTTGCCGAGGAGGTGAGGGAGGCTTGGGTGAAAGATGTGTAGTGAGTGGGTCTGTGGGTATGGGAATGCGTGCGTATATAATGAGTTTTACGCCCTCAGTGCCACGATATCAAGCATAATCAATGCCGAATTAAACACCACTCAACAAGTAAAGACCCAAATCTGAAATAGTCCTAACTTAGCAAAGCACCTAATGGTATCTAAAATTGCAAGCAGCTCACAAACCAAATCCACCAAACCATCAAGCAAACTCACTCAACTCCCTTCCATACACACACACACAAGCTTCGCCCCTACACACCTAAAACAGATCCCTCAAAATCCTCGCCAGCTCATCCTCCTGCCCAAACACACTCTGGATCATCTCCGCCCCCGCATTCGGCCCTCCCTCCCCGCCACTCGCACTCACCAAATACCCATTCTGCGGCGCAAACCCCGTGCTGGCCGAGAAGCCGCCCGCCGCCTCAAACAAGCTCGTCAAATCATTCGCCATGCCGTTCGGGCTGTCGCCATGGTGCGGCGCCGTCGCGGACGCCGCTGTCGCCGCCGCCACCGCAGAGGAGCTTGCAGCAGCCGACGCAGCCGGCGGGATGTTGCCGCTGGCGCTGGCGCCCTGCGTCGTACCGCTGCCGTTTGCGGGGCCCCGCGCGCCGCCGGCGCTGCTGCCGAACAGCACCATTTCGTCCATCGGATGGCCCGCGAGGCCGGCCATGGCGACCGCGGCCGACGAGTGCGGGTCGCTGGGGTCGACGGTGGTGCCGTTGCCTTGGTACGCGCCCCGCACGTTAAGGCCCAGCTTGGGGCCGACCTCTTTCAGGACCTTGATCGTGCGCCATAGGCGCTTGCTGACGTACGAGTTTGCGGATAAGCCGCGCACGAGCTCCAGCGCCATGTAGAACTCGTCGCGGCAGGATTCGCTGAATTGGGCTGGGGCGTGCGAGACGGCGAGGAAGAGGACGGCGAGCGCGGAGATTAGGAAGTAGTTGAACATGACTTGGTGGCTGCGGTAGATGTCGGTTGTTTGGTTCGTGTGCGTCAGCACGTTGATGGTGTCTTTGGCTACGTCTACGACGGTTTGCGCCGAGTTCATGTCTTCCATGATCGAGGTTGCTGTGTGTAGCACGGGACGATAGAGCAGTATCCGCATCTGATTTGCCCGGAGGTAGAGGAGGATGCGGAAGCGGTGTATGCTGCGAGTGACTGGTTGGCGATCTTGAGGATTGTTGGAAGATGGATGGACGTATTTAAGGGCAGTCGGTATGGAGCGATGCCACTGGATGATCTGGTAATCAAGGTAGCCAATCTCTTCTTTGCTGATGGATGAGTTGTCGCTGTTTGCCACGGACTTCCACACTTTGGATCCGAGGTTGCTGTACGTAACCATGCAGTTTAGATAAGGCGTCGAGTTGTCCTGCGAGACGTCAATCACTGTACTCGAAATAGACATAGGAATGCTATTTGTCAAAATACCGGTTTTGGTAGCTGAGGATCGATATCTGCATCCTCAAAAGCCAACGGCATACCCGTGCCGAAACTCCACCTCCTATCCAGGACATAGACAGACCAGAACAGCCGGATTGCAGCAGAGCGCTCATCCTCTTCGGCAAAAATGGCATTGTAAGTTTCGCGGCGGTGTAGGCCAAGTTCCATACATAAACGTGCCGCGAGCCCAATGATGCGCCATGCCATTGCCTCTTCATCCTTGTGGAAATGATACATGGCCTAGCAACTTATTAACAACAAAAGGGCCGGCTCATGGTTACAGTCCACTTACGCTGATTGCGAGCATTTGAATACCGGCTACACTAACAGGTGCCAGCAAGACGCCTTCGACCTTTGACCGGACGCTGTCAAACATGGCCGTGCCCAGCTCACACTTGCCACTGCCCTCGAGTATCAGCGCAGTAGCGAGCACGAGTTTGAGGATAATAGTTCGCTCGTCACTAATCGTATCAGCACCAGGAAGGGATATTTCAACAAGCCTTGTCCTGTGTGCAGCCTCCATGAAAGTATAGAGGAGGGTCGTATGCTGTGTGATTTGCCGAATCTCCAAAACCGGATACATCAAGCCCATTTCTTCATGCCATACATGGCACAGCCGAACAGCCTCGTCCTTGTTCATCGCCCACATGGGGTCCTTCGACGTGTGTAGCACTGGCTGGTCCACATGAGCGCTTGGGGGCGGCGCCAACGGTGGAAGCGGCGGGCTGCCCATGGGTGTAGGGTCCGTAGTGAATGCACTGTCTTCGCCGGCATCGTCTGGTCCAGTGATCCCCATACTCTGTAGACTTGTTTTGGCGACTCCAAAGTTGAATGCCGAGCTTGTGGGGCCGTGAAATCGGGGATGCTTCGCGGGCTGGTTGGCTCGACCATTGGGCGGCGCACCAGTACCAGAGGCCTGAGAGATGGACAGGGAGCGTGGGTATTGCTCGTTTGGGAACGGCGAGGCATTCGAGGATATTGTACCGGTTTCGACATGGTTACGGAGGCTGCTTAGGTTGTTGAAGAGGGTGTCGACTTGTGCTTGCAACGACGCTATATGCGCATCCATTCGTTTGAAGTCACTAGTGCATGTCAGCACCCCAACCCTGGTCAAGGAAGCACACAGTCGTACTCGGTATCTTTGAAATTGTTGCAGCAGTTCGGCGCATAGAGACATTCCAGTTGGAGGTTTCCGCACCGCTGGCACGGCGTCTGCCCATTGCATTTAATCTTACGCCTGCCAACGCGTTAGCGCATCTGTCTTCGGCAATGCTCGAGTGTCTGGCGCACCTCTTGCACTCGTTGCACGCGATTGAAATGTACCGGTTCCTCTTGGCTCTTTGCTGCGGTGCACCGTCGGGGCCGTCTTTTCGCTTGTTCGAGGCGTCTCCGGGCGGCGAACCCCCGTTGACGGGGGGGCTATGGCTTGCGAAGCCGTTGCTACTCATGTCGGGAGCACGAAGACGGACGTGCGATGCGGCGATGGGCGTCAGGTGTTGGGATGCATTGCGCGCGTCTTGGGGTGTGGCCGACTTGACTGATCTCCTCCGGGAGTTGGAGTTTGGCTCCGTCGATTGCGGGGAAGACGGTCAGCGTCATTGGTCGGACCTTTTCCGATGACATGTTCAGGGTCCTCCAACGTCAGGACTTGCAATCGGTCCATATATAGGTATAGCTGTAACCTCACGTTGCTCGCATTCACCATGTGCTGCTAAACTTTCACATGCTGAGGCGTTGATCCGCCATCCAGTCCAACACCAATCTTCTCTACGCTATGCCGAGCCAGTCATGCCCCAACTCACAACGAGGTCACCCTTAAAGCACTGATGAACCGCCCTCCGATGCCCCTCGCCATGTTCATCGCTTCAGACAGTACGCCAAAGAGTCCAAGTTTCCTCTGGCGTGCTTTGACAACCCCAAGCACAACAACCACCATGGCAGCCAGACGAAGACCTCTCTGTACGTACAGCTTCAGTAGCCCCTTGCGAGTGTACTCGATCTTCCAATCCCACCATGCTGGGAACATGCATCTGAGCATAAACCAGATCTGGGTGTAGCTGTATGATAGAGTCAGTAACGAGCACTCTAGTCGTTCAATAGGGCACAACTTACGGATAGACAGTCGAGTTCCAACCGGTCGTCTTGTCAACGTACCAGCTATTACATCCGTCGTTCCAAACCCTGTTCTTGAGGCTCTTCTGGAGATCCTGCGTAAAGGCTACTTCCGCCTCCTTCTTGACTTCAACCGTGGTTGCATCTCCATCCAAGATCGGCTTGACGAACTTCAGCGCATAGTTGACCATGTTCTCCGTTGCCATGATGACGGAGGTGTGTCCGGTAGCAGTATTGGGGCCGAATATGATGAAGAAATTGGGGAAGCCGTCCATTGCCGTGCCTTGGTAGGCTTGCGGCCCGCCGCGTTCCTCCATCAGTTCGACAAGATCTTTACCGCCCTTCCCGACAACTTTCAGTGGGTGTAGCCATCTGGTGACATCAAATCCGTTCGCAAGGATTATGGCGTCTGCCGGAACCTCTCTCTGTGCCGTCGGCGCTTTCGAGTCTGCAACGTCGAGTTTAGGATAGGCACGACCTGGGCCGATGGTTACGCTACGCTCCTGCACGCTTGTCAACGGCTGCGTCGTGAGCTCGACCTTTGGATCTTGCAGCAACGGGAGCCATGAGGCGTCGTAGATGCGTCTCTTGCAACCAATCCCATAGTCGGGAGTGAGGATCTCGTGATACTTCTCCGGAACCACCTTCTTCAAGTGCTTCAACGATTCTCCTTCGACTTTACTTCTCTCCTTTGCGCTCCATTCGCCCATGTGGAAAAGGCGCATGTCATATTCGGCGCCAGCGGCGATGAGAGTCCGGAAGAACTTGTTTGTTACGGGAACCGTGGAAAAAAGAAACGGGCTCCACTTATTCCACCAAGCGTCACCGAATGGAGGCGTTGGACGAGGAACAACCCATGGTGGCGAGCGCATGAGCTGAGTGACAGACTTGGCACCATGGGTTGTCGTAAGCTGAGGCACAAACTGGGCGGCGCTACAGCCAGTCCCGACAACGACAACGTCTTTGTCTCTGATATCGAAATTGTGGTCCCATCTGGCTGAGTGGAAAATCGAGCCCTGAAACCTCTCCTTCCCAGGGATATTGTCTGGCCACCCTCGAGGTTCGACAAGGCCGCCAACAGCGCTCAGTACAATCTTGGCCCTCACAAACTCATGGCCCACATACACGCTGCTCTCACCTTTCTCTCCTATGATACGGTCCCGATCTTTCACGCCTAGGTCGCCTAAGCCTTGGGCCATGTACCGGAGTTCAACCTCCCATAGCTGCTCGTCTTCGAGCCATCGACAGCCCATGACGTCGGTGTTAACCTGGACCTTGTCGGTGATGGCATACTTCTCGCAGACGCGATGCAGATATTGCACAATTTCCTCGCCGGACGGGAAGAACTTTGACCACTGGAGGTTCGGCGAGAAAGAGAAGGAGTAGAATATGGCTGGCCTGTCCCACAAGATTTAGCTGCGTCATGCACTATAAGGTCCTCGGTAGCGTCAATAAACTCACACGTCGCAGGAAACGCCAGGGTATCTGTTGATCCACCAACTGCCCACTAGTCAGCCACCAAGCTAAGGGCGAAGCCGTATGCGCGATCAAGGCTCTTACGTGCCACCGATCCCTCCCTGCCTCTCAAAGATGCGGAACTGATCGAATCCCAGCACCTCCTTGAGCCTGCAGCCCATGGCTATGCCGGACTCGCCCGCGCCGATAATGACGACGGGGTAGTACGTGTAGGCATCTTTGCCGTATCCGTTGGCTCTGCGAATGGCTTCACGCATGTCTTCGATATATCAAGCGCAGTAGCAAGACCGAGAAGGAAGAGAGAGTTAAATCTGGGTCTTTCGAGATGAGCGGGAGCGGAAGGGAGGAGAGGCAGCTGCCCGAGGTAACCAGTGGCTTAGTTTACGTGCGACCCCAACCGCGTCCGCAATACTGCAAGCGGGCCCCATCTGCCCACCTCTCCTATCAGGACATGCGGCTCCGAAGCTCTCCGGTATGATTATCTACGAGGCGGCGGCCCAGAAGGCCAGAGATCACTCATTCGGATCCTGGATTGGGGCGGTACAGCATAGCGGCCGCGGCGGCTTGGCCACGGCCCACGAGGGGATGCGGCTGCGAAATGCGGAGTAAAGTTGGGGGCAGGAGGCGGAGCTGGAACCAAGGTGGAGTGAGTGGATTGCCGAGTGCGTGCAATGTCGTTCAACATCGGCTATGCACTTGCCCTCTTGGAGCACTCAAGCTTTGCGCGGATGCTGCTTGTGGGGATCCGCCGACGTCGCCAGCGGGTGTGCCCTTTGTGCTCCACGTAAAACGTCTCGAGACTCGGCTATTGACAGGAATGCGTGTAGTCGTTATCCTATCGCCCCCGCAACCCCTCGCGATAGCTATGCGGGGCGCAGAGCTCCACCGGAGTCTGAACGGGCGGGGACCGGAGGATATACCCTTTGCGGCGCCTTGCTGCGACGGCGTCTGCATCATGATGATGAGCGGCGGCCCACCGACAAGGAGCGGCAAGCACCAAGCACTGCAGCAGCGGCAGGGGGCCTGCAAAACACAAAACTGGCGCATCCCGAACGCGCGGTGTGTAAAAATGGCAACGCCCCGGGGATCGTCTGAAACGATCCGGGATCCTCAGCTAAACTAACGGCTGTCTGCGGATGACGCCCGTTTTTCCTTTTGATATCTCGCAATCCGCTCCAACCGGGTCTCGTTGCCCCAGCCCCCGTTGCGTTACAGTCCCGTTCCTTGGGCAACGATTCACCTGGTGCGAGGGTGCAGAAATGGTCCCAGACGACGGATGTTTGCGCGTGGCCTAGGTAACCTGCTCTATTGCGTATTGCATACCTATATGCTTCCTGCATGGTCGAGCTCTCAATCATTGGTGGCCTCGAACGCCGTCCAGACCCATCATCCCTGCCCTTCTATCCCAAACCAAAGCAGAAGCAGGAAAACCGGGAGAAAAGAGAGAACTTGCTTTGGATTGTGAATCCAAGACCTTATTTCGTGCACTAACACACGCCTCTTGGTCTCATGCCATAACGCAGATTGCGCTCAATGCAATTGCTTCCGTCCCAAAAATCAAAGAAACGCAGCAAGATTGTACCATTTCCCAATGCCTCTGCCATTACCGCAAGGAAAAGTGTTTGACTTAAGAAAATAAAAACGGAAAGACGATCCTGGCGCGCCGATGCTTTTGCCCTAAAGTTACACCGGACCGGCCTTCCAGAGACAGACCCAGTTAATGCTGCGAGAAGACAAGGGAAAAGACATGCCATAGTAAAAACCCGCTCAAATGCTCCGAAAGGCGCCTAGAGGAAAATCAAGAGAATAAGTACAAGTGAACGTTCCGTCGGAATGTGGGTATTGTGGCCTGAACGCGCCATCTAAACTAGCCAAAAAAAGAATCTTTCTTGCCCACAATCATCAGAGCTCCATTTGCAGGAAGCCATGACGTGATTGGGGTGTGATGAGGAGACATGAGCAAGGAAGGGCCCATGTCACCGGCGAGTCGTCCCACTGATTTTTCACATAACCGTCATTAACTTCATCGGCGTGACCAATTCGTTTTCTTTGGATTGGAGGTTTTCAGTGGAAAGTTCGAAACGAGAAAGTCGGCTCCTGCGGGAGGAGGGTGATCCGTCGACCTGGTCCTTGAAAATGTTCAAGGTAGGGTCGGGGTATATAGGGCTCGCGATGGGGCTTGAATAGAGGTGCTCGGTCTCCCGTACCGCCTCTTTCGCCCTTCGCGTGAGCCCACTGACGTAAGGAACGATGTGCTTTAAAGTAGCCGTATCGAAAGGAAGTTTCTTTGCTGGGGTAGCAGACTGCGGTGAGAGAGGATTGGGGCCGTTCTTGCGATTCTGCAGCGCCTCAATGACGGAGCGAGCAATGGCTTCTGAATTTTTCCGGGGACGGTTTGCGAGAGGCGGCACATCTTGCGACGTTGGCGTATCCGTGGAAGGGCAGCTAAAAATGTCCTCGGTTAGACCCAGAATCGATTTTCGCCTTCCGCTGCGAGCACTCTGAGAAAGGGCAGGCGACCCGCCATTGCCAAAACTCTCTCGCCGCGCCCGTAGCACAGAGAAGCTTTTCTGGCAGTTGAGAGATGGCGCAGCCGCAGGATCTTCATCAAAGGCACCGACATCAAAGCTGGGTGATGAAGCACGAGAAAGTCGTGGAATCATGGGTGGTTCGTCGGCTTCCTGGTCCGCCAAGTCAACCATTGCATCCACCTCTTGCCACATGCCTGTAAATTGACCGTCGAGAATGTCCAAAACTCCAGCGCGTGAGCGAAGTTCCTTAAGCTCTTCAATTAGAAGTCCCCATTCCCTGAGAAGCTCAATATTGGCGAGCACATTGTTCTGTTGCTCCCTAATATTGTTGGGAACAACCATGGTCAAACTTCCAAGCCCAGACTCTTCATTTTCGTCGCCCTCTGGACATGCGGAAAAATCGAAGTCGTCATTCCAATCCTCAGTGACGCCTTTGCTGCCTACGCCCCATGTTCCAAACTTGTTGGTGATTGGGGGGTTGCGCTTGCCATCAACGTCCGGAACGACTGGAACGCTTTGGCTTCGAGCGTGCAATCCGCTGGGGACACGACGGCCAGCTGACCGACTCCCTCTCGCATTAGCATCCTTTTTGCCATGAACTGTCTTTGGCCGGGGAGGCGTACGAGTGCCTGAGCTCATGTCAGCTGCAGGCTCAGACCAATCAAAGATGCTACTTCTAGCATCTTTGTCTAGGTGGTCTGTCGCCAGGTTCCGCGCAGTGACCATCGAGATCGGGCTTGACCCTAAGACGACCGGGTTGTTGCGTTTAAGGGACAGTGGCGTGGCAAACTGCATACTTGATGCTCGCTCTTCTCGGGCGTCCCAGTCACTTTCATTGTCAAACGACCACCGACCGCCTTCATCGTCCTCGTCCGCCGCATTGTCCCACTCCAGAGTACCCAGACTAAGTGGTTTGGGCGGGGAAGAGGGGATTTCTGCAGAAAATCCAACATTGCTCTTGTTTCTCGGGGTAGGCGAGCCAGTGGTACTCCTATCGTTTTTGTTTCGAATTGGAGTGGAAAGACTCTCCTCCTCTTCAGCAACTGAGAGCTTGTCTGGTTCAGGAAATGAACCTTTCGGAAGAAGGTCTCGCAATGACGAAAGTTTACGTTTGAGCTGGGGAGGCGACTCATCAAATATCGTTTCGATCCGCGGTCCACGTGCACCAGATGAAGCCCTTGTGCCTCTCGTGCGAAGAGAATCGAAAAGAGTGTCGCTTTGGAAATCAAAATCTTCATCGTCTCCGGAACCTAGGCCGCGTGTTTCGCTGTCAGACCCGACGAGAGTGGAGGTTTGCTCTGAAGGTGTCATGGAATAGCGAGACGGGCGAATGGGAGCACCAGACGGTGATGCTGGACGGTGGCTGAGGGGTCGTGCGCTGGGCGACATGTGTCCTTGCGGGGACGGGAGTAGTGATTCTGATTGCGATGCAGATTGCGAGGGTTCTCTGGAAGGGACAAAACTCGAAATGTCTAATGACACCGTGCGCGAATCTGGCATTGGCGACGACAGCGGACGGCTTGATTCGCCGAAGCTGATGTCAGCATTGCTGCCAGTGTGGCTGCTGTGTGAAGTATAGATTTCGCGACAGATGATGGGATCGCTCGTGTCGCGCCGGTGGAATGGAGGCCGTTCTGAAATACCCTCTGCCATCGTGCCATTGTCATGGCCGATGGGGGTGATGGAAACGTTTGCGATCTTCTTGCTGTCTCTGCGGATGAGTCTGCTAACAGGGAAAGACCGTCTGTCTCGTGATTTCTTCGAATTTGGGAGTGTTCCAAAAATGTCACTAATAGAGAAAGAGTGTCGTGTTCGTCCGTCCACCGTTGCCCCGTCGTTGCGTGAGGGAGCATCTGCGGGGTTGTCGGGGAAAGCGAGGGGTGTGGGGCCAAGTGGCACAGCGTTCAAGTAGGCGGGCGTTTGAGGCCGACTAAATGCATAATCGCTGTCGTCCTCCCCCAGCTGACTGGCCGAATCCTCCATTTCCAGGGTTGGGGCAGCCACTGCGTTTGCCAGGATTAAGGTTGGCTGATGCTTCTCGTTCGGAATGATCCGTGTAAGTATCTTTGCGTCTCCAGAGCCAGACAATCCACGCCTTCTTCCTTGACCTTTCACCTTTGGGGTAAAGTACTGCCGCCAGCTGCCATCAGAACCCTCGCGGGAGAAAGGATTCCCTCCGTAATACTCGAAGCGATCTGCGAGCGAGTTCAGGAACGTGGGCCGCTGCTGAAGGGTCGCTGATCGCTGATGGCTCGTGGTAGGTCTGCGCAAAGTCGACCGTTTCGAGCGAGCAGTCTGCTGTTCGGAGCCGTCGGTGTTGCGCGCGGGATTCGAGTGTTTGACAAGCTTGTTGGACGGTAGAGGCGGCGGGGGTGCATTTCCAATCATTGAAACGGTGGATCCATCGTGGGAGAGAGGCATGGAGCCATTTGCATACGGTGGAAAGCCCGGGGACGGGGGAAGAGGACTTGCGTTGCTGGTGCGAGTGGAGGCCTGCGAAAGTGACACGATGGACAGGCGCTTGACCCACGAGGGGCGTGCTCGCAAGCTGTTGTCCGGCACCTCAAAACCCGCCTGATCCTCGACGACTGATCTTCTTCCATTTCCATTGTCCATAACAGAGTGCAATTGAGAACCGGCACCCTCGACGGTCATTCGTCTTGGTCTTCGAAGCATGGATGAGGGGCGCTCATTGTTTGGGCGCGAGTTGGATGCGCCGTCTGGATTGAGCGGGCAAGAGTCTGGCACGGCGTAGGAGGTGTGGGGCCGGGACCTGGGCGCGCGGTCGAGTCGGGAGCGACTGGCTGGGGGGAAAGCAGTTGGCGGAGGGGGAGGAAGAGGAGGAGGGGGATCTGGACGGCCGATAGCGAGTCCGGCCGTGGATACGCCAACAACAGTGGCAGAAGCACACAGCTGGAGCACAGAAAAAAATAATAATAACGTCAGCGGGCTCTGGGGCGCTGTGGAGCGGAGCAGAAAAAGAGTGTTTACTTGAGGCGATCAACGTCTCAGTGCGCGGGGGGGCTGGGCAAGAAAGAGGTGGGCTTGGGTTACCGTGGGTACAGTTTTCATGCTTCTTGGTGAGTGAGCCGCCTCCAGCTGCAAGGCACGGGAGTAAGTCGACTCGTGACGGCGCGGGGCGCGGTCATTATGGCATGGCGTGGAGCAGCAGAGAAGGCGAGGACGGTGGAGACGCTGTCATACGGGAGCGCAGTGAGTTGGCCGGGACGGGCTACTAAAACGGATGATGGAAGTGGAAAGGCCTGGATGATCTACAGCGGACTGAGATCCCAGGCCGCCCTCGCAACTTGCAAGCGAGCCAAGGCCATGGATGGGCCGTCTGGAGAATGTCAACACACGACTAGCGCCGCCGGCCTGTGCTGCCCTCTCATTCCCTTAGCTGGCGCCCGGCCGTGTATGTAGCGTGGCGACGGACACAGTCGCACAGCGCTCGCTGGAGAGGATGTTCCTGTCTCATGCCCCTCGCAGCAGCTTTAGCGCCAGCGTGCGCCCTGTCAGCCAGCCGTTGGACGAGAGAGGGGGGCTGGCGTTGCAAGCTATGCCAATCGCCGCGCACCGCCAATCGAGCGCGCGGCCTGAGGCTGGGCTGCGGCACAGGCAAGCGCTGTACCCTCCCGAACCAGCCGGGTGCCACGAGAAACGGCAAGCCTGCGGCGGGGACCCATGTGAGCCTTCAGATTGCCTTGCTTCCACGGCGCATCTGGCTGATCAAACACGGCCACACGCGGATCTTAGCGACCCACCGGTACAGCTCATCATCGCGATCGCCTAAGCCTTGCTTCTGGAAAAAGGAAATCTCTCGGTCATTGCCGTCCAGGATCACGGCCCGCTCTGACTCTTTCGGCCTGAACCAGACGTCCTGATACACGCTTGCGGTCATCAAGCACTGCTGCCTCGCTCTTCGTTGTTGTTGCTGTCAGCCTCCTGTGCCTCCCCTGCTTGTCCAGACGCGCGCGCGCCCAATCAGCACCCCGGCCGTCTTTTTCCCCGCCTAAAGCTTCGGCCAGCGCCACAGCCTCTGCACCTCATCCGACCTCGACGACACTGCCTTTGCACAAAACACGCTTTCTCCGCATCGCACGCAATGGAGGCTGAAATCCGCGCTCAGATCCCTCACATTGACCCGGTTCTGTCGGAATACAGTGCCGGCTACCTCCAGCATGCCGCCAACTCGTTTCAGCCCGACGCTGACCCCAGCGCGCCCTCGCCCTTGGCCGACGCTGCCGCGACCATTACCGCCCTGCTTGTCTCTGCGTCAGGTGATCTAACTGCCCAGAGTGAGGCCACCATCACCAACCTCGTCGACAGGTTTGTTGCCAAGCTGAACACCGGCATTGACGGCGAGAGGCGCCAGTTGGCTCCCTCGGCCAAGAAGCTGGACCAGGCCATCAATGTCGGCTCTCAGCGCAACATCTCCACCACCTTGGGCTTGGCCAGCGGTGGCGTCGATCTGGAGTCGGCCAACACCAGAAAGGTCGAGTCCAAGGTTGATCGTAAGAAGCTCGAAAAGGCTGAGCGCAAGATTCGTGCCAAGCAGGAGAAGAAGGTTATGAGGACCGTCGAATATGAGGCTTCCCGCCTGCTTGATCTGCCCGATGAGACCGAGTCCTACGAAGAGTTCTTCATGAAGGTCAACCCTCTCCAGTTGGGCTCCGAGAACGCTCAAAAGAGCAAGGATATCAAGGTCGATGGCATCGATGTATCTATTGGTGGTAAGAGAATTCTTACCGACACCAACCTGACCTTGGCGTACGGCCGCAGATATGGTCTCGTTGGTCAGAACGGTATTGGCAAATCTACTCTGCTTCGTGCATTGAGTAAAAGAGAGGTCGCGGTCCCCACGCATATCTCCATTCTTCACGTCGAGCAAGAGGTAAGTCTGTTCTGTGTGACTATTCGTCGTGGAAACCATTAACAGTGTCCCAGATTGCCGGTGATGATACGCCAGCTTTGCAGGCTGTGCTGGATGCCGATGTTTGGCGCAAGCACCTGCTCAAGGAGCAAGAAAAGATCTCCAAGGAACTTGCCGAGCTAGAGGAGAAGAGGTCTACTATAGCCGACACCTCGGCTGATGCTGCCAAGCTTGATCATCAACGTGAAGGCCTCGACATCACCCTAAGTGACATTCATTCGAAGCTGTCTGAAATGGAGTCCGACAAGGCTGAATCCAGAGCTGCTAGCATCTTGTTCGGTCTGGGTTTCTCTACGGAAAGGCAGCAGTATGCCACTAAGACCTTCTCTGGTGGTTGGAGAATGAGATTGGCTCTTGCGCGTGCACTCTTCTGCGAACCCGACTTGCTTTTGCTTGATGGTAAGACTCACGGGACTATTGCCTCTTTTACCATTACTGACAATCTCCAGAACCGTCGAACATGTTGGACGTGCCGTCGATCACCTTCTTGTCAAACTACCTGCAAACCTACCCCAGTACTGTCCTCGTGGTCTCTCACGACAGAGCTTTCCTGAACGAAGTTGCTACGGACATTATTCACCAGCACTCTGAGCGCCTGGATTACTACAAGGGTGCCAACTTTGGTGAGTATCCCTACTCGAAGACTCCTAACGAACTAGACACTAACGAATGTGCTCAGAATCTTTCTATGCGACAAAGGAGGAGAGGCGAAAGACGGCCAAGCGCGAATACGAGAAGCAGATGGGCGAGAGGGCCCATCTCCAAGGTATGAACAAGTCATTCTTTGTTTTTTTTGTTTTTTTCTGTAGGTTGCTGACTTTGGCGAACAGCTTTCATCGACAAGTTCCGCTACAATGCTGCCAAGTCTTCCGAAGCTCAGTCCAGAATCAAGAAGCTGGAAAAGATGCCTGTGCTCGAGGCTCCAGAGAGCGAATACACTGTCAAGTTCTCCTTCCCCGAGGTGGAGAAATTGTCTCCTCCTATCATTCAGATGAGCGGTGTCCACTTTGGATACACGCCTGACAAGCCGCTCCTGAAGAACGTTGATTTGGATGTGCAGCTGGACTCTCGTATCGGTATCGTTGGTCCCAACGGTGCAGGCAAGACGACTGCGCTCAAGCTCCTCATTGGTGCCCTGCAGCCAACCAAGGGTCTCATTTCTCAAAACCCCCGTCTGCGTATCGGGTTCTTTGCGCAACATCATGTTGACGCACTCGACCTCAACGCCAGTGCAGTCGGCTTCATGGCTGTCAAGTACCCTGGCAAGACGGACGAGGAGTACCGTCGCCACCTAGGCGCCTTTGGTATCACAGGCATGACAGGTCTGCAGAAGATGGCGCTACTGTCGGGTGGTCAAAAGTCGCGCGTTGCCTTTGCCTGCCTGTCGCTGCAGAACCCGCACATTCTCGTGCTGGACGAGCCGTCGAACCACTTGGATATCGAGGCCATGGACGCGCTGTCGACGGCGCTGCAGCAGTTCCAGGGTGGCGTTTTGATGGTGTCTCACGACGTGACGATGCTGCAAAACGTCTGTACGTCGCTATGGGTGTGCGACCATGGAACGGTCGAGCACTTTGACGGGACGGTCAAGGATTACAAGAAGAGGATTGCGGCGCAGGCGAATGAGGCGGGCGTTGTTGCACAGCACTAGACAGACAGACATAGGTACATAGAGACAGACAGGAGCCGCCCTTGCCTCGTCGCGAATGGATGAGACAAATAAGACGGGGTCGAGGGAATAAAATAACGGGTGGCAGGCGGCCAATCAGGCCCACCGGCCCGTGCGTTGGAGCAGAGCAATGCAGACAGACAGACTCTGGCCCGGAGGCAGAAGCGATGGTGGTGTGGGTGCGTGAGAGAGTCAGTCGCGGAGGATGACCTAGACGACGAGGCTCGCAGGGCAGGACGTCCAAAGGCGAGGGTGAAGAAAAGCGCCCATCACACAGATAATTGCACGATTAGCCGCCCACTGATTTGGCGGCGCGGCTAGCCGGATTCGTCAGGGATGGGCCACCTCCACGGCGTGGGAGACATGTGCTTCGATGGCCAGCTCCCGGCTTACAATCACCACCGCCCATCGTGCTTCCCTGATGCTGAGCAGCCCTCCTCAGCCGTCAACATTGCTGTCACCCGCCTCGTGATCAGCCCGCGCGCTTGTTCAATTGCATTGGCGCAGGGGGGAGATCAAGCTCCGCTCTGCAACAGCGACGCTCCCGCTCGAGACCACCTCCCGTCCGTCACCTTGTCGCAAACACCGCGCCCGCGTAGCGGTTCGTCCGTGTCCGTCGCTCATTTGAACTCCCACTCGCACGACAACTGTCTGCCCTCCGACAAGGCTTCCACGCCCACCAACCTGTCCTTCGCTGCCGACTCGCAACCCCCTCCCTTCTCCTCGCTCTACTTCCCACCCGACGACTGCATCTCTCCCGACCAAGATCCCAGCAAGCCTGCCGTCACTTCCAGCACCTCAGAACAGCCGCCGGCCTTTGCGCCCGCTCCGCCCTTCGAGGAATCCTCGTCATCCGCTGCGGCTTCCACCGTTGCCGATACCAAGGCTGCGCTACCGCGCGACACAAAAGACGGCGCTTCCAGCAAGGACATTGACGACGGCGAACCGCCCCCACCTTACAGCGAAGGTTCCAGCCCCTTGGACTCGTTTACCTACGTCATGGCAACTGCAGGAGGTCCCGCGAGCATCATCACCCAGGTGTCTCAGGGTGGAGGGCCGCCGATAAACACGCTGAGTGGTACGTGCGATCCGAAGGGTTGGCTTCAAGGCAAAGAGTCTCTGACGGAAAAACGATAGCTGGTTCGGACGAGAATATCACGCTCGAGCTCAGGTATGCTCCCGCGCGACTTTTGAGGATTTGAAGATGCGGCTGACTCTTAATGTTCATATAGAGGCGTTCGCTTCACGTTGTCGAGAGACGAGCTCCTGACGCTTCCCGAATTCGTCCTGCTCTCGCTATTCCCGAACGGCTTGCTCCCGGATGGCCACATGAACTCGTACCCTGACGCGGACGTATACCCAGTCGACGTTAGTAACCCCATGCCCGACCCGAACTGCCCAGACATGTCTTGCGAGGATGATGCTGGTGCAACCCATGCCATCACCCAAGCTTTTGCGCCCCTCCTTCGTTCCAAAGCAATCACCCTGAGGTTCCATCTATGCAATTCTTCTTTGTACCTGTCTGACATACGTTATCCATCTCAGTACGACCCGACGTCGCTCCAGTACATGCTCGACTTTTTCCGACATGTAGCGCAGACGATCCCCGCCTCACCGCCGTCGCCCTCGACGCTCGTGGGAGACCACCCGGCGGAGGCAGTGCCCATCGAGCCCATGCATGGCTCGGCGCGCGACATGTTGCAGGACCGCGCAGGCATCATCGTGCTGCGCGAGGACCTGGACTTTTACGTGATCCCACCGCGCCGAGAGATTGAGCAGATGGAAATGATCGAGGTCAAGCGCGCAGCCGGGAAGGCGCTGCTCAAGCAAGACGGCATCTTCTCGGGACTGCGCAAAAGCGAGGAGCCAGGGACCACGGAGCAGCACTTGATCGAAATGCTGACAGCCGGGTAAGTGCCGACCACTCCTCACCGCCTCCCCCATCACCTCATGATGTCATGCATCATGAGCTCGGTCTTTCTTTTGTCCCCCCGTGCCACGCTGGCAGCCTGCTGACATGACTCGCAGCGGTTTCAATCACGACGACCGCTGGGGCCACCGTGCGGGTGAGCCCAACAAGGCCGTCATCTGCAGCATCGCGCTGGCGCGGCTACGGACCGACATCAAGGGTAACGACCTGGCGACCAGCAACGCCGTCGGCATGGCGCAGAAGCTGTTGCTCTTCTGGCGGAAGCCTGCCCGTCGCTGCTGGTGGGAGGGCGTCGAGCTCAACGACGTCGAGGGTGTCGAAGGAACCCTGAAGGTGTGGATCCGCCGTGTTTGGACCCTTGAGATGGTGAGTTTTTGACCCATGTTGCTGCTTGCCTCACTTTTGGGCTGCCCCTCCAATGACGCAGTGTGGGGTTGTCCCTGCATATTCTGGGCTGACTCGTGCGTTCTCAAACAGAGTGTCATTGGGCTGCGCTGATGCTGGATCTCGCTGCCGTCTGCATGGCATCGAGCCTACGCGTCTGCGGCCACCCAGTGTCGCACCTTTACATCGTAGTGCCCGGTCTCACATGCAGGCACCGCGATCCCGTCCGCCACGTCGTTGTCGACCTGGACACTTGTCTTCTGGCCCACCTCTCAACAGCACGTTTCCTTTTGTGTATTCCTGAAATTTGCATCGAACCGGCTGTACCGGCTGCCTTGAACGGCAACGGGCAGCCTAGTAGCTAAAGCTAGCGAGCGAGCGGGCGAGAACCACAACACTCACCATTTGATACCTCCCTTTTTTTGCTTCTTCCCCATTGTTCTCTTCTTCCAAATCTTCTCTTTGCATCATGCGGGGCGCGCTCTTTCTCCCTCCCATATATCGACTTGGAGGAAGCGCCAGACCACGCTGCATAATCCGGCCTCTCTTGCATGGGCATTCCTCGGCGGCGGTGGTCCTTTGAAGCCTCTTTTTTTCTTTTTCTGTTTTCTGCTTGCTCAATCTCACTCTGTCTCTACTCTCTTTTGCTTTTCTCCTATAGCTTGGATCGCTGAAAATTCCCACCACCCACACTTCTTCTTCCTTTTTGTTGTTGTTGTTGCTCCTGGATAACATGGCGCGATGGGAAGAAGGGGACTACCAACGTTGGATATTGATGGCAGCGGGCGAAGCAGTCAGTAGTAGTAGTATTAGTAGCGGTGATGGTGGTGGTGGTAGTGGTTGTAGTAGTGGCAGTGATGGTGGCGGTAATAAGATGGCGGCGGCGGCAGTCGGAGCAGATAAACCTGCTGTTTCTGTTGCCGTTGCTGGTGATATTGCTACTGCTGCTGCTGCTACTCACGCTGCTCATGCTGGCTGGACGTGTACACAGTAGACAGACTCGCAACATACTGGTTTTGACGTTATGCGCGCTTCTGGGCCTTTTCTTTTTTTAGTGTTTGATTTCTACTGTTTTGCTCCCTGTGCTCCCTGACTATTAATCTAGTTAACGTTATAGAGTGTTCTCACCCATATTGATATCGTCAGTACCTGCTGGATCTAGCTACTCGTCTTCTGTGCCGTATATATCCTTAAGCAGCCCGCGCTCCCTCTGTATTGGAGGACGCTCTGTAGTTGACACTGCTTGTGGGTTGCTTCTCAGCCGACTAGGCAGGCATTAAATCAGGTTCAATCTGGGTAATATATACGTGGCGAGGCTATCTGTGTGAGGTAGCGCTTGCTAATGTGGATGTGCTTGAGGTCTCGAATGGCAGTCGTCTTTGAGGATCAATGGAGCTGTGCCATTCATTCCCACCACTCTCGAATTCCGGTGACGCGGATATCGACTACACCTTCACTCGTTTTGCCTTCTTCTTTCTACGTCTGCACCCGTCTTACAACTATGGTGGTGACTGATCCACTCCCCACCCCCACTTACCTAGGTCTAAGCATTTTTCTAACCTATGGGAAGAAGCCCTGTAGGCACGATTGTACGTGTTTAGCGTAGGGATGGGTAGTGCTAAGTCTAGATAGATATACCTACTTTTATATCTAGAAGAAGGCGACTATACCGATGTAGTAAACATATGTCGAGTAAGTATAGGTAGGTGTATATAGTTATTGCTATTCGTACAGATATAGAGATGAGTAATGCTAGGTCTGGACGTAGGGATAGTTTATATATGGAGATGTATAGGCTATGTCCGGACGGAGGAATAGTTTATATAATACTAAACGATGTTACGTCTGGACGGAGAGATATTTTATTTATAGTGATGAATAAGGCTACGTCCGGATAGAGAGGTAGTTTATATATAGAGATAAATAGAGCTATGCCTAGATAGAAGGGTAGTTTATATATAGGAATAAAGGCATTCTTAAACTTATACTTACCTTGAGTCGTAAGGGTACGTAGATGGATATAGGGACGTAGAGATGAGAAGATTATATCTGGATGGTAAGGGCTTTTGTATGTGGGTACGAAGGCCCTTTTAAGGTTATGTATATTGAGGCGCGCGTGGTTGTGTATGTAGATAATACCTCCCACCAATAACCAGTCCAAACATCAAACTGTTCTCGGCAGAGTAGTCTCCATGTATATGTTCTGTCTACCCAAAATATTCCTCCGTTACGCCTCACTTTTTGACCGTCCATAATGATACATATACATACTTATAACCACTCCCTGTCTGATGGAAAGGTGGACGAGGAAAACAAAAGCCTAGAAGAGAGAAAAAGCTAAACAAACAAGGCTATGAAGAGCAGGGATTCCCGTTTCTCGTCACCATCATCTCCTTCACCTCACCAGAGCCACATCACCTTAAAGAACCGCCTGGGTCGTCCACTTCCTCTCCGCTCTCCGAATCAACTCCTCATACAGCGTCCACGCGAGCGCCGAACTAACCGCCTTCCTTGCAATGCGGATGCCCAGCCCGTCAAACAGGCTGCTGAAGCCTTCCTCGCGCAGCATCAGCCGCGCCGCCTGCCCCATATTGCTGTACCGATGCGGCAGCAGCTGCAGGCGCGTCTTGATCGCGTCGAAAGGGTTCGTGAGCGCAGTGCCTAGACAGGCCGCCAGCACGCCGGAGGCGAAGTTGATGCCAGCGGCAGTGGAGCCGCTGAGCGCGACGACGGGGGGCGTGGGTGTGGGGTCTGCGTCTGCGTCGGGGATTGTGGTGGTGTTGCCATTGATATTGCCGTTCTTGCCGCCCAGCTGCCCCGCGAAGGCGCTCAACCGTCGCTTACTCTCTTCATAGAAGAGCACGTACAGCCCAGCGTAGGGCGCGTCACGCACGGCGGTGGCGCCAAAGCCGGCGAAGAAGCCGCGCGGGCCCGCCGTCGAGATGATGTCGCTCGCGGCGTGCCACAGTGAGCGGTACGCGTAGTAGCTGCTCTCGAAGCGGACCTTAATAACGGTGATGGGCATGATGACGAAGCCGGCGCCGGCGCGGGCCAGCGCCCCGGTGGCTAGGTTACCCCATGAGGAGAGCTTGATCAAGCTGGAGGAGTGGCTCTGGGTGCCGCCGCCACCGAGACCGTTGTTGCCGCTGGCCGGGTCGCGGCCTTGCGTTGCTGCTGAAATGCTCAATCTTGCCCAGTTGTGCCGCAGTGCATTCAGCGTGCTGAAGTACAACGCGCTACCGAAGCCCGTTCGCAGTGCAGACGGCACTGTTCCCCGCCATAGTGATCGGATGGGGTGGGGCCCCGCCGCGATGTCGCGCAGCGTCGCCGTCAATGTCGTGCTGTGAGATTGTTGCACGCGTGTCTTGAGCAGGTCTGCCGGCTGCAGCAGCACTGCGCTGAGCATGCCCGAGCTCAGGCCTGCGAAGAAGTGGACTGCAGAGAGAGGCAACGGATGCCCTCGTCAGCGGGCTGACTGGCTGGCTGGCGGCGGCGGCGGCCGAATAGGTAGATGCGTAGCAGCAAGGTAACTTGACTTACAGGAAGACGACGAGCGCTTTTGGCCGCCATCTGACATTGCCGTGGCTTCATCCAACGAATTGGAGCGAAATGGGTGCGGTGAGGTGCGAGGTTCGTTACGTGAACATGGTGGGCTTGGGGAAGAGCTGTGGGCGGGTGAGTCGCGCGACGAAGGCGGAAGTCTCTCTCAGTTCCGTCGTCTGCGTCATTTTTCCCGGCAGCGATCGCCCGCACGAGCTGCGGCCACGACTTTTCATATACTTCATATACTTCATGCTTCATGCTTCTACCTACTCCGTAATGCTTGATATACTCTCACGCCTCCCCCTCTTCCACGTCCGCCCACACCTGCACCACCCCGGTCCGCTTGTCGCCCCGCAGCCCCTCCGTCGGCGTCACTCTCAGCACCTTGTTGAAGTACCTGTCCTGCACCCTCAGGCTAGGACTGAGCCACGCCCCGCGCACCAGCGGTGTCAAGTTATAGCGCACCGTCTGCCGGCTGAGTGGTAGCAGCTGCAGCGCGCTCAGCTTCGGCCCACTAAAGGCAAACTCCTCCGACGCCTCCATGCTGATGTCGAACGTCAGGAAATGCATTGTCGGGTTCTCCAGCGTGTAGTCAAGGTGGATGAGCCCAGGACCAGGCGCCGTCGTTGACGGACGCGCTGATGCGAGAACCCGCGGCTCGCTGTGGGCGGCGACGAGGCGCGGTTTGGCCACAATTGTCGTCACGCTGTCGCTGCTACTCTCCTCTGCGATCGGGTTCTTGCGGCGCCATTTCACACTGACACTTGTCTCCAGCGCCGACGAGCTCCGGTCTTCGAGGGCAAACTTCCTCACGTCTACCCAGAAAGCACGGAGGTGAACAGCTTGTGGCGAGACATCGACTTCTGGCTCAGGCAATTGCTGCTTGGCCACAGTGCAGGCGGCACCGCCATGTACACTGTGAACAACCAGTTCGGCATCTTGAACGACCAGGTCTTCTTCGGCCAGCGAACCAACGCGTACAGTCAGAAGGTACCTTGACCACAAACCAAAAGCTTTGTCGACGGTGTTCTCGGCTGATGGTTCTGTGGTCTGTTCATCGGAAATGTGGAAGAAGCTGGGCCAAGGGTCTGGGTGCACTTGAGGCGCAAAATCGTACGTTGCTTCGAAAGGCTCTACGAAGATGAGCTCTCCAGAAAGTATTTTCTGGATCGGTACATCGCGGTCGCTGAGGAGGTGGTATAGCACCTTTACTTCTACGGTATAAGCCGCAGGGGCAGAAGGCGCCGCGAATGTGATACTGTGCGTTCGCTTCGATCCAGGGGCCATGATCCCTATGTTGTGACCAAGAGGGTTTGGAGATTTATCGTTGTTTTCAGCCTCAGGATCCTTCGAGGCGAGCCAGGAATACTCCAGTAGCTCGCTGGATGGGTCTAGAAGTCGTACTTCTAGAACGGCCTCGGTATCCTCTTCTTCAGCATTTTCAATATTCAGAGCAAGAGTGACAGTCTCGTTGATGTAATACTGTGCCTGCAAGTTTGGCAATGCAATCTCCATCTTGGGAGGTTTTGGCAAGACCTTAATCGAAGGATCTTCGGGATCGCGAATGAGTCGTTTGTTCCTGAGACCCTTTGTGCTAGGATGCCACCAAAGCGGTGCAGATTCGCCTTTCGGAGATTTTGCAAAGCAGGCGAGATGGAATCGGCTAGTTGCAACCTCGACTGTTATACGCTCGAGATTGATATCGCCAGCTTCCCGGAACAGAATCGAGAAAGTGTATACCTTGACCTCCCCGGCACGGAAGGAAAGATCAGCCTGGCCCTGGAAGCTTGGCGCGGCGCCTGCTTTCGATTCTCCAGCTTCTGTTAAGGTCACTTCAGTAAAGCTTTGAGCGCCCTCGTTCGCCTCATGGTGAAGCTCGATTGTATCGATGCAGCCCTTGAAAGTGATTCCAAACTTGCTTGCTGTGATTGGCTTTGAGTTCTTGTGGGCGTTCGACCTCACGGCGACCTGCGCCTGTAGGGGCTCCCCAACGTGGCCCTCCGCGACACCAAAGATAACCGTAACCGAAACTATCAAGGTTAGTGTTGGCTTGTGTTCCCTGGACTAGTTGTACTCACGGGCAGACATGACATTGTTAGCATTGAGCGTAATCCTGGGTATTTCCTTCTCTTCCGGATGCTTCACCGAATCCAGACAGTTCATAAAATCGTGTACTTTGCCCTGCTTCGTACGGAGCGCTGTGACCCATTAGGCTGTGCAGTATTGTCAATGCTCAGATAGACTTACCACGGTTGCACAGTTCCCACTCAGTTGCGACTATCATCTCTTCGTCTCCACAGAGCTGTGCACACGCGTGCAGCGCCCACGTAACTTCTGTCACCAATGGCCACCAGCCTTCTTTCCGCCAGTTCATCCCTTCCCACAAAGGTTTAAGTACGCTCAATGCGTTGCTATACCTGTGTGCATGTATAAGCTCTTTTCCCATGTCAAAATGTATCTTATCTACGAGACGGTATTGTCCTCGAGCATGGAACTCTCCCACGGCTCTATTGAACAGATCCACAATCTCGCCAGTATGATCAAAGCCTTCTCCTTTCCCAGGCAGCGGATATTCCACATGTGGCTCAGGAACAAGGTACGTGTCGTAAGTGCCGTATCGATTTACGACTTGGGTCGCAGGCGACATTCCCGGTGGCATCCGATCCTCTTCAGATAGGTCTTCAGCGAGCGTACGACGAGAAATTGCCCGCTCCGCTGCCAATCGGAACCAGTAGCCGGGGTGGTGTAGCAGCTGCCATGGCGGCATCCTCTCGCCCACAGGGAAGATCTTCTCAGGCTGCACGAAGAGAACGTCTTCTCGAGCTATGAGCATATCCCGATTGGCCCTGGATGATTCAACCACAGCAAAAATTGGCGGTTCTACCCGCTGAATGATTTCGGCCATGAGCCTGGCCCATCTTGATTCCCAAGCTTGCCAACCATAGTTTGCGGAACCCTTACCTCGACGATCCACCAGATCGCGCATCCTGTCCCTGTAGTTCTGCCATGACTGAACAGCGGATGTTGGGCCATTGTTCCACATGAGACATCGGATAATACGAACTGCAACGGTGTCGGCAAGCAAACGCGTGTCATCCCACCGTGGGTTCCAGCTTGCCGTAGTCTCAAAAACACCATCTCCATCGAGCAGCGTGTCCATGGCAGCACTGTAATGTCTGCATGCGGAGTCCATTTCTTGCCGGAATTCAGCAAACACTCCGAGTTTGAAGTCGTACCGCACATTCCATCCTTGACTCGACAATGTCTGCGAGGTGCCCCTTGTCGGGGGTGCTGTTGGCGGAGGTATGTTACCACGATTTTTCTTACGCCGCGCGTGTTTAGACAGATCGCGATAATATTCGACACACGTGGGCTGCAACACAGAAAGAACGTTGTGGACAAAAGAGGCAATCTCAGCCCGTGATGTCGGGGGTAGAAAGAAGAGAGAGTTCTTCGGATCCAGGCCCGTGGCGCGGCGAATGTTCGCAAGCCTGTCCTCGATTTCGGGAGCTTGGATTATAGTTTTGTCGCTGAGTAAAATGACAGCATAGCGTGTAGGATGATGTGAATTGGCCAACAAGTTTTTGATCCGATTAATCTCGGCCTTCAATTGATTGTCATTCAGAGTATCGCGTCCGGCCTCGGAGGTGAAATCGAAGCATGAGATGAAGACGGACGGTATGTAGCTCTGGTGCTTCGCCACCCACAACGGCGTCATAACACCATCGGGGAAAGTAGGCGAACCCGGAGAAAGGGGAGATATGGGCGAGTGAAGAACCCATTTATGTTTGCCATCAATGGGCGGAGACCCAGGAGGAGTTTCATCAGGCGACCTTTGAGGTGGCTGCGCTTTGTGGGATGGAAATGTATATTGCTACTACTCTGTAAGCCTGCATGCTAAGGGTCGACGGCTGCTGATATCCCTGACCTACCCTCCCGACGGCCCTGATCTTGAATCCTATGAGATCTCCCCTGCTCCTTGACCTTATGCCGTTCCATGGCGCATGCCTAGAGTCGGCGATGAGGAATTCTTGGCGCAGCTGTTCAGCATGCTCGTTGATGAGGGTGGGTATGGCCGAATCGATGTTGAGGCCATGCTCCTGCAGCAGTTTGTGAGGCTGGAAGTAAGGCTCCGATGTATCTGTGCCCAGGCCCGAGACGACGACGAAGGGGAGATTGTGTTCAACATATTGCGAAGGATAGGCGTCCATGGTTGGCGATCAGCTCGCGCCGGCCATACGAAGATCGGAGACGCGTTCGGGATTTCGGGTGCGATGCGGAGGTGCTTGGTCTACGGCGCAGTTTGCTAGGGCATGACGCGCGATGTTGATGTTTGGGTGATTGCGCGTTTGAGAGGACCAGCTCTCGACGGTCGACCAAGCTGCTCTGCTGGAACTCCAGATTGACGTAGCGAGTCAAGCCCTAAGCTCAAAACCGCGTCGTCCGCCCTCATCCTTGTGCGTGCCACCAGTGAACACGGCTGATCATTTTGCCTAAGCTGTCTATGTATGGCGATCTGGAACACTTCTTCGGACACAGTCAATCCCCAATTCCTTCAGTGTGCAGCGTCTCTGGTCGAGGCTGCCGCACGACTCGGTCGGGGCTTGGTCCCCCGGTTCGCCGATTGAGGGCAGCTCGCGCACCTAAACTCCGATTCTCTCTCTCCGCAATCGTTGCCTTTCACCGAGCACTACCGCACACGCACACTCCCTCCTCGAGCCTTCCGGTCCGCACTCAGACCTCGAGCCACCCGCTTTCCACTGTCAAAGCTTCCACTTCCGCCAACGAGCTCGACTGCGCAGCCCCGCGCCCTGCTGGATCTGAGGCCTGCTGAAGGCCGCCGCCCCCGCCGCCATGGCAGGGCAACAATACGTCTTCGCCGAAGCCATCGTCGGCATGAAGAAGGCAGTCGCGCGATACGGCGATGGTACGCATTCGATTTCCAAACTTCCTGCGTTCCCGTAAGCTAATAAGCAGTCGCGATTCAGAGTCCGAAGACGACGACACCGAAATCACATACTCAGTTCAACATAAGCTGAAGCGCAAGCTGCCGCGAGGCCAGTCTATCCTGAATAATGGGCGCTCTGTGTATAAAAAGGTGTGATAAATCCATCTTTGTGTCTGCGCCTCGTATGCGCCGGAGCTGACGACGATACCTGGTCGGTATACAGCCAAAAGTCGAGCATGCCGGGTACCAGCGGCGTATCGTAGCTCGCAATCCACCTCGAATCGACGAAGACGGCGACGAAATCGAGGGCTATGACAGCGATGAGTCTTTGGAAGGCTCTGTCGCCGAAGACAATCCCTATGGAGAGATCCACCTTGAAGGTAGGCTGTTCGCGCATACGTCCTTTGGCAACAATCGCTGACCGTTGCTGCTTTAGAGCTGTTGGCACCTCTGACCTCTGCCGCCGATCTGCACACTCATCCATCCATGTCCATACCATATTATTCCACCCATCTGACAGAACTTGCGATCAACGCCCGCGACAGTTTGCAAAGGGAGGAGAAGAATCTTTGGCGTGCCAAAGGGATCATGAAGAAGTTATTAGGGGATGACAATTGGTTTCCGGTTGGTATGTTGGAGACAGACTGGGATCGCCAAGTACTCGAAACTCCGGTTGCGCCGGGCGCTGGAAATTCCGCGGGCTCCCTCGACGCCTTAAGCTGGGAACAAACTTCGAATCCTGTGCTCGCTCCGGATGAGACACACATAGAAACTCCGCGACCTGCGTCCGGCCAGGCGGAGAATACCGCGCAGCAACAAGATGAAGACACTCGGATGGAGGACAGCACGACCACTGAAGAGGTCCATGCGACAAACGGCATCAAGGAGACCGTAGAAGCAGGAGCATCAGAAGAGGAGCCACGCCAGGATGGGTTGCTTGTGCAAGACGACGTGGGTGACCAAAACAAGCAGGAAAATGGCGCACCAAGACCGGCACCCGAAGCGACGGACAATCAACCGGTGAATGGCGAGATACCGAACCCGGATGGACAAAACCAAGGGGCTCAGGATCCTGAGGACCCCATGCAGGTCGACACGGAGAACGGCACGACCGATGGTGCTGGTCAGGAGCCACGCTCCCGCCGCTCTTCAGACGCCGACGAGACCAGCAGCCAGCCGACCTCGCGCCGCATGACGACGCGCGCGCAAGCGAATGCTGCCCACTCGCATACATCCTCTGCTCCCCACTCTCCTCACACCTTCTCGCCCTCGTCACCATCCGCCCAGCCGATACACCCCCTTTTCGGTTTCCCGCTCGAAGTGCTCGCAGACCGCGACATGGGATTGCCGGCACACGAAGCGGAAGAAACGCGCAACTGGTTACTGCTATACATTCAGAAGCAGGAAGAGGTAGTCAAGCAGCATCGCAAACTGTACAACGGATTGATGGAGGCAGATCGCAAGCGCAAGTATGTGCTTAAGTGGTGCCGCGCGGAGGGCCATGTAGGCGAAATGAGCGATGGAGAGGATTGGGTTGACAAAGAGGAATGGGGGTTGACGGAAGACTTGGTCAAAGGGAAAGAGGAAGAAGAAGAAGAAGGCGTGGTGCAGGGTAAGAAGACGAGGGCAAGGAGAAGGGACCAGGAGAAGTAAGTGCCGGACTGGCGTTTGGGGAGTCTATGGTTGTTGAAAGCAAGGAGAATCAGGTGTTTTTGGAGAAAGAGGGCGTTGTTCTGACGGCATTTGCGAAGTTCTGGATCTGGAGGCCCGCTGCGTCTTTGCAGAATGGCAAAAGTCCATATGTGGTCTACCTATTATAGGGTAAGTGGTCAGAATTTTGGGAGGCCGAGGCGTGATTATATAGGACTCTCGCTGCATTTCTTGCACCCTACCATACCCACGCGGGTTCAGCGCAGAATTGGAATCGTTTTTGGTGATCCGTAAATCCTACTGCGGAAGCCCGGGCACTTGTTGGGGTCTTGGCCTGCTGCACGTTCAGCTTACGGACAAGGGACAGCGGGACGCCTAAGTAAAGCCTGCGGGCTGGAAAAACAACATTGGGTTTTGCGGGTGAGAATTGGTGAGCGTGGGATTTGAGAGGAGTGAGGCTTGAATAAAAGTAAGACCTTCTAGGTGTGAAGCTCGAAGGTGAGGTTTGTTGTCCAGATCTCGAAAAGATCCTGTACGGAGGATCGACACACCCCGCCTTTTGACCCTGACAAGAGCCAACACGGCAAGGTTTTTTGGCTGCAGCAGCTGGCGTTTGGTGGCACCAACCTGTGTCAGGATGTCTGCTGCCTTGGATTATGGATTACATACCTTGAAGGCGCGTTGCAACAATGTTGACCCGGTCCGTGGCGGCTGGAGGATCGCGCGGACTGCCGAACGTGGGGCAATAGTCCGCTGTGCCATTTTTCTTCTTTATCAACGCGTCCCTCCCCTCCTCCGCACCTCTCCATCTCACTCCTTCCATCTCACTCCCCCTCTCTTCCGACACCCTCAAAACCCATCACCATGTCTGCTCCCGCCCACACCTTCAAGGTCGCCGATATCTCGCTGGCGGCCTTTGGCCGTCGCGAGATCGAGCTCGCCGAGAACGAGATGCCCGGTCTCATGGCTACTCGCGAGAAGTACGCCGCTGACCAGCCATTGAAGGGTGCCCGCATCGCTGGTTGCCTGCACATGAGTACGTGCATCTTTGGCTACCGCCCAGAATTCTGCTGACAGCCTCATAGCCATCCAGACTGCCGTCCTGATTGAGACCCTCAAGGCCCTCGGTGCCGAGCTCACCTGGACCAGCTGCAACATCTTCTCCACCCAGGACCACGCCGCTGCTGCCATCGCTGCTAGCGGCACCCCTGTGTACGTCAATTCTTGTAGCCCAAATCTCGTGGCAGATGCTAACACCCAGCTAGCTTCGCGTGGAAGGGCGAGACCGAGGAGGAGTACAACTGGTGTCTCGAGCAGCAGCTCAACGCCTTCAAGGACGGCCAGAAGCTCAACCTGATCCTCGATGACGGTGGTGACCTTACCTCCCTCATCCACACCAAGTACCCTGAGATGCTCAAGGACTGCTATGGTCTGTCCGAGGAGACCACCACCGGTGTCCACCACCTGTACCAGATGCTCAAGAACAAGGGCGGTGCCAACGGCCTGCTCGTCCCCGCCATCAACGTCAACGACTCCGTCACCAAGTCCAAGTTCGACAACCTGTACGGTTGCCGTGAGTCCCTCGTCGACGGCATCAAGCGTGCCACCGATGTCATGATTGCCGGCAAGGTCGCTGTTGTCGCCGGTTTCGGTGATGTCGGCAAGGGCTGCGCCCAGGCTCTCCACTCGATGGGTGCTCGTGTCATCGTCACCGAGATTGACCCCATCAACGCTCTCCAGGCTGCCGTTCAGGGCTTCCAGGTCCTCACCATGGAGGAGGCCGCTTCTGAGGGTCAGATCTTCGTCACCACGACTGGCTGCCGTGACATCCTCGTCGGAAAGCACTTCGAGGCCATGAGGAACGACGCCATCGTTTGCAACATCGGTCACTTCGACATTGAGATTGACGTTGCCTGGTTGAAGAAGAACGCCAAGAGCGTCCAGAGCATCAAGCCCCAGGTCGACCGCTTCCTGATGCCCAACGGCCGTCACATCATCCTGCTCGCCGAGGGTCGTCTTGTCAACCTTGGCTGTGCCACCGGCCACTCTTCCTTCGTCATGTCCTGCTCCTTCACCAACCAGGTCCTTGCCCAGATTGCTCTGTTCAAGGCTGGCGACGAGGAGTTCAGCAAGAAGTACATTGAGTTTGGCAACACCGGCAAGCTCGATGTCGGCGTCTATGTTCTGCCCAAGATCCTCGACGAGCAGGTTGCTCTGCTCCACCTGGACCACGTCAACGCTAAGCTGTCCAAGTTGACCGATGTCCAGGCCGAGTACCTTGGCCTGCCCAAGAACGGTCCTTTCAAGTCCGAGATGTAAGTTTGAGTCCTGCCCATTGCAATCAATATCTAGCCATTTACTAACGTTTGCTTTCCACAGGTACCGCTACTAGAGACTTGTCATGTCAAGCTTATTGAGCGCCGCATGATCTTTTCAACACGTGTTATGATGGAATGATACCAAAAGCAATTTGTCTTCAACGGCATTTTCAACCGGGGGGAGGGCAAAACATTTTTCTAATAGACGTCCTCAACGATACAAGAGACGTTCCGCGGGGGTCTCGGGGGGAGCATCGGCGTTGGCACTTGTATATCTCGGCCTTTCAACCATGGCCTCGAGATGAAATTCGGCTTCTTTTTTCGGGTTCAAACACCTACAGCATGCTTAATTGCATGGTTGAGGCGGACGCAGCAGCCTCGCCCTGAGACACAGGGGAGTAGAGAAGAGACGAAAAAATCAAAAGATGATACTTTTCCATTTGGAGATTTGGTTCGGCGTCGGTGTCGATGTCTGCCAGTGTCGGCGTCGGCGACTTTTATTAAACTGTGAGTGATGATTCGGAGCATTTACGACGTCTGCCGATGTCGGGGTAAAAGGTACCGAGTGAGAGAGACTTCACCCAACCCTCAACCAACCAAACAAACAAACCAAACAAAGCTGCAGAAACGAGATGAGAGATGATGAGTGCGCCGTCTGTCTGACATCTCGCTTCCTTCCGTCTCTCGTCCCTTTCCCCTCCTCCCCTGTCCTTGTCCTTGTCCTTGCCCTTGCCCTTGCCCTTGTCCTTACCCTAGGAAGCTGGACCCCCGACCCCCTCATGCATGCACGCATATACCCGCCCGCACGCACGCGCTAGCCACGGATGCGTTTTCCGTGGACGGGCGAGTGGTGAGTGGCTGGCTGGCTGGGGGGGTACCTAGGCAATGCATGAGGAAGCAGGGATATATGCCTGTCTGCATGCATGTGCACGCTTGTGTGCGGCGCGCTTGCTGCTGCTGCTGCAGAGGAAAGGAGGCTGGTCGCTGGGGTCGCGTCGTGTATGTACCCTTAGTAGCTGTGAGTAGCGAGCGAGTGGCTGGGGAGGGGGACAGCGTGTTCGTTCGTTCGTGTTGTTGTTCGGCTGCTTTGGGGTTGGTGCTGTGTTGCTTGCTCGCTCTTGTCTCCTTTCTTGAATGCTTGAGTGTTTGGTGTTTATTGGGCGGGTTTGAGGCTGGTGGCTAGGTGGTGGCTGGCTGGGTTGGCCTGGCATTGACCTTGCTGGATGCGTAAGGTATGCGTGCGCCCTGCTTGCTGGCTGGCGGTCATGCGCGATTGTTGTGCTACCTACCTACTGCGCGATGGCGATGGCAACGCATTGCTATGGCAACACCTGGGGGTTCAAGAAGCAGCAGCTATAGTTGATAGCAAAAAAAAACAAAAAAAAAAAATCACAAAGCGCGTGGAGAGTGAAAGAAGTAGGCAGTGATTAAGATCGTGTTGCATTCAATTTTTTGAATTAAGCTGCGGGCGACTGACAGAGTGGTCAAAGTCCCCGACGAGCATTCATCGTTGTCGGCGGCGGCAGCGGCGGCGGCACGCACTCGATTAGTCCAGTAGTCCCATCATTAGATCCATGCGTCCGTCCGTCCGTCCAGCCGACCGAATTCCCATCCCATCCATTCAATCCGTCCATCGTGAAAAGGTTTGGCGCGAGGCCGTCGTGGTAGTGGTAGTTTAAAGCAAAGCAGAACAATTAAACAGAAAAAGGCAAAACAACAAAGGTGCTAGAAGCGCGTTGTTCTGGCGAGCCGCTTACAGGAAGACGGCGAAGAAGGCACCGGCACCGATCAGAGCGCCGGAGGCGACCTTGGCGATGGGGGCAGCGGCACCCTCGGAGGCAGAGGCCGAAGCAGAGGCAGAGCTGCTGCTGGAAGAGGACGAGGAGTCCGAGGTCTTGGAGGCAGACTTGGAGGCGGACTCGGAAGCCTTGGAGCCAGAGGCAGAGGCAGACTTGGAGGCAGACTCGGAGGCCCTGGAGCCGGAGGACTCGGCGGCACCGGTGGAGGCGGAGAGGACGAGGCCGGTGCTGGAGCCCTTGGTGGTGGTGATCAGGGTCGCGGGGCCAGAGATGACGGCCGTGGTGCTCTCGCCGGCCGAGACGACGACGTTGGTGGCCGTGCCGATGGCAATGGTCCACAGACCCGAGGTGGGCAGAGCAGGAATGGTCGCGACCTGGGCCATCGACGTCGCGGCGTTGGGCTGCGAGGTGACGACGCCGGGCATGCCGGTAACGACACCGCGCGAGTCGGTCATGGTGAGGAAGCGGGTGGCATCGTTGGAGTAGGGCACGCTGGTGATGCTGGCGGCAGCAGAGCTGGCCTCGGACGCGGCAGACGAGACGGCGCTGGAGATCTTGCTCTGTGAGTGGCGGATGGTTAGTCAGGGTCCTGCAGCTGAGGCGACGGTTGCGGAAGTGAGGCTTACGGAAGCGTCGGACTGGGCAAAGGCAGTAGCCAGAAGGGCGGTAGCGGCAACGAAGACCTTCATTGTGTGAGGCTAGAAAGCGACAGTAGGAGGATATTAGAGTAGAATTAAGGCAAACGATTGGGATCGGATGTGAGAGCGAGAGCGGTAATGGGTGCAGAGGGAGAGAAAGTCGGACAAGAGAGGCGGGTTTTGTATTGCTCCATGGCATCCATCCATGGCGCGCCCGGGGAGCAACCGAGTCCGTGCGCAATGACGCCGTCGCTCAGCACGAACGGCCGTGTCTCTGTGGAGTGAATCAACATTTAATTTTATCAGGCGCCCCCCCCCCGGCCAGGTCTTCCTCCGTGCGCACGCTGCTTTTCTTCCGTCCTACTCGTATTTGCTACGCGGCCTCCGTCTCTAGAGTTGTGTCTTCGCCTCCTTCTCCGTTTGCTCACGCGCCCCAACCCAACCCATGCAACATACTACCCGTACTTGGGCTCACGAACCAGGATCCCGCATTGGCGTGACAGCCCCCTCCCTCCCACGCCAGGTGTTCAGCGGCTTAAGGCGCCGCCTTTCTCGCTCACTCTCTCTCCACCGCGCTCGGGCTCGTGTTGGTCGCACGCCGGGACCAGGGGGCGCGCTGGGGGTCGCAGTGTTTGCTGGCCGCGGCCGCAATTTGTGCTGATCTATCAGGATAAGTTATCGCGCGCTCCGAGCGTTGTTGAACAAGTGCTGGTGTGGACTGTGGTGGTCCTTTCGGCACTGCCCTACCGACGGCGGGTGGTGGCTTAGTGAATGGGCTAGAAAGAACCTCACCAGTCACCACACTTGCACACCTGCTTACCATCGGCCCGATGGCCTACTGTGCCTTCGATGATGATGCCGCCCACAAGTTTTCTGTCACCCTTCTTCTCCATATACGAGGAGGTGCTATTCTTAGCCAAGCCCAAGCCCGCGAGGCGTCGATGGTTGCATTGACGGATTTGCAGATCGTCCAGGCAAACAAAAACGCTCTTGGCTCTCTTATCCCCCGGTTTTTTACTCTCGGCCGTTGCTGCTCAGTGCTTCTGCGATTGCGAGGTGCTACATGCAGCGTGCGGCGTGTGCGCCAAAACAAAAAAGCAAAGCAAGGCGAGATGCAAGACCAGTTCACGCATGCCTTGATCTTCAGGCGCCGAGTCTAGGGAACTGTACTTCACCCGATCGCGCTCCGGCTCCCGATCAGGCTGGCCACTCCACCGCCGACACTCAACTGGCGACAACGGGCCGGAGCCTAAAAAACTGTGTCTCGTTGGCACGAAAGGTACGTACCTAGTAGCCCAAGTAACTACTCCTTCTTTTCGCAGCCCGGATTAGGAGGTGTGCCCAGCGTGCAGACATGCAGCACGCAGGGTCAGGACTCAGCCGCTCGTTAATGCAAGCCCACCTTGAGCCGCACCATCAGCTCCCTCGCTCCCACTCGATACCAACTCTAGACACACGCCCGAGGCAGCCGTCGTCATCGGCCAGCCGTCCGCCCTGTTTGCAGGCAGGGCTCGCGCGCCGAGTCAGGCACGGCTGGGCTCGAGCACGCTCCTCCCCCGGTGTTTGTTGTTGTTCGCGCGCGCCCAGGCACCACCTCGTCGCCGTGGCCCGCTCTCTTCACCGCCAGATACAGACGATCCGTCACTTAGCACGTGGTGGCCGCTTGCGCCGCCGCTGGCCGCGAGACAGCGGCCGTGCCACCACTTAGTGCACCACGAGACGAGACGAACACTGCTGTCGGCGCGTTGCATTTTGTGCTGGACCTGGTGCTGGCGCGCTACCTACAATACCACCCACCCCCTGTGCCTGGTGCCTGGGGCGTTGTGCGCGCGCCCGCCCCGTCCCCAGGAGGCCGCGCTGCTGCTCCGGAATAATCGTCGCTGGCCGCTGCTGCTGCGTGCGGTGCGTCTGGGGAACGCGGAGACGGGCGTGCGGGCGCAATTGGGGGGATGTGTGTTGCCAGCTGCTGGCGCTGATGATATATCTCATTCTCATGGCGAATAGCTACGATATCTACCCTCGCATGGGCGGCGCGAGAATTAATACTTGCGCATGCACTCGAACATGCGCGCTTGGTAGGCAGAGTACCTAGGCGAACGGCACAGCAGCTACAGCAGCACCCTGTTTCCGGCCCTTGAATGTCATCTCATCTCATCTCCGCCCCATTCAACCCTGTCCATTCTCCCCAGTCGACCCTGGTACCTCGTCAAAACCTCCCTCCTCCTGACGCCTTGGCTTTTCAAACCTATAAAAAGGCATCACTACAGTCAGCTTCTCATCAAAATGGCCGCATGGCCCAATGGCAAGGCGCTTGACTACGAATCAAGAGATTCCAGGTTCGACCCCTGGTGTGGTCATCATTTTTGTCTCCTCTTTCAACACTCCGACAACAATTTTTTTGCTCAAAATAACGAAGTGGAGCCGCCGCTCTTGGTTGGGCGGCTGCGCGAGCGCTAGGAGTTAGTGTTTCGGGCTGTCGGGTCCGAGATGCCGAGACTCGGGCGTGCAGAGGCCGAGAAAGGGGAACGGACGCTGGCGATGAGAGTCGCGACCTGTGGGATGACGGCGCCGGTGCGAGGGCACCGAGCCTGACTGGATGTGACTGTAAGTGGTGGCGGCGGCGGTTGCGGTGGCGGTGGCGGTGGCAGTGCGTGCTAAAGTCGGGGGTCTGGAGCGCGGTTGCGGCGGCAGCGTTTGCGGTTGGGGTTGGGGCTGGGGTCGGGGGCGTGGTGGGAAATGAATGGCTTGGTGATGGTGGCTTAGGAGGGAGGGGGTGCGAGGTTTGAGATGTGGAGAGTTTGGGACGGAGGGAATATAGAAGAATAAAGGGGATGAGGGGATAGGTTTAAAAAAAGGGGGGTAGAAGTAAGTGGAGTGGTACGGATTACGCCAAGAGGTGTGTCCGGGAGATCTACTAGTTACTTGTGCTTTTGCCTGCTATCTGTACCTATTCCCCGGTTCCCTATTACTGCCTACTTGCTGAATCTAAAACATATACATACACGCACGACCCACCCCATCCAACCACATTGACACAGTGCAACACAACATCACTTCCAATACAGCTCGTCAATACCCGCAACACGTAAATACTAAATCACTCGCTCGCCCTACGTGATAGCACACCTGTGAAAGCATATGGCTTCGTCTTTGCCCTTGTATTATTTTTATTATAACTTTATAAGATACCCGACGCTCTTGTACATCTTCGCCTTTATGTCCATACAAGTATTCCAATACCTAATATATTTCTACCCTTACATATCTACCTAGCGACTACCAACCATAGCATTCTAGCCTATTATATCTACACAAGGAGTACTAAGTAGGCACGGTAGACTGTACTTAACATGTAATCAAGGGATACCACCAACAAACACATCCAAACCCGACCTCATCACCCAGCCAACCACGCCCCCACGCCCAGCCCCAACAGATCACACCCGCCGTCGCACCCGCACCCGCACCCGACGCTGACGTTGCCCCCATGCCGTGACGCCGCGCCACGCGGAACCTTGGGCGCTGCTGATGTGAGCGGGGGCGGATTGGGCTGGGAGGGTTGGGCGTGGGTAGGGGTTGGAGGTGATGCGTTGATGGCCTGATCGATTCAACATACCTAGGCAAGAACGAGGCGAGTTGGTTGTAACGTCAAGAAGATGAGGGAGAGAGAAGATTGAGGTGAGAAAGAGTTCTGTCAACGCTAACGCTAAGACTACTGCTACTGTTGCTACTGCTACTACCCACTACCATCGTTGCTACCGTACGCATACCGCTGTCTGTTCACCGGTTCAGCAATCTATGGGTTGTGCATGTAGTATGGAAGAAGCTTGGGGTTTGGGGTTGAAAACGTGCATGTTTATGGGGGACAGGCTAAGATGACAAGCTTGACAAATGAACAACCAAACAAGCTAAGCAGGCAACATATTAAATCGAAGCGAAGCAACAACACCAAGCAAACACCGCACACCCCTCTCTCCATCCCCCTCTTGCCCAGTCTCTCTCACCACTACCACCACATCATCCTCCCCTCAGTCACCCGCCCCTCCCCAACACCACCCTACCTAAACATTTCCCCCAAGACAATCTTCCTCGCCGGCCTCGCGGGGCTCTTATCATGCGCCGAGCGCCTGCGCCGCACCCATGCATACTCAGGCTTCTTGGACCGCCCACGGTCCTCGATGAGCAGGCGCGTGCTGCTGCGGTCCTTGATGCGGCGCGTGTGCTCGAACAGGATGTCCGTTTCGCGCGGGTCCATCTCGCGCATGATGATGATGTATTCTGCGTCGTTCTGCTGGGGCGTTAGCAGCGCATGGGGGAAGGAGGGGCGAGAGATGCCTACCCGGTCATATTCCCATGGCAAATCATAGTACTTCAGCGTCTCGATGCTCAGATACTCGCGCTTGACCTTCACATACGTCGGCGTATGCGGCGGCTGGTGGTGATGGTGATGATGGTCAACCACCGTGAGCGGGTTATTTGGCCCCGCGCCGGCCTGCAGCTCCGCCGCCTTGGCCGGGTCCAGGATGCCCTGGATCTGGTTCTCTTGGAAGCCGAACTGCACGAGCTTCTTGCGCATCTCGGCCTCGAGGCGTTCCTCCTCGGCCTTCTTGGCTGCCTTCTCCTGGGCCTCCTTCTCCTTGCGCTTGCACTCGTACTCCTCCCACGCCGCCTTCTCCTTGGCCGCCTTCTCGGCCTTCTCCTTCTCGATCTTGGCTAGCAACGCTTCGCGCTCGGCCTGCTCTCGCGCTGCCGCCTCCGCATTCTGCTTCTCCACTTCGGCGATGATTCGCGCACGCTCTTCGGCTTTGTGCTTCATCCTGGCCAGCTTGGCCTTCTCCTCCTCGTCGATGATGCGCTGCCGCTCCTCCGCCTCTTTCTTGGCTTTCTTCTCTTGCTCGCGCGCAAACTCCTCCGCCGCGGCCTTCCTCGCCGCGGCCTCACTGGCAGCGCGCTCCTTCTCCTCGCGGACCGCCGTCTTGCGCAGCTCGTCCTGGCGACGCTCTTCCTCGGCGCGCGCCCGCTCGTCCTCCAGCCGCTTGCGCTCGTACTTCTCGCGGATGCGCTCCTCCTCGCGGCGAATACGGTCTTCTTCTTCCTCGCGCTCCGCCTTGCTCTTCAGCATCTGCAGCTCTACTCGCCGCTTCATCAGCCGCTCCTCCTCTTCGCGCTCCGCCTTTTCCCGCGCGTACTTGCTCTCGAGCTCGAGGCGAAGCAGGCCCTCCTCCTTCTCCCGCCGCATCCGCTCCTCCATGTCGCGCAGCCGCTCACTCGTCGCCGCCAGCTGCAGCTGCGCCCGGTACTCGGGCGGCGTACGATCTCGCTCGGCGCTGCCCCAGTGCTCATGCCGGTGCTCGTGCCGATGGAAGTTAGGTGCGTCGCTCAGGCCGCGCCCCCGCGACCGCTCGCGGATGATCCGCACCTCCATGTCGTCGTTGAGGGCCCACTCGTCGTCGAGGGGGCGGCCGCGCGGCGACGGCGTCGCGCTCGCCCGTGTCGGCGCCTGTTGGTCGGCTGTCAGGCGCGGGTTCACGTTGTTGTGGATGTTGAGGATGTGTGGCGTGGGCCGCGAGCCCGTCGACCGGCTGCGGTGAATGCCTGCTGCATGGAAGTGGCCGTGTTCGGGCTCCAGGAGCCCACTGCGCCGTCCCATAGGTGGGTGGACGTGTCGTGCCCCGGCGCTGATGCCACCACCGATGCCGCCGCCACCCCACTCGCCGTCCATGGACCACTCGTCGTCACCGCCGAGGCCGTAGTAGCGCGGCATGGTGTGTAGTGAGGACAAGGAAATGGATTTGGATTTGCGGAGTTGAGGCTAGTGATGGTGCAGATGTATTGTTTTTTCCGTGATCAGACTGCGGTGTAGGCAGAAGATGAAAAGGCTAAGGCAAAGGGTAGAGCGATGGGGAGCCGTAGGTGTCAGCGCTAGGAGCGGGAGACGGAAAGAGAAGGGGCGAGGCTGAGGCTAGGACGGGAAGGTGGTGGATGACCTGGGGGGGTCACACGGCTGAGAGGGGAAGGAAAGGCGTGACTCGGACGAATGACGGATTGAAGTAGGAAGGAGGAGAGAAGAAGAGAAAAAGAGAAACAGATGAGGTCAAGAGATGAGACGGATGACTAGATAAGTAGGAGGCTGTGGGCGTTAGGCAGAAATAGCAGCGGCTTGGTGGGGGCTAAAAGGGCGTGTTTGGGGCTTGCGGTCGCACATGGATGGATGGCATCAGCAGCTCACATGCGGCAATCAAAGAGGTGGATTTGCAGCCTTGTTCTAGTGACAAACAACTCTCTCTCTGTCTCAGCGCTTAAAGAGCTGCTCCAGGTTGTCGCGACTGTTCTTGTACGTCGTCTCCAGGTAATGCAGCTTCTTCTCCAGGTTGACCGTGTCGCCTTTGAGCTCCTCGCCCTCGGCCGCCAGCCGCTGTTTCACGTCGTCGCGCGGGCTAAAAACAAACCTGCCGGGGGATGTGAGATGTTTGACAAGGGACAAATCGGCGGCACGTACATCTTGCCCACGCCCTCATACACCTTTGTGTCGGGCGGCAGCGCGTCCACCTCGCTCGTCGTCAGCTGCAGCATGCGCTGCTCGCGTGCCTTGGCCGCCATTTGCGCCTTGACGAGGCCCATTTGCTGCTGCGAGAAGGCGGCCTTTTGCTCGATCTCTTGCAGGAGCTGCCGAGACCAGTCAGCCGGGGAGGCTTAGTACTACTTTCTGGTACTTGCCTTTTGCAGTGCCTCGGGCGGAATCGACATTGTGGCGGCGACGACGATCAAGGAATGAATGAATGGATGTCGAGTGGGAGGGCGGGAGTGGGTTGCAAGCTCCGACACAGACGCAAGCGCTAGTGACGCAGCGAGGATTGCCAGAAGCTCTCTGTTATAGGTAATGTAGCTACCTTATGCAGTGCAGAGACAACAGAGAAGCGTGATCTCGCGTCCTACCTACCCACTTCCCCACCATGACAAATAGGTAGTCATCGTATTGTACTCGTCATTCGCTTGCCCTCAGCTTCCGTCCATCCCGGCAATCCTCCCCGTCCTCTACCCTCCTCACGCCTCTACCCTCTACATCCTCCACCCACCATGCCTTCGTGGTTACCTTCGATACCCTATCCGCCCGCGGGCGACGGCTACTGGTCGCCCGTCACATCCACGCTCAATTGGTGCGAAGAGGCAAGCAACGAGCTACGCGCGCGCCGCATCCACAGCCCAGCTAACCCGCTCCCGACCTGCAGGACTACTATGCCACCATCTACAGCGCCGAGATCGTCAACACGCTGACGAACCTGCTGTTCGTCTACCTGGCCTTCAAGGGCATGGCCAACTGCGTCCGCAACGACCACGACTCCATCTTCCTCATCACCTTTGCCGGCTACCTCGTCGTCGGCACCGGCTCCTTCCTCTTCCACAGCACCCTCAAGTACCCCATGCAGCTCGTCGACGAGCTCTCCATGATCTACACCACCTGCCTCATGTTCTATGCCACCTTCAGCTACGGCCGCTCGCGGCGCTACGCCCAGGTGCTGGGTCTTGGTCTCGTTGCCCTCGCCGCCTTCATCACCGGCTACTACCACTACCTGCAGGACCCGGCCTTCCACCAGAACATGTACGCCCTGCTCACCGCCGTCGTCCTCTTCCGCAGCATGTACATCATGGAGGTGCGCATCCGGCCCAGCTTCCGCGCCAAGCGCGCCGCTGCCGCTACGGACGCGGACAAGGTCGCTGCCGCGGGTAGTAAGGGCAAGGAGCAGGATGCGCGCGACAGCGCCCGCCGCGACGCCCGCGACGTCGAGATCCTCCGCACCATGTGGACCATGATTGCGTTCGGCCTCGGCATCTTCCTCTCCGGCTTCGCTATCTGGACCCTCGACAACGAGTTCTGCGGAGCGCTGCGCCGCTGGCGCCAGCAGATCGGCTTGCCTTGGGGCGTTTTGCTCGAGGGACACGGCTGGTGGTACGTTTTACAAACCCTTCCCATACCTGGTCCCTCCCCCATACCTTCTCCTTCACCAAGTAGCTGCGACAGTAGCTGTAGAAGTACCGCGACTGACACCTTCCTCACCACAGGCACCTCATGACGGGCACCGGCGCCTACTTCTACATCGTGTGGGGCACCTGGCTACGCCACTGCCTCAACGGCCGCCAGGACGAGTACTACCTGCACTGGCCGAATATGCTGACCATGCCGACCGTGTGCAAGCACAAGCGCGCCGCAGCGCAGAAACAGCAGTAGCGGGCTGGCGGGCGAGTGAGCGAGCCGGCGGAAGGAAGCTCGAAGCGGCCGGAGCGTTAGGGGGAGAGGACGAGCGCAAGGGGGGAGCCAGGGCGCGCGGACGGCGCAAGAAGGCGGGTGTGCGGTTGGTGGGTGCGGGTCGCGTTGACGCTGGCTCGCCAGGCCGTGCGTGTGAGCGTGCGAGGGATGAGCGGCGCCTAATCAGGCCTGCTGATGCGGCGAGCGAGCGCGTGCGTGTGCGCTTGGGCGAGACGACTGCGAGATGAATGTGTGCGTGCGCAGGAGAAAAACGAAGGGTGAAGGGGTGGAGAGACAGGCAGCACGGCTTGGTACCGTACCGTATGGTACCAGCGTCTCCGACCAGCCTCATCCGCCCAACCTCACGAGGACGCAAACATCGAGGCTCCACCACGCGCCTGCTCGCTGCCTCGCCTTATCCTATCCTATCCTATCCTATCCCACCTATGCCCGCCCCGCTCCGATCTCTTTCCCCTTCTTACCCCTCTACACCAGCACCTACCCCGCTCGACGCCGGAATGCCAGAGAAGAAGAAATCACCACCATACCAGAAAGACCGACAACCCGAACAGCAGAACTGGGAATTAGAAGACACTTAGAAGCAAGAAGAAGAAGAGCGATCACGACAGCGACGGCGACAACGGGGCGTTTTTGCAATTGGTTTGAGCGGGTCTTCCTTCGTGTTTGTTGTTTGTTGTTTTATCTAGATAGAAGAAGAAGAAGAAGAAGAAGAGGGAGGAGGAGGAGACTGAATGGAGGAAGGGGAGGCGTGTATGTGTATTGTATTTATAGGATTAGGTGCTGTTGTGGTAGAGTAGGGATAGGTAGGAGTAGGCTCGTCGGATATTAAATGAGTATTAGACGTTAACTGTGGTACTGGTTGTGGGATTGGGTGGTGTGGATGCCGCTGCTTGCTGCCTGTTTAGCTGTGTGCGTGTATGCCACCCTCTTCCACTTCCCAAAGCAGTATATTTTGGATGCAGCACGCAGATATACACATGCACAACTTCTCGCAGCGTACAACAGAAGGCAGGAACTCCCTGTTCCAGCAAATACACTGGGAGGATATCGTTACTAGAGTCCTCACCTTTCAGGGCTTGCTCGCGACTCTCACTTCGACGTATGTTATAAGTCTTCTCGTAAATGGCGGGTATGGATATGGAGTAAGACAGCGCTGTGCCGGTGGTGGTGCGCGTCAGCGCGGTGAGGTGGTGCAGGACTGCACTTATTTGCGGTGGTGTTGATTGTCTTCTTCTCTAAGGGCCAGCCCGGCTCTTCTGTTCTCTCTTCCTTTCAATAATCTTGGGTTAGGTATTTCGTGTGGCACCTGCCTACATGTGCAATGGTATCTTTTGGAACCACATCGCGCTTCGCCTTCCATATGGCTGGAGTGAGGTCCGGTGCTCGTGAATACATCGTCGCTTCTATGGATCTGGTGTGGCTGCTATTTAAACTGGGGACGGTGGGTGCGTGGTATGTTACTGCTGAGGGAAGAGGGGGTGGGTGGGAAGGATGTGGGAGAGAGTGTGAAGCATTATAGTGCAGACAATTATGTTTTTTTGGAATTGGGTATATGCAGTGGAGCTGCGTTTGAAGGCTCTGTTAAGTTTTACTTCAGAGTCAACATGAGGAGGATGCTATTGTAACTGTTGCTACTGCGCCTTATAAAGAGCCATGGTAGCATTTGAGGATTGAGATGATTAGATGTGGTGGCTAAAGCGAAGAAAACAACAGTTTATGAGGCTGAGTCGATTGGTATATAGTCAACTATATCTCATAGCTTCTACACACCTCCGCCACATGCTGCGTCACTACATCCTCCACTGGTATCTGACCTGTCTCTGCTCGCCGCCATAGGAACTAGCGGATATTTGACAAGAAGTCATCCAGCTCGGATAGCGTAGTTTCCAGTGCCCACATACAGTCTTAAATATGTCGAGGACGTGATGAACTGAAGGCACTGGACCCAGCAGCCCCGGGGACTTGATGCGAACAAGAGCGTTATCCTCTTCTTTGGGAAGCTTTAGAGTTTGACTAACAGCATCCACACCCACTTCGGCTTTGACAATTCCAGCGATGATTATCTAGGCCCTAGCATTACCTCTTAGGTTCCTGCTGGACGCATATTGCGGCATTTACTTGCGACACCTACTCCTGCCGCACTTACTTTTCAGCCAAGCGTGCAGAACAGAACGCATTAACAGAAGCAAATGATTGTCAGAACCAACAGATGAGATAGCTGAGGATCACCACTGGAGCTAGATGGTGCGTAGCAATGCTATGGCCGGGCATTTATAGAACTCTGTTATGAGAGTATACGCCCGACTACGTAATAAATATAAAAACAAGGGGGACAACCCCGACACCAGAGTTGGGGAATATGTAGAGTTGGTTAGACACTAGAATGGAGTAGTAGCATGAACTGTTAGACTAGGTGATCGACGAAGAGCAAGGTATGAAGCCATCCCCGTAGCAGCGTATCTCAATACAGATGCTCACTGATTGGTATTAGTGGTGTTTTGTGCTTCTATTTGCTTATCTGTTTATTTATTTGTTAGTGGATACGGCATCTCTGATCATTTGCTCAATAGCAAGAGCGGGTCTTTGCGTAAAATGGTGGCGCTGGTATTGTGAATGGTTGTTAGAGGATAAAGGAGAAGAGGACAAAGATGCTTTATATGCACAATGCACGGTAACCACAGCCGTGGCAATTGCTGATGCTGCCTGCATTGGGCAAACGTCTGCTCTTGTGCCGGAAGCGGCAGCAACAACTCTCTGTATTGACGGCCGAAGTTGACGTAAAAAGTATACAGTCCAATTGTACAATTCGAAATGCGTGGAAGAGGAGTGACGCCAGAGCGCGTTCCTTATTTGTTCTTGGTTCTCCTCTTGCCCTGGTTCCTCTCGCGGTCCTGCACCAGCCACTTGTTCGGGTTCCTCTTCTTGCGAGTCTTGTAACCACCCTTGGCCTATACGGACATACCAATTAAAGAGGCATTCTTTAATGTAAGAGAATCGAGTGGGATGACTTACCGGCGTGCCCCAAGGACTGACAGGGTGCACGTTACCCTTCGATTTACCTCTACCACCACCGTGAGGGTGATCCGCCGCGTTCATGGCCACACCACGCACCGAAGGCCTCTTGCCAAGCCATCGCGAACGACCGGCCTTTCCGATCTGTCTGAAGTGGTGGAACGGGTTGCTGGCAACGCCAATGGTCGCGCAGGCGTTCTTGTCGCATCGCCTAAGCTCACCGCTCTGAAGCCTCACTGTAACATCCCTGACTTTCTGGCCGGGGTCGCCCTTGGACATGACGACGGCGTAAGTGCCGGCGCTGCGGCAGAAGACGGCGCCCTTGCCGGCTGTCGACCCGACGTTGAAGACCTGCGTACCCAGCGGCACCATGTGCAAGGGCAAACAGTTGCCACGGAAAGCAGTCTTAGCCGCAAGCATACCGGGATCGATAGTGCCACCCATAGAGGCGAGAAGCTCCTTGGGAATGCCAGGAAGAAAGCTCTCGATGGTCTCGCCGGCTCTCATGCCCTCCGGAGCGATGATGTAGCTCTTCTTCCCAGTCTTCTCGTGGATGAGCAGGGCAAGATGTGCGCTACGGTTCGGGTCGTACTCGATGCGCTCCACGCGATGCCTGCCGGCCTCTTGCCTCTTGAAGTCGACCATCCGTATCCTGCGCTTGTGTCCACCTCCGCGATGCCTGACCGTGACCTGACCGGTGGAATTACGACCACCCTTTCCCTGGCCGGTCTTGGCGAAGGTGAGAGGCTTGTACGGCTTTCCCTTCCACAGATGGTCGTTGACGGGGCGGCGCAAGTGACGCAGACCGGGCGTCTGGGGCTTGTACGTCTTCAGGACGAGCTTGGCGGTCTTCCGGGAGCGACCTTGGGGTTGCGACGAGGCATCGTAGGCATTGACCTGGGGCTTGATGGCTTCGGTGGTGGGGGGAGGATTGGCCGTGGCAGCAGCAGAGGCGTAGGTGCGGACAGAGTTGAACAGACAGGTGCGCGACTGGCCGACGGCGCGGGCCAGGGCTGCCCGAGGTTGCAGCATCTGGACGGGTGGGGGTGCGAGTTGGAGTAGGCTACGCGGCCATTGGGAGGTGGGGGAAGCAGAGCAATCGTCAATGCACGGCAGCCAATGCTGAGGTTCAAGAAATCTATCGCGAAGTCGTAACGCTAGGACCCAATCGGGACTGGGGCGGAAACGACCAACACGTCTCTTGGGCCCTCGACGCGCCTGACCGCTGTTGCAACAAAGCTCGAGGCCCGTTTTACGCGTGCACCTGAGCCCCTCGAAAATTCACCAGACAGCCGCCGCACGCAGCCGTCGCCGCACGCTTCGCGTTTGGTCTGAGCAGGAGGCCGCACTACGGTTGCCCGGTTATCGCCCTCGTCCCGGGTTGGCAGAACACGCTAGTGACATAAGCCGGACAGCCCATAACAAACTCGCAGCGCACTACGGCCACTTCCTACAAGACACTCCCCAGAGGGCACGTCAATCCGCAACGCACCCGCCTTGGACGGTCGCATCAGTTGCTCTTCCCATAAGTCCGTCTCCCTCTCCACGTCCAAAGCTGCTTTGCACGTCACTTTCACGTCTCTGCACGTCGCATCCGCACCCTCAAATTCGCCAATTTCGACGCACCTCAACCGTGTCCCAGGCTGTGCATGCTCTCCGCATCTCGGCCTCCCTTCTTGTCCGCATCCGCAGCATAATTGCTGATACCTTGGCTTCCATAGACGTCCGTCCCATCCAGTCCGTGCTTATTTTGGGCTCAGCCGAATTGGGCAATGCTAACATACGAGTAAACAGTACCCATCAACAATCATCACGTCCGCTACCTCCGCACAACGCTACCTTATAGTAGCCATCATAGACAGAGATTCCCAATTGACTTAAACCCCCTCATTATACCACACAATGCCTCCCGTAAGTCGGCCCTGCTTCGGTAAACAATCAAGGCCTTGGAGCTCTGAGGTCATCAGAGGCCAAGAGTCATCATCTCCATCACCACTATGACGACTAACCTTTCCTCCCAGGCACGGCCAGCCAGCCGGCGTACAGTGACGAACGAGAATGATGAGAACGCGACGACGACACGTCTGACGCGCGCAAAGGCCGCCGCGCTGACGTCGTCACAAGAGACGTCCGCCGCCGATCCTCCGAAGAAGACAACTGCCTCTAAGAAGTCGACGACTAGCACCACCACCCTCACACGGAAAAGGAGCGCGTTGGGAGATGTCACGAACGCGAAGGGCGAGGTAGCTGACGCGAAGGGTGGAAAGGAGGGGAAGGAAACCAAGAAGCCATTGTCCACCAAGCGTGGTCCCGTCGCTCAGGCAGCGGCGCCCACTGGCATTTCGAAGCCCACCCGCTCCACCACGACGCGTTCCGTTCTTGGTTCCAAGGAGAAGTCGACGGCCGGCAAGCGCCCTGCCAGCGGCAATGGCATCACCGGTGCTGCCACCAAGAAGCGCAACACGACCAAGGCCGCCGTGGAACCCATCAAGGAGGAGGACGAGATTCATGTTGCGCAGGAGAATGTCGCCCCTCCTGTCAAGGCCACCAAGTCCAAGGTCGAAAAGGTTGTCGAGAAGGTTGTTGAGCCTGAGGCCCCGAAGTCGAAGCCGGCTGAGGTTGCGGCCAAGCCCGAGCCCGTCAAGAAGGCCGTTCCCCAGGAGGTCGAAGAGGAAAAGTTCGATTACCCGGATATCCCTGACCTCGACGAGGAAGATGCCAACGACCCCTTGATGGTTTCGGAATACGTTGGAGAAATCTTCGAGTATCTTAAGGAATTGGAAATCACCACCATGGCGAACCCTGATTATATGAGTAACCAGAGCGAGCTCGAGTGGAAGATGCGCGGTATCCTGGTTGACTGGCTGCTCGAGGTCCACACACGCTTCCGTCTCCTTCCTGAAACTCTCTTCTTGGCGGTGAACATCATTGATAGGTTCCTCTCCCGTAAGATTGTTCAACTGGATCGCCTGCAGCTCGTCGGTGTTACCGCCATGTTCATTGCTTCCAAGTACGAGGAGGTCCTCTCTCCCCACGTCCAGAACTTCCGCCACGTCGCCGACGATGGCTTCACGGAGGAGGAGATTCTCAGCGCCGAGCGCTTCGTCCTTGCGGCCTTGGACTACGACCTCTCGTATCCCAACCCCATGAACTTCCTCCGCAGAATATCCAAGGCCGACAACTACGACATCCAGACGCGTACTCTTGGCAAGTACCTGCTTGAGATCTCTTGCTTGGACCACCGTTTCATCGCCTACCCACCTTCTCAGATCTCGGCCGCTGCCATGTACCTGTCGCGTATGGTTCTCGAGCGCGGCGAATGGGACGTCGTTCTTGCTCACTACGCTGGCTACACCGAAGAGGAGATCAAGCCGGTCCTTGAGCTCATGATCGACTACCTCAAGTCCCCTGTTGTTCATGAGGCCTTCTTCAAGAAGTATGCCAGCAAGAAGTTCCTCAAGGGTAAGTTCATGATCCCTCAGATGTCTATACAATCGCTAACACGGACACAGCATCCATCGTTCTGCGCCAATGGGCTAAGAAGTTCACTGTCGACGGCGTCTCACTAGACGCTGTCAAGGCTGCCTGCAAGGCTCACTAGTACCATTATCAGTGATCGTTTCGCCGGACAAACATCTTCCTTTCTCTTGTTGTGTCCTCCGACATGATCTGGCAACGACCGACGCACCTTTTCTATCGATCCCGTATCGCCTGTCAAGGTGTGTTCATTACAATTGCATTTCTGGTATCCCCTTCCTCATCATCGGCGTCGGCCTCGGGAAAGGTCTGGCTTTCGAGATATGTTTCATTCAAGATGGCGTATTAATGGGTTTGCAACGGGTGTTTTTTTACTACATTGGCTCTGGATACAATAACCTTCTCCCCTACCTGGCTATGGTGGATGTGGTATGCATGCATGATGGGGACGGTGGTGTCGGCCGACACCAGGACGCAACATTGGACACCAAGGGGCGTTGTCCAAGGTTCAAAAACGGCCGCGGCCTGCCTCTCCTGCCCTCCATGCCTGGGATTGCGTCGGGGGCGGGGCTCAGGGGCATTGCCGTCGTCGAGCCAACTGGCGCCGATGTGACGGATGCATGTACTTTAAGGAAAAGAAAGGAAACAAGGACAGCGAGAAGGTACCAGGAGGGCTTTGGGAACCCCATCATCTCTTCAATCGTCGAGAATCATCCTCTTTTTTTTGTTTACGGCCGAGGAAGGCGAGCACGTGCAAAGTGCCGTCTGCTATTTTCAGCGAGTAGCGAGCGAAGCGTGCGTGTGTTGTTATTCCAAGCGGCAGACAGACAAAGCAGCCTCTCTTCCCTTTGTTCTCTCTACTACCACCAGTCTCACAGCAAGCAGCCGGGGCTAGTGTTGTTTGTGTTGTTACCCATTGCCATATAGGTAGTTACCACAGCGACACACCCGACGACGAAATGAAACCACAATCACCTCATCACTGCTACGCGCAAGCCAAGCCAGACGCCAGACAAAAAAGGCGCCACTCACGACAGAGCACGCAACCAGCAGCCTGTCCCTCCTGGCTCCTCAACCCCTCACCACCCCCTTATCCCGTGCAGCAGCAGCGGTGGGCGGTTCGTTGCCGCAGCGACGCACCGCTGCTCCGCTCACGCGCACAGCAAATCGCTCGCTGGACGGACCATGGCGCGATGCCGCGCCGTTTCAGCCGGGGCGCGTGCGAACGCCGCATCGGGAAGGTGCTTGTCGGTGACGTTGGGGTTGACGTCGGCTCGTGCCCGTTGCCCGTTCGTCATCCTCATCGTTCCTTGTTGTCGTCGTAAGGTATTCTTAGTGCTCGAGTAGTTGTCGTAGGATTGGGTGATGGCTGGGCACGCGCGTGGGGGGCGCGAAAGCCGCGCGAGGGACGTGGCGCGCACGCGATGCTTATTATATTGGGAAGCTAGGAGAGGCAGGTACGTATTTGCGATACGTGCTGCTGGCTCCCTCGCTAGGCAGAGCAGCTAGTTACCCCGCTTGGGGATAGGTAGCAAGGGAGGGAGATAGATGCGGAGTACTACGTACTACTCCAAGCAAGCAGCAACAAATAACCAAGTTACCCTTTGCGGGCTCACTCACACACGGCACGGGCCCACTCACTGCAAACTAACCACCACGCCTTCGCCCACACTTCCCCGCGCCGCCACGCCGTGTCAGGCAAGGCGCGGCTCTGCGCGCACCCGGGACAAACTAGCTACATAGCTAGCTAGCGACGGTAGCTAGCCTCACACGTCGTTCCATTCAGTAGCAATTTGTCGGCAGTGGGGGCTTGGCGTCTAGCGCCGCGGATCAGGACGACGTCGGCCGGCCAACGATACTTTCCTTGCCTACCACTCTACTCACCTACCTACCTATCCGAGAAAGCGACAGGCAGGCTTTTTCCCCTTGTGGACGCGCACGCACGCCCGTTTGAGCTACCTTGCCTGCCTATCTGGCTGCCTGGGTCCGCGAGCGACGCATGCGGCCTACGACCATGGCGAGCAACACCGCTGCCTCCGCCGCCGCTATGGCGGGCAATGAGCAAGTGCACGGCCGGCCGCAGGCGCAATTGCAAGCCGAGCACCCTGAGCAGGCTCCCGCCGCACAGCTGCAGACGCAAAACCAAGAGCAAGGAGAGCAAGAAGCCCAAGGACACTCGCCACAGCAGCAGCCACCAGACGACGACTCCGACGCCGACCCCCTCCTCGCCGCCTACCCGCACGCCTGCCCCTTCTGCAGCATCGCGGCTGCGTACCCGTACGCCACTTCTGACCCGGAAGCAGAAGGCGACGCAGACGCAGACGCAGATGACGAAGACGCAGATGCAGGCCCAGACGCAGACCTAGGCTCAGTTGCCCCGCTGCAGCGCTGCGTCCCGGTCGGCGCGGCCGCGGACCCCCAGCTCGTCGACCCCAGCGCGTTTGTCGTGCTGGCTGCGCAGCGCGTGCTCGCGTTTTTGGACATCTTGCCCATGACGCGGGGCCATTTGTTGGTGACGACGAGGCGGCATAGGGGTAAGGTGGAGGAGTTGGTGGGGCAGGGGGAGGAGGGGCGGGATCTTGGTGAGTGTTGTTTGAGTTTCGGTTGTTTTTACTTTTTCTTCCCTTTTCGTTGCCTCTCATTGTCTTTCGTTTTCTCTTTTTTGTTGGTTGTTTTTTTGATGTGCTGTTGCTCCGATGGTGGCGTTTTTGTCGGGAGGAGAGGTGGTGTGTGCTTTTTGCATTCGTGGTTTTGAGCAGCCACGGCTGTTGCTTTCCGTAGAGCTGAACTGCACACCCACTGCGCTGCTGACGACCAAGGACGGGATACTGACGCGTACATGCTAACCAGGTTTCTGGCTGCCACTTCTGGCCAAAACCGTTGCTCGAGTAACCGGCGTGACGGATTACAACATTGTGCAGAACAACGGTAGGTACTAGTTAGGCAATAGTGCTTCACACAGAGCCCCATCGTCCTACGACTTCACGCCTAGCTTCACAACCTGCGCTGCTCGCTTAACACCCATCTACTGACTCTATTTTCTCGTGTCAGGTATCCGCGCCGCTCAAGTGGTTCCGCACGTCCATTTCCACGTCATCCCCCGGCCGCCTGCGAAGCCAGAGCTCAAGAACAAGAGCTGGACCATGTTCGGGCGCGGACAGCGCGACGACTTGGACGACGACGAGGCGGCGGCATTGGCGGGCGAGATGAGGCGTGTGCTGCTTGAAGAGGTAGAAAGGCTAGACAGGCGGGGCCGCGGGAGTCGGTTATGAAAGTAGTGATGGTGCATCACTAGTGTACGCATGGTATTAGAGACAGATGTACAGAGAAGAAGATCGCCATCCCACTGTAGAAGGCGCGCGCGTGTTTTTTTTTTTTTTAATATCCCATGAGCCGCCTGATGTTACAAGAACGTTGAAGTACATACACAAGCCATATCGGGTCCTCCACTTCATGATATCTATTTGGCCTCCTCGGTGGCAGGGGCAGCGTCCTCCTTGGGCTTCCCCTCGTCCTCCATCTGCATCTTCCTGCCCTCGAGAGTGAAATACACGCTCCTGGTAGCACCCTCGAGCGCCGTCGTGACCTGTGCACCAAAGCCCTGGAGCATAGCAACGAGCTGGCCACGCAGGCCCTCCAAGCCACCGGGAATGCCACCAACCCAGCGCGTGCCCGCCTGGTCAAAGACAGAGCCCTCGACGCGCGCACCCAGCAGCATCAGCTTCGACACGCCTGAAATCACGCTCGGGTCGTGGTAGTCGGGGTTGACGCGGCGCCTCGGGGCGGGGAAGTCGGGGGCGTGGGGCGCGAGGGTGCACAGCGCGGCCTTGAGGTGCTGAGGCGAGACGGCGGGGAAGGCCAGCGCGGCGACGGGCCCGGACAGCAGCACCTCGAGCTCCAGACGGCTGCGGCGCGCCTTTGCGGCGTCGTGGGCGGCGCGCGAGAGGCCGTGCGTGGGCTGCTCGTCGAGGGCGACGGGGGCGCTGGAGCTGGTGCGCGGGTCCGTGGGGTGCACCGTCTCGGCGGCAGCACCGGCGGGGTCCCAGAACTCGACGACGCGCAGGGCGCTGCCGAGCAGGCCGGCCTGCAGGACCTGGATGCGCGCCGAGTCGGCGAGGCCGGTGCCAGTGCCCTCGTCGCCCGCCAGCCCCAGCTCCACGTCGACGGCGTGCAGGGCGCGGTGCAGCTCGCGCCGCACGCCGGCCCACTCGGTCGCGCGCAGGTTGTTGTGCTGGAACAGCAGCACCAGCGGCGACGACCGCAGCAGCGACGTGTACTGGCGGTGCAGCTGCGACTTGCGGAACTCGGGCGGCTTGTACGAGGGCGGCTGGTTGGCGGGGTGGCGGCGGATGGGCGAGGCGGCCTGCGTCTGCTGGGCGAGGGGCGGCGCGGGCGTCGTTGCGGAGGCTGTTACCGTGGCATACCCGCTCCGCGCGAGGGCGATGTGGTTGTAGGTCCGCTGGAGCGGTATCCTGGGAGGCATTGTGGGCGGTGGGGAGGGTGTGTCTGAGGCAGAGTTAGCGGGAAGTGTTCAATGCGTGTCAGAGGGCTGTCTACCTACTACCTACTCACTCGCCGCTGAGGATGATGCGTGGGCAGGACAGAGCTGCGTTGCCCTTCCGCTGCCGTATCAAATTGTTTTCCAAAACGGACTAGGCCCGGGGCATGTTCGGCAATCACCGCGTGGTGCATGTGCATGAGCTTCCGGCAAGAGCGCGCGCGTGCCGGAATCAATTGCTTCTCTGCGCCGGGAAGAAAACAAAAATTTAAGCATTGTGTGTCGTGTGGTATATCTCTATTTCGTCTAGTCTGCCGTCTTGTTCTTCTTCTCGTCATGTTGCGCCGTCCTCTTTCACGCTTTCCAAGCCTCTGTCCTCCTCCTGCCCTGTCCAAAAGATTCCAATCCAATTCTGCAAAATCCGAGATATCAGGACTCACGCAAGCTGAGATTCTCAATGTCTTGAAGGTCAGCAACTCCCATTAACTTTTTTGTTCTTTGCTATCTGACGACCGAAAGAGCGATGGCCGGCAACGATTAACGAGGTTCTGGACTCCCACTGGAGGCATCACCGAGAAAGACGACGAGAGCAATGAATCTCACTCTTTCCTAATCCGAAGTGGCTTCTTGCGCCAGGCCTACTCTGGAGTCTTTCACTTTCTTCCCCTCGGTCTGCGAGTGCAAGACAAGCTGGAGCGGATCATCGACAAGCACATGCGCAGTCTAGGCGCGTCAAAGGTCTCGCTATCCTCAATTTCCTCAGAAGAGCTATGGAGCAAAACCGGGCGCCTCGAAAATAAGGAGCTGCTCCGGATTCAGGACCGGCGCGAGTCGGGTTTCCTGCTGGGTCCGACGCACGAGGAAGAAATCACGCAGCTGGTGGCCAACACGGTCAAGTCTTACAAGGAGCTGCCGCTGCGGCTGTACCAGATCTCGCGCAAGTACCGGGATGAGCTGCGGCCGCGGCAGGGGCTACTGCGGGCCAAGGAGTTCCTGATGAAGGACATGTACACGTTCGACCACAACGAGGCCAACGCGCGCGCGACGTACGACTACGTGCGCCAGGCGTACGCCAACATCCTGGCCGAGCTCAAGATGCCGTATCTGGTGGCGAAGGCGGACTCGGGAGCCATTGGCGGCGACCTCAGCCATGAGTACCATTTCATCTCGGACAAAGGCGAGGACACGGTCTTTGCGTGTGACAGCTGCGACTACGTCGCCAACGAGGAGGTGGCGGTAGCTAAGCCGGCTACCTGGGACCGCCCCGGCCCCGTCCATCACTGGAAGGGTGTCAGCAAGGACCGCAAGACGCTGTATGTCGTCGCGTTCATGACGGACCCGGCCAGCCTCCTCCAACGGGCCACCCCCGCAAACCCGGCCGAGCTGCTCAACCTCCACGCGGTCAAGGCCGTCTGCCCAGACCTGGACACGGCCGTCGAGACTGACGCCGAAGCCAAATGGGCCGAGGCCAAAGACGCTGCAGGCCCTGACGCCGCCGCGGACTTCCAAGTCGTGCACATCGCCGACGCAAACGCCATGAGCGTCGAGGGAGTTAACAGCAGCAACAACGAACTCGAATCTATCAACGAGCCTGAGACTAGCAATCACACTCAAGTCACCCCACCAACCAGCAGCCTCCTCCGCCTGCACGACGGCTCAGCCTGCCCCTCGTGCGCCCACGGCCACCTGCGCAGCCACCGCGCCATCGAAGTCGGCCACACCTTCCACCTCGGCACGCGGTACAGCGCGCCGCTGTCGGCAACATGCATGTCGCCGGCAGGCAAACCCGTCCTCCTAGCCATGGGATGCCATGGCATCGGGGTCTCGCGCACGATAGGCGCAGTCGCGGGCATCCTCGCCGACGAGCGAGGGCTCAACTGGCCGCGGGCGATCGCGCCCTTCGAGGTCGTCGTGGTGCAGGGGTCTGGCATCGCCGACGCGGACGCCGCGAGCGTGTACGATCTGCTAGTTAACGGCGAGGATGGGGCGCGGGGCACGGTGGAAGCGTTTGAGGTCGCGGGCGAGAAAGACCAAAGCTCGCGCATCGATGCCGTGTGGGATGATCGCGAGGCGAGCATTGGCTGGAAGCTGCGCGACGCCGATATGGTCGGGTATAATGTCATCGTTACGCTGGGACGCGGCTGGAAGGACGGCCAGAAGTGTGAGGTGCAGTGTCGCCGCTTGGGCCTCAAGCAGGTCGTCCATGTGGATAGGCTGCGCAAATTTGTGCTGAGTTTGCTGGAGCAGTTCTAAGGGCGTGGTGTTTGGGGTACATGGCGAGAGTTGGGGGTATGCGTATGTATGTGTATGCATGTATGTATAGTATGAATTTGTTTGTCTGCCTGTTTATCTGACCGTCCGTAAATACACATATACACAGGATAAAATGTAGTGTTTCATTTTGCTCTTTATGTTTGGTATAGGTGCACGCCACGAAGCAAGCCAAGGTTCATTTCTGCATTTTGCGGATTTGATGATAATCATCATCATGCTGGTGGTGAGAATGGTGATACTCATCATCATTGCTCTTTACCAAAAGTGATGACAATCATCATTAAAATCGCAAAAAGCAGAAATAACCCTTGCTTTAGATTGGTTTTTGTTGGAGCGTTGCTAGAAATCAGCACTCCAATACGTTCCATGGGGCGTCATAACAAAGACTTTTGGTATCAAGGAGCGATATATATAAGGCCATACTAGCCACAGTCTACTTCAATCACCGCAGGCGGCGTAGAATCACGAGAACCTGGGCCAACTCCTCAACACCCTCCCATCGACCCACCCCTCAAACAAGTCCCAGACCCTCTCCTCATTCTCAGCGATAACCTCGCCCCTCACAACCTTGACATCGCGGTCCTCCAACCCCTTCAAAAGCCTCAACACCTCGGCCTTCTCGTCCCAAAACCCATCGACCAGATCCGTCCAGCAGACCGTGACGACACGCAGCTCGCGGGCCTCAGCACACAGGACGTGGACCAAGCGCTGCGCGCGCTCGACGACGTCGCGCACGCCGTGAGCCGTGCCGTCGCTCGCTCCCGCCCCGCCTTGTACGCCCCCCTTCTCCCACGGCGCCGCCACCTCCCAGTCCAGCAGCACGTCCAGGTTCCGCAGCGATGCTACCTGCGCCGTCGCTGCGAAGCGGCTGAAGCCCGCGTCCACCCAGAACCCGGACGTGCTTGATAGCATGATCCGGAAGTGTGCGGCCCGGTAGAAGTACGCAATGCATTCCTCGGCGATTTGCCGTGATGTGAGGAGGAGCGCGAATGGCGGTATGTGTGAGAGTGCGGTTATGGCGCTGGGGCCTAGTGGGTAGGATACCGTGCGTTCGAGCGTCAGGAAGGAGTAGATGTGGCTTCGGATTTCGGGTGGCAGACGGTAGAATGGGGAGAGCAGTTGGTGGGGCAGAGGTGGTGAGGCCGGAGGGGAGGGCGGGGCTGAGGCTGGTTTTGCTGGCGAAGTAAAGTCAGAAATAGTGGAGGTCTGCGGCGGTGTCAAAGACATATTCAATCAAGATGTGTTGTAGTGATGGTGAAGTTGAGGTGGTGGCCGTCGACGACGTTCGTCATAGCGGGGTTAACGGTTATCGCCGCCAGGGAGGCTTTATGACGTGCCAAAAAAATTCCGATACCTTTATTCCGTCCCCTTTTTTGTCCTAGAGGCTCTATACGTACAAGTGACCTGCGCCCATTTGCATCAAACCAATAAATCCGTCATACAATCATCTCCTAAGAAAATAGACATGTCCTTATTTAAGCAGACTTGACAAGGCTCTCACCCGACTCCTCCTTCTTCTTGCCGTACTTCTTCAGGCGGATGGCCTGGACGCTGATGAAGCCAGTGGTGTCGCTAGGCTCGAAGTCGCCAATCTCGTCCATGGACGACTCACTCATGTCGTACAGCTTCTCGGTGTCGGACCAGCGGCCGAGAACGCTGAAAGTGCCCTTGTAGGCACGGCAGCGGACCTGGCCGTTGACGTGCTTCTGGGAGGAGACGATGGAGTCCTCAAGGTACTCGCGCTCAGGAGAGAAGTAGAGACCGTTGTAAAGGATCTAAATAGATAAGAAATTAGTTTAAAATGAATCAAAGTAGAAGTTACCGTGAGAACTTACCTTAGCGTAGTTGAAAGTGACAAACTGGTCACGGAGAGCGCGAACCTCACGGTCCATGACGAGACCCTCAAGGTCAACGTGCGCCGCCCTCAGCATGGTGAGACCGGGGGTCTCGTAGCAGCCACGGGACTTCAGACCGATGAAACGGTTCTCGACAATGTCGATACGGCCGACACCGTGCCTCCTGGCGATGGCGTTGGCAGTCAGGAACAGGTCAACGGGGTCCGTGACAGTCTTCTCGTTGCCCTCCTCCTTGTACACAAGCTTCTTGGGCAGACCCTTCTCGAAGAAGAGGGTGAAGTCCTCGGGGGTGTCGGGGGCCTTCATGGGGTCCACAGTGAGCTTCCACATGTCCTCGGGAGGAGTGGTGTTGGGGTCCTCGAGGATGCCCGCCTCGTAAGAGCAGTGTGCCAGGTTCTCGTCCATGGACCAGGGCTTGGACTTGGTGCTGGTGACGGGAATGTTCTTCTCAGCAGCATAGTCAAGCAGATCCTGGCGACCAGCGAAGCGCTTGTAGAAGACCTGGTCCCTCCACGGAGCAATGACCTTGATGTTGGGCTGGAGAGCGTAGAAGGCGAGCTCGAAGCGGACCTGGTCGTTGCCCTTGCCAGTGCAGCCGTGGGAGACGGCGAAGCAGCCCTCCTTCTGTGCAACGGCGATCTGAGCGCGGGCAATCACAGGGCGGGCGAGGGAAGTGCCTAGATGAGTCATTAGGCGCTATTTCAATTGACTTTGGAGGCATTGAGTGCGTACCGAGCAAGTAGACGTTCTCGTAGATGGCGTTCGCCTGAACGGCGGGGAAGCAGAGCTCCTCGACGAATTCGCGACGCAGGTCCTCAACGTAGACCTTGGAGGCACCGATCTTGGTGGCCTTGGCCTTGGCGGCCTCGAAGTCCTCTTCCTGACCAACATCGGCCATGAAGCAGACGACCTCGTAGCCCTCCTCGAGGAGGTAGGCGAGGATACAGCTGGTGTCGAGGCCACCGCTGTAGGCGAGACAAACCTGCGCGCGCCGTCAGTCGGAGCTGAAATGAGTCAAATACCGTGCGGGGAATGTATAGCTCACCTTGCCCTTGGACATTGTGGCGGATGGGCTAATCAAAGGCAAAGAGAAGGGCAAAAAGGTACGGGATGTGAGAGTGAGCAAGCACAAAGGTCAATTGCTCGAGAGAAGTGGGAGATGATGAGTTGGTGGTTGGGTTGGAGCTATGGGAAATTGTTTTAATCGCGAGGCCCTGGGTCACAGCGATAACGGGAGTGACTTCACCGCCCGCAAGCTCGCCGGCCCCGCGAGCTAGGGCCTACTGCGGCGCAGGGAACCCCATAATTGGTCCTCGATCATCTCTCTTCCTAATGGCCAATGGTAATGGAATTTATTCCCGGCTATCTGCGGCCGAAGAGGCAGTCATTCCAAGGCCGAAATTTTCTCGTGCAGACGGACAACACAGCGGATTCCCTGTCTGTACCACCTCTTACACCGCAGGGACCACGCCGATCAATATGACTCCACGACACTAGGTAGACACGAGCGGATGGATACAATTGTATCTGCAACAACACAGCAGCGCCGTCATGTTCCATTGAAACTCCTCGCTGATGCTGGGACCACCTGATATGCCATGTTCGAAACCAAAGCAAAAAAGAAGAAGAAATCATAGCGACTGTTAAACACGCGGTACCTATGTGCCTCTGCTACTGTACGCCAATGCAGCCAATGGAAAAAGTAAAAGAAAAAAGGAAAAGGAAAAAAGCGGCAAGCCGTGAACCGGAGCGAACGTACATGTATCAAGAATCTAAAAGCTCATAAGTGGTTACAGGGGCAGAAGAAGAGGAGCAAGAAAGAAGAAGAAGCAGAAGAATAATCGGTGACTCTAATACTGCTGGGTGTTGTGCCTGGACGAATGATAGCTGTTCGATCCGGAAGAAGAATCGCTGAGCGGCGTCTGCGGCGTCGCCGGCTCAAGATCCAGCTGGCTACGCAGCATCATGATCCACTCGTGCTGCAGCAACTCTGCGGCAGAGGCCCTCTTGCCCGGATCGCGCTCAAAGCAACTCTTCAGGAAGTCGATACCTTGCTCACTGAGCTGGTCTCTTGTGGGCATTTGTGGAGGATTGCCTTGGGCGATGTTGTACATGATGGCCCATTCGTTGTCAAGGCTAGCCCAAGGGCGGCGACCAGTGGCCATCTCAAGGATTACACATCCCAAAGACCAGATGTCCACAGCGCCGAGACGGCCTTTGTTCTCGCCCTTGATGACTTCAGGAGACATGTACATGGGCGTACCGGTCATCGACTTGTTCTGCTTGCCTTGGCGGGTCGCAGCGTGCTCGGCAGCCATGGTCTTTCCCTGGCGAGCAATAATCTTGGCGGCTCCAAAATCCACGAATTTTATGACACCATTGTGGTCGAGCAAGATGTCTGCAGTTCTGTTAGCAAAGTTGGCTTCACAAGTGCTCTATTAATGACTTACTCTCAGGCTTGACATCACGGTGCACCACGCGGCTGTCGTGGAGATATGCCAGACCCTCCAACATCTGCAGCGCATACACCATGATGACCGTTTCGTCCTCAATGCGTCCATGCTCCAAAAGGCCAGCGAGCGAACCGCCAGAGCAATACTCCATGAAGATGTAGACCTTGTCACGATGCGGCTCGATACCGTAATAGGACACAATGTTCGGGTGATCGAGCATTTGCAACACACCCATCTCGTCGCGAATCTGTCCGACAATGGTCGGAATCAACTGCGGATCTTGTAAACGAATCTCCTTGACGGCCATCAAGTGGTTAGAGTCCAGGTTGATGGCGGCATAGACGGAACCAAAGGTACCGCCACCGATAAATTGTCCTTGTTGCCACCTCAGGGTAACGTTAGTAGCGGACGCAGACAGGTAAGTAAGAGCCCGATCGGCTTCGTTCGAGTCTTCCAAGACTCGTCCGAGGGCCTGGCGTTCGGCCTCCTTCTCTTTTCTGATGGCGTCGATAGCCTCCAGCTGCTCGAGCCATTGCTCACGCACAGCCCGCATGGACTCGTCATCGTTCTTGAGGTTCCTCATGTCCAGACGGTTCTTGCCCAGCATGGCATCAATGCGTTGCTTTTCAGCTTGCGCGGCCATGGTGGACCTGGCTCCCATGATATCAAAGTGAGAGATAAGTAGCGACATGCATCCAGCAACTTTGGCACGAAGCCTTGCATATTCTTCTCCGTTGAGCGACAGGATGTTTTGGCCCCTAGTCATCAGCATAGCAAACTCCAACGCAACGACAGCCCATCGGAAAGTCCTGCGATCTGATGGCACGCAGTCATCACAGATGAAGCTGACCCAGTCAAGAGCTAAGCGCGTAAGCTTAAGTTGGTTCAGAGCTCGACGGTTGAAGTCCATGTAATAGACCGATCTTTGACCAAACTCCGTGGCGAAGGCGAAGCATGTTTGGATAAGCTCGGAGCACTCGAGGCCAACGGTTTGTTTTCTGATGATCTCAACACTGTCCATGATGGTGTTAGACAGCTTGTAGGTCACCTTCTTGATCCTTTGAAGTTCCACGTTCACCCTAGGAAGATTGGCTCTCTGGTCTACCAGTTTGTTCAGAGCAAGGTTGGTAGCCTGCATGAATCCAACATTGGCTTGAGCCAGTCTTGCCTGTGCACCGTCCGCAACCAAGCGCATTCGTCCGGTTTTGATATCGAGGTGAGGTTGTCGAACTTCGGTTACAATCCTGGGGCCGTTCCAAAAAAGAGGCTCTTCCGGCCTGAGAATGAGTAAGTAAGGGTTTGTCGGGTCCTCCATGATCTCATCAGTATGGTAGCAAGTGCCTAGCAAAGACTGGATATCCTGAGAGCGATCCATCAAAACAGGGGATGCAATGAAATACAATCCCTTGTTCTCGGCCGTGGGGAGCGTCTCCACAAGCACATGCTGGCTCATTTCCAGAGCTTCGTAGACATCGCCTAAGGATTCACTGTCCATGCTGATGCTGTATTCGGTGCAGTTCTCAAAGCGGGTAGTCAAGATTCTCGAGAACCGGAAGAGCTTCCTTTGACGAACACGGACGGCATCCAAGATTTGTTTGTAGCGCTTATCCACGTCAGACGCTACTTCCTCAGGACGGCGTTGTAGTTCCCTTTCGAAGTGCGCGGTAAGCCGAGAGAGGGACTTTTGTGTCAAATAGCTGGAACATGGTTAATTATGTTCTCAAATGTCTTCGGAATGCATTTACCTGAACTGTTCTGCCACCTCTACGTCACCGCTTTCCAGGTTCTTGCCCAGAGACTTCGCAAACTCCCACTCCTGTTCCAAGATTTCAGCCTCCTTGAAGGTGTTCTTGTTCAGAGACAATTTGTAGCTGAGCATCTTGAAGTAGAATCGGAGAGCGTCTAGGACAACGGCGTCGAAATTCTCCTCGATACATGGTGGGGGTTCCCAACCTGGCTCCGGCTGGGAGACGACGTTGTATGCCTCCTTGATCCTGATGGCAAGTTTGAGAAGGATTTGAAACTGTGATATCATCTGCTCTGCCATCATAGATCCCTGTTGCGCGGGATCCTTCATGCGTTTGGCGTACGATAAACGCATACGAATAATCTCCTGGACTAGACGAGAGGGGAAGTTGATCAACGTCAGAAGCTCCTCGATGTACGGTGGAAGGTGGCGGTCGGTAAAGGCGGTCGCGTTCGCAATCAGGGTAGCCTTTGCTTTATTGATGACTTGGTTCAGTCCAACCAGTAGACTGTCCTCGCCTTGCAGAGACTTTAGGCCATCTTCTTTCAGGATCCTGTCAATGAACGATGCATCGTCGGTGAGATGGCCGTCCTGTTCAGCGCGATCTCTTCTCCTTGTAAAATCCAACTCTTCGTTCCCGACCCAGCTTCTAAGGATAGATAATTCCGTATTGATGAGCTGCGTCGTGTTGTGCCATGCAATAATGGAATCACAGCTCTCATGGAATGCTGAAGACGCTGCGCGGGGCTGCGCAAGCTCCAGCTGTTGCCATGTAGGATAGAGGTTCTCACACTTCTCAATCTTCTTGACCATATGTGCAACCTGTTCTGCAGCAGTCTTTCCCACCTCGGCTTCGCCCTTGATTTCGAAAGCGATGATTTCCTCAATCACGGACTTGGCTTTGGCCCGTCCATCGTCAATAAGTCGCCTCTGCGCTTGCAAAGTTCGACCACAACATTTTGCTCTTACTCCCATCCAGATCTCGGACTTCATGGTATTGTCCCCCTGCTGCTCACCGGCGCCAATCAGACGCTTCTTCTCCTGCTTGACAACGTCGCCGGTCAAGACGCTCGCCAACATGGAATGCCACTCCAGCCTTTCACGGTTTTCGGGTATGCGGAGTTCCTCCACCGACGGCTCCAAATCGTCGTTTCCGTAGTATAGCAGAGTTTCTTGGTCGTATGGGTCATTTTCCAGGTAGTCTCGCTCGGTGGAGGGTGATTCGTCGTCCGTGTCGGAGCCCTCGGTGCTATAGCCCAGGCTGGGAGTGCGAACGTCGGGGCTGAAGAAGGCGCCGTCGTTGTCGGGAGCGTCCTGCCGTATGCGCTCGACATAGGCTCTTTCCTGCGCGCGATATTCGGCGTTGGGGTTGCGGCGAGAGCGGTTGGTAGACGAGGCTCGGTGGCGGTTGCGGTCCAGCGAGTATTGCTGGGGGCGCCGCTGGGGAGCATAGGCGTTGGAGGGGGTGCGGACGGCGGAGGGCCGGGGCGTTCGCGCGCTGGTCATGACGGGCAGCTGAAGGCCGCCGTCGTAGCCATTCACGGCACTGCCGCTCCCTCCCCTTGCACGCAGCTGGCCGGTGGAAGCATAGCCAAAATTGGCGCTGTTGGTCATGGGAGGGACCTCGTCGAGAGGAGGCGTCGAGACGGCGGAGGCAAACTGGTAGTGGTCCTCCGCGTCGTCGTCGGAGCCGTTGCGCTCGGCGGTGGCGCGCTCTGGGTCCGACTCAGAGGAGCCTGAGGTCGACGAGTTGTGCCTAGGGAGGTCGGGGGCGTCCATGGCGGCGGCAACTCTCTTGGTGGATTGCTTGTCCGAGTAGTCGGGCTCAGTGAAGCGGACACCGCGAGGCGAGGGCTCAACGGTCATGGTGAGTTAGGGATCGGCCTCGAGCTAGGTACCGTTAAGCGGGAACGCTGTGGCGGTGCGCAGTCGCGGTCCAGGCACACTCACGGCGAAGGACACGAACTCGCAGAATCAACAAACAAAAGGTTGCATCGACCGGAGCGATCAAAAGCGAAATGACTGCTCGGGTCGCTTTGCCTGGCGCAGGTGCCGATGCCCCCGCGTAGTCCTGATCTAGGGTAGCAGAAATCTTGATCACGATCGGATCGAATTCTGACATTTCCCATCCTGATCTCAATGAAACGACACCACCCGCTGTCGCCCTAGTTGCCCCCCGTTGCCCCCCAAAAATCCCCTACGGCGCCGTCTCCCCGTCTCCCCGGATCTCTTCCCCGGCCACTCTGCGCTCGTCTCAGCGCCGCAACGTCTCTTGGTCCCGGGGGCCTTCGCGGTCAGATCGGTCATAAAGCGTACGCGCTATGGACATAGCGCTGATCGCCCGGCCATCCTGGACTTACATCATTGCGTCTTTGGCAGCCTTTGCAGGTTCCGTCAGCGCGCTATCCCATGTCCTTGTGACGTGTCTCACTGCTCGAGCACGCGCGTTCTCACCTGAGTATGCCGAGAGAGATGGATGATAGATGACCTAATAGTGCCCTCGGCCTTGGCCAAACGCTCTACGGTAGATCCTGAAACCATGGCTTGCGGCTCATTTCCAGTCACTGGCACTGTACAAGATTCTCCACCAGCCGAATTGGCCATGTCTTGGCCAAGCAGACAGTCACTACGGAGTACCCGTACTCGAATCCGCAATCAGCCGATCGACATCTTTGCCAAGGGAGGGGTTGGAAGCAGGATTTGTCAGGGAAAAACAGTGCCAACCTCCATCCTAAGGCGACTATCTATTCACAACTGCTCTGGTCTCATGATTGGACCAAGACCGTCTAACCTTTCGAAGACGAGATGGTGTGCTTCTAGAGAAGCAGGCAAGTCGATGCTTCTATTGGTCACTTTACGGCCAGCTCTTTTTTCGAGCAGACAAGTCTCAAGTTCCTTTTCCAGCCTCCACCCGCCTACGCCGAACACCTTCATTGTACTACTGCTTGAAACAGAATTGGAAAACTCGTTCCACTGTAGTACTTCAGGCACCGTGAAAAAATTCCCGCGTTGAAGGTTTGGCAGCGTGGAGCTCTGCGGGAGTTTCTGCCGGATATCCTAAAAGATGCGGCTGGGAAGGAAGTACGATTTCCGCGCAGCAGATCCAGGCAGGTGTTCGATCGTATGAGAAGCACGTCGAATGTCTGGCAGGACATGTGCAACGGGGCACGGCTGCGCAGACGGCCGAGGCTGGACAGTGCTGCTCTCGAAGCGGGTAGCTGCATGTCTCCGATGCTCCATTGAAGGGTGCTTCACTGTCGCAGCCGTATTGCCGGATCTGACCTGTAGGTGCTGTGTGACCTTCGCCCCTTCGGTTGCAGCTCTGCATACCTACAGCTCGCTCACCGTTACAGGATGAATGGTATCTCTCTGCTCTGTCTAGACGGCAAGAGGCATTATCAAGACTCACTGAGGAATTTGAGGTGGCCAAATCGGCCAGAGAATGGTCTCGTACTAGCTTTGTCCGTGGCACAGCTCTTTGTGGCCGGCTTGGACTTCTAGCCAGGCTAAAACTGTTGATGCTGGCCGGACGTATGCAATGTTGTGTTAACTAGATCTCAAATACTTCACGCACTAGGGAGTCCAGACAAAGCCCCAATGGAACTTGCCACTGCCTTGGAAACACCTCAGACAGTAAGTCGGAGCACGGTCTCGCCGTTGACGGCAAAAGCAATGAGATGCGCGTGCAATATCTGACCTTGTAAACAGAAAAGAGCTGAGCCGAGCAAACGCTCGTGATCACGGGGAATAAGCACAAACAAGAAATTTGGCCCAGTCAGCCTCTTCTGACCTTCTGTTCTCGACTGCTGTGCACCAATCATTAGTACATCCCTTATCTACAACCACGCACCCTCGCTTACCTGTCTCAAAACTTCAAGCCACCAGACCGGAGCTTCAAACGCCTCGACCGAGCGGAAATTTGCCTTGCTGTTAGGATCCTGCAAAGAAGGAGTTTGAACCAGAAGTTTGCGCATGATGTCGCGCTGAATCGCCGCTCGCGATTACGCAAATAGACGTCAAATGCAGGGGTGTCCGTGCATGCATACATACGTACGATGTGCGTTATGATCCAACCCTAGAGTCTCAGCTAGAGACGCCAGTCAGATGTACTTAATCATCAATAATCCTGCCAGTCAATTTCTGTACGTTGCGTATCAAGGATACAAGACGAATGCTGGCCAAAGGGGCGGCAGGTCGTTCCCATTCGGGATCTGGGGGTGCCCTCCTAGGCGTGTGTGGGGTTGGAGAACAGCGGTGGTCCACGGCAAGACAAGAACATGGGGAGCTGACGGACCCCATGGGAGTTGACGGGCAGGCATGTTCTCCAACGATCTCCCGGCGCATGCCATTACGAGGTCGAGCGCGCACAGGTGCCCGCACATGCCCACAGGCCACGATGCGGGCGCGAGAAAAGATTGTTGAAGCAAGGGCCGCGGATGGGCTGGAAGCTTGGCTTGCCGCTCCCGCTGCTGACGGCGGGGGAGCGGAAGTGAGGCTTGGCCGCAGCGTCCCGGCCCACGATAAGCAAAGATTCATGCAGCGGCGGACAGAGAGCAATTTGTCGGCACGCCCGCAATATGGCGTGTTGTGCGGAAATTCGAGGGTGATTTTTGACGGCACAATAGTCCAGAGACGAAGTTGGCCAGACTGCGAGGGAGCGGCATCAGCTATCTATGGCAAGTCTGCAGCGGTGCGTATCTCTGCATCCCACGGCCGTGGTTCGACGATCCGGCTAGTGTTGGTAAACCCTCAGGGATGCGATTGGCTGCTTTCTGGGGTCCCTATCTGTGGCTGCTGCTCCCTGTGCACAACCCCCACTAAACGCCATGTCGCTGCTGGGCAATGGCAAGGAATGCTGCGCTCTTCAATAATCCCCCGGCGGCACAGCCCTGCATGTGTGCGCCCTCACCATCATTTATACCTTAGGCCATTGCTGCCTCGCGTGTCAGCCCCGTCTTGTCAGCTTCCCCAGACTGCCATCATCAAAGCTGAGCTCTGCGCCTACAGCTCTCTGCTTCGTTCTTTCGCTTTTCTGAATTTTTACAAAGTATTAGCGCCCGAGCGCATTATTTCTTTTCGCTGGAATATCATTCTTCCCAGCTGAAAGATTTGGCTAGGTGGTTTGCTACTATGTCCGCCTCCACGGACTTGCCATATGTCCCTTTCCAAGCTTTCCCGTCTGATGCTCCGAAGACAGGTGGGGACAGCTTAAAGGAAGATCTCAATGTCTACTACGAGGTTAGTATTCTCACAGGTTACCTGCTGTGAGCTGCTTAACTAATTTTCTGTTCGGCAGACAGGAAACATCGCATGGATCATCACATCCACAGCTCTCGTGCTGCTTATGATTCCCGGTGTGGGGTAGGCACGCGAATCTCTATTTCCAACAACCATCGGCTTACATTCCAGGTTTTTCTACTCCGGACTTGCTCGAAGAAAGTCCGCCTTGTCGCTAATATGGCTGTCAATCATGGCTACAGCCGTGGTGACTTTTCAATGGTTCTTCTGGGGCTACTCTTTGGCTTTCTCCCACAAGGCTGGCAAATACATCGGTGCTCTGGATAATTTTGGCTTTATGGATGTCCTCGGCGCACCTTCCGTCGCGGCATCCGGCATCCCGGACCTCCTCTTTGCCGTATACCAGGGTATGTTCGCGGCTATAACGTAAGTAGATCTACATTCCCCAGATGACCCGGGCTCACGGGGCCTTGTCTAGTGTCGCTCTGGCTGTGGGTGCCGTCGCGGAACGTGGCCGTATGTTGCCCTGCGTCATTTACATGTTTGTCTGGTCGACCATCATCTATGACCCGATCGCTTGCTGGACATGGAATCCCTCTGGCTGGGCTGCTAAAATGGGCAGTCTCGACTTCGCCGGTGGTACTCCGGTACACATTGCCTCTGGGTGCGCCGCACTTGGCTATTCTTATATGCTTGGCAAGAGACGTGGTCACGGTACACAGGAGCTCAACTATCGTCCTCACAACGTAACCCATATTGTCATCGGTACAGTATTCCTGTGGGTCGGCTGGTTTGGCTTCAACGCTGGCTCAGCAGGAGCTGCTAACCTTCGCGCTGTGCTTGCCGCAATGGTGACCAACTTGGCTGCTTGCGTTGGTGGCATTACCTGGTGCTTGGTCGATTACCGCCTTGAACGCAAGTGGTCTACTGTTGGTTTCTGTTCCGGTGTCATTGCTGGACTCGTCGCGATCACTCCTGGCTCCGGTTTTGTTCCTGTCTGGGCCGCTGTTCCCTTCGGTGTTTTGGGTGGCGCTATTTGCAACTATGCCACCAAGCTCAAGTACTTTATGCGTTGCGATGATGCGCTCGACATTTTCGCTGTTCACGGCGTCGGTGGCTTTGTCGGAAACATCCTGACCGCTTTCTTTGCTGCGGATTATATTGCTCATCTCGATGGCTCGACTGAGATTGATGGCGGATGGCTCAATCACCACTGGGTCCAGCTTGGCTACCAGATTGCCGATTCTGTCGCAGGCGCTGCCTACTCTTTTGCCGGTACCTGCATCATCCTGGGTGTCATCGGGTTCTTAGGCAACTACTTCCCGGTCTTGAGGCTCCGCGCCACTGAGGAAGATGAAATACTGGGTATTGACGACGTCGAGATCGGCGAATTTGCTGTAAGTTTAGGCTCTTCAATTCACCCGTCACCGCGAACCGAGATCCACCGTCTAGCGAGACAGTGGATGATACAAGCAGTCCCTACAAAGTACTCCATGCCTAGCTCACAGCCCGAGACCTGGGTATGGGTGCAATGGTCCTAGAGCACACGTAGACTCTATGCATCATAGCTGGGTCTCTTCTTCTACTCCATACAAGTATCACCGTTTCGCTCCACGGTGAATCTCGTTTCATGGTGACGGACATTACAGAACGTACCTTCTGACAACTCTTTTTAGTATGACTACGTTGAACTCAGCCGTGAAGCCAAAATCCCCGAGGATGACGACGCACAGTCGACGCACCGTTCGGTCAGGTCTAATCGCAACGAGCCGCCCGAGAAGAACCATGCTTCAATGGGCTTAAGTAATCCGTAATCCGATGACTATTCGTTGAATAAACTTCATAATTCATCTTCTAAATTGCGCATCTGCGTAAGGGTGCCAGGGGCTTCTGGAGTGGCTCGTTTTGGAGAAGTGTTTGTTAGTTGCCTGTAGATAGATATCGACAAACCACATTGGGGTCGATTGATATTGATATCTTTAAGCCCTCCCACTTGGCAGGCGTTCTGCGGATGAGGCAATGACCTGTAGAGTTTACATTTGGCACCGGATAATTTGCCCACCCCCTCTAAATATTTTGCCCATCCCACGTAACAGCATCTACAGAATTATATGATGTGTTTTCTACTCTTTGAAATTTTAGGTCTCTATACCCTTATAAGTACCTTCATACCCCTCGAATATTTTATTTTTATACCCTCGTAAATACTCTACTAGTCGCATATATCTGTACCTCTCTACCATTAAAGATCACTTTAGAATTCGTATATATTTCTACTGTTATATCTTTTCAAGTACTATTATACCTTATATCTTTTTACTTTTATATAGTTATATAGTGCCTACTGGCCGTAGCATTATAGTCTAGTTATAACTACCTAAGCAGTACTCTGTAGGCATCGTACAACATGTAGTTAAGGGCTGGGCAAATTATCCGGGACCTTACGTTTTGCCCCGTTTGTAGTACGAACTTCCATCCCCGTCTTCCGCTCCGTGAGAATTGGTCATAGCCGGGCCGAGCGGTTGGTGTGGGGAAACGTGGGGAAGTAGAGATAGATCAACATATGTTTTCCCAGTAACGGTTGGACATTGGAAAGGTGCGGCCATCAGCGTTGATCATCGGTAAGTGTTTTCTCGTCGTTTCGCCGTAGGGCTGTGCACGTGATATTGACGCTCGGACTCCTGCCTATGACGCGCTAGCGAGCTCCGCCAACGGTCGACCAGCTTCGTCGCGAGCTTCACCTCACTTTGGACTTATTTCTCTATTTCTTCGCCACCGCACTGCATGCGCTGAGCGCTATCGCCCCCATCCGACTTGACCGTGCGCCTCCTCCGGACTGAACAGCATTTACAGCCTCACTGCAACCATGGCCGAGGAGCCCGAGTTCCGCTCTAAGGGCATCCCTCCCCAAGCTGACGGCATGTCCGCCGCGAAGCCAGTTTTCCCCAAAACCGCGGAAGAGTTCGAAAATGACCCGCGCGTGGCTCGCGACCACATGACCGCCAAGTGGGTCTTGAAGGAGAACAACGGCTCCGAGTGGGAGTATGATGAGCGCCTGTCTCGCTGGGTCCCATCGGTACGCTTGCGCCCCGAATTCCTCGTCGAGGACGACGACCTTGTACCATAGCCTTGGTTTCTGGTTTCTGGTGTAGCGAAGTATTGCATATCGAGGTTATGGATGGTTGAATTCTAACTGGTACGGTTGCGGGGTGAACAGTTGGCCGAGGAGCTTCTGGAGAAGCAGAGACAAGTCTACATGGCCGAGTCCGACAGGACCACTCCTGATGCGCAGAAGAAAAGGAAGCAGGATGATGACGATAGTGGGGAGAACGTGAGTTACCACCTTCCCGCATTGCGCCAGCCCCCCTCGTCAAGCTTCTTGTTCGTCATGCTAACAGGCTCCTTCTCCTCTAGAACAACGACGTCCAGCAGAAAAAAGCCCGCAAGGCCAAGCCTGAGAAGCCCGTCAAAGAGAGAAAGAACCGTGCTGTCTGGGTGTCGTCACTCCCTCTCGATGCGACCAAGGAGGAGCTTAATGCCGTGTTTTCCAAGTACGGCATTATCGATACTGCTATTAACGACGAGGACGACCATCGCATCAAGATGTACACGGATGATAAGGGCCAATTCAATGGACAGGCCTTGATCGTCTACTTCCGCGACGAGTCCGTTCAACTTGCTTGCGACATGCTCGACGATTCTCCTTTCGACGGTTATAGGAAGGGCCCTGAGGGTAACATGAGAGTCGCACCTGCAGATCAGAGCTACAAGAGGCACGAAGATGTCAAGGAGGATGAGACCCAGGCCAAAGCTCCCCGCGTTAGCAAGAAATTGATGCAAAAGAAGGTCGACAAGCTCAACAGGCAAGTAATAGTCTATCATCTCGTGGGTTCCTCAATGTATTAACCAATGAACAGCAAGCTGGCAGATTGGGACGACGATGAGGATACTTCTACCATGACACAGACCGGCACGCGCCACGACAAGATCGTGGTCTTGAAGCACATGTTCACTCTTCAGGAGCTGGAGGTCAGTTTGTGTTCATAATTAGCTGACATATCCGCTAATACCCCCAAACAGGAAGATGAGAATGCTCTCGAAGAAATCACCGAAGACATCCGTGAAGAATGCTCCAAAGTGGGTACGGTGGTGAACGTTGTCGTGTTCGACTTGGAGCCGGTAGGCGCGGCAATTGCCAGGTTCGAGACGGCCGAGGCGGCCAGAGCAGCTGCTCGTGTAAGTTACCCTGCCACCATGCTCACAAGAATCAAATGAATTTACAGGTTGTTATAGATGATGAATGGTCGCTCCTTCGATGGACGCACGGTCAAGGCGTACATCTCTGACGGCTCGGAGCGGTTCAAGAGGTCCAAGCTTGAAAACGAAGAGAGCAACGTGGAGTCTATGGCCGACTACCTCAACCGTGCAGAGCCCAAGCCCGCGTCCGAGAACACCACCTTTTAAAGGTTGCTTTCCGAAGCAAAAAAGAAAAGCTCGGCATCCTGGATTTCCGCTACCTACGGGCGGCACGCTTGCTTAGCACAATGTACATGAGCCAGACATACCCGTAGTTGTTCATTGGCATAAGCGAGAATAGAATCATGACTTGCGTCTAAAAGTAGTATCTACATACAGAAAAGGGTATCATAAAACGAGTGTCACCCCACCAAGCACCAAGCCCCTGTGAGCAAATAGCCCCAATATAATCTAAGCAGCCAACAAAAACCCATGTCGACAAGGAAAAAACAAACAATAATAAGACATGATGCTGCGCCACAAAAAGCCGCGACAAAAATGCAAATTTTTTTATCCTTCCTTCCCCCTCCCTCTCTTCCGGCCGGATTCAGCCAGCCACACACCACTCACTTACTTGGGGCTGACACCCCCAAAGCTCCTCCGGAAGATGCTCTTCCTGCTACTCGTACTCCCATACAGGGGCGCCTCGTCGGGGGCCCCGGAGCCAGGCGCAGCAGCGGCCGCGCCCGCGCCCGCGTTGCCGTCTTCCGGCGCCTGCCCGCCAGCATAGTACCTATTGAGCGAGGGGCCGGTGCTGCTCCTACTGCGGCCAACGCTGCTCCCGCCCGCCATGAGCGTGCTGACGGAGCTGACGCGCGAGCGGCGACTGCTGTTGGCGGCAGCGACGCGCAGCGGGGCCGGGAGGTCGGCGTCGTCGGCCGAGCCGGTCGTCGTGGTGCCGGCCTCGCTGGGGGGCGCGGACACGGGCGGCGAGGCGGCGGCCGAAGAGGAGGTTGATGACGCTTGGTGCAGGCTTGCGGCCTGCGAGGGGGCCGAGGCCGCGGGCGGCGCCGCTACTTGCAGCGGGATTAGGGTCAGGTTCGTGGCGGAGAGGCGGCGCGACGACGGCGTGAAGGGCACGTAGAGCTGCGAGGTGCGGCGGCGGTCGTTGTTATTGTTGTTACTTCCGGCGCTGCCGAGGCTGGTGACGCTGCCGGCGCTGACGGTGCGCGCGTGCATGCCTGGTGCTGCCGCTGCTGCTGAAGCCGATGGCGGCAGCGACGTCGTCGACGACGACACCGTGCCCAGCAGGTTGGTGTAGCTGTTTGCGGCCGTGGCCGTCGGCGTCGGCGTGTTGCTCCCGCTGCCGACAGTGAGCGTCGCGGGCAGCGTGCTCGTGCTCGTGTTGCGCGAGTGCTGGGACGGCGGCGTGATGATGGTGAAGGCCGCCAGGTCCGTCGAGTCCGATTCCGGCGCGCTGCCGTTCGAGCCGCGCGTGCTGCTCGAGAAAGCACGGGCCGGTGGCGCCGGCGCTGGCGCGTCGGCGTTGGTCGTCGTGATGGCGGGCGTGGTGGTGGAGGGCACGGCCGTGGCGGCCGCGTCAGCCGTCGTCGTCGTCGTTCCTTCCGTGGTTGCCGGCGCCGCTGCTGCCTCTGTGGTCTCGGGCTCGGCGCGAGGGTATGCCGGGGGCGATTGCTCGCCTTGGGCGACGGGGACGTAGAGGCCGGCGATGGGCGACTTGGACGTCGAGATGCTCCTCATGTGCGCCGACTTGCTGGTTGGAAGTAGGGCGTTCTTGCGGGCGTGGCGCCGCTTGCGGAGCCAGACTGCGGCGCCGGCGAGGAGCATGACGAGGACGAAGAGGCCGACGAGGGTGCCGGCGACGATGGGGATTTTCTTGTTGGCTGCATGGGCGGCGGCGCTGGAGGCTGATGCCGAGGATGTTGAGGAGGAGGTGCTGGAGGCGGATGTATTGGAAGTGGAAGAGGCGGAGGAAGAAGAAGAAGAAGAAGAAGATGATGATGATGATGATGATGATGATGATGATGATGCAGAGGTGGTTGAGGTGGTGAGGGTAGATGATGCTGCTGCCGTCGAAGATGCTGCCGCAGTTGAGGATGCCGCTGCTGTGGTGCTGGATGCCTGAGTGGAAGATGGCTGAATAGAGGATGCGGCGGCAGCGGTGGAGGCTGCTGCTGTTGCTGCTGCGGAATCGGACATTTTGTTCGAGACAGAAGTGATTTGCAAAAAACAAAGAGAGAAGGAAGGAAGAATAAAAGACAAGTCTATATGTAGACCACGTTCTTAGGAGATATCGGTTGTCTCACAAGGGATTACTTGGCTGGCTGGTTGAACAAGCTTACCAACAGCGAGGAAGGCGACGCTATTAAACATGGCAGCAGTCAGGCACAGTCGAAGCATCAGAAACATCGGCGGAAGGTTACAAAAATAGAACCTTGATGGAAAGGGAACATGGCATATGGAGAGATGGGGAGTCTAAGCGGAGCGGCTCTGGCGCAGCAGCATGGAGCACACCTGGCTGCCTACAGCCCCACCGCCGTCGACGCTGGCGCATCCTTCGTAACGGCCCACGCGCTGCTCCCTACTACCCATGTGACGCACGCGTCGAATGGGGTCAAGGAGACGACGCCTCGTGCTCGCCGCGACACCCATGACGAATGAACGACGACGACTGAGCCGCAGCCACGATAGCGGCACAGACGCCACGCCACGGTATGACTGTCATCAGTATACAATAGGTAGCATATACGCCATTCGGCAACATCATGTAGCACGCGCGAGACTGGCTGCGGCTGCCTTGCATGCACTAAGCTGATGTGCAACAGGGCTGCTCCCCGGCAATCGAGCAACCGGAGCTCGGGAGGCCTTTTGGGGCCAAAATGTTTCGGTGCTGCGCCGCGATGAGAGCCAGAGATGAGTTGTTGTTGATGACTTGTGGGTGGTCGAATCGTTTTTGGCGCAGGTGGGGGCTTCTGCGAGGCTGTGCTGGAAGGCTTGCGTCGTGACTTGTCACCCTTTTTTTTTCCCCTACCTACATATCCCCGCCATCCAACGCCGCCATCCAACCAGACAGGCCATTTCGCACGTGGGGAATCCTTTGTTTCAGAGAGATGGGGGAAAAGTTCCGAGACTTTTAGGTACGTGCAAGTGCGGCAGCGGGACGCGCCTCTGCCGGCCGTCGCGGCGAACTCACCGTTATTTGCAGCCTCACTGGCTCGCCGGGTTCTGCTTGCTGCTGCTGCTGCTGCTGCTGCTTCTGCTTCGCCGCCTCATGAAGAAGGTGGAACTCTGATCCGAGAGTTTGACTTTTTCCCTGCGGCGCGGTAAGCCCCTGCCGAACGCCCTCTCGGAACGGGCTGTACCAACGCCACGGCGTCAACTCTCTGGCAATCATTGCTCCAACCTGCCATGGCACTCTGCGCCGCCGCCTCGTGCTAAAGAAGGTGCCTTCTCTCGCCATGCCTGCCTGACGGTCAACGAGCGCTTGGATATCCGGAGCGGTGTGTTGTTGAGCGTCGATTAAATTGGCACCAGCCTTGAAGGAGCATCCATGATCGCCCGCCTGTTTTCCCATCGCGGCATATGCTTGGAGAACAGGAGCCAGAACGCTCTCTTCCTTCGCTCCAAGGCCAGGGCTTCCACCTTTCCTGTTGGTACGTCCATGGTCCTTTGTATTTCACTCATGGCGGTGTTCTTTCAAACTAGCCACAAAATCATTGGTAATCGACTGGTCAGAGCGAGTCCAATAAAGACGACGTCTACCCCAAGCCCGACTTCTTCTGTCGGAGACGCTTTAACCTCGAACACAACGCTCGCATCGACTCGAGCCGCACCCTCACCCGCACTCCCCGCCCCCAGCACGGCACCAATGGCCGCTCTTTCGGCGGTCCTACTTTTTCGGCCCTTCAGTCTCTACGTTCGACGTTGGACTTGGGGATTGCCTCAAAAGGCACAGTTGGACCGCTGGGCCGCGGTCCATCTGACCAGACCCCGAGCTTGAGGGGGGCAGGTCGGCTTTGCGGAATTGCGTCCGGTGGACGCGCTTCGTCTTCGACGAATTGCCGAGGAGCTTCCCCGGGCGGGCTACCCCATCCAGGCGCCTTTCGGCCCGAGTGCCCTTGCCGACCAGCTGTCGAACGACTCTTGAGCCGCTCTTCACCACAACGGCCGAATCAGCGACCTGCCATTCCCCCACTGCGGGAAGGTAAAGTTTGGCCGGCGCCCATTCTAGCTGAAGCTTGTACCTAACGTGCTTCGGGGAGTATGCGCACCGCTCTTCCGTCCCCGAGGACCGTTGAAGCATGGACTGGCCAGCGTTTGAAACATGATGCGCCAGATATCTGTCCCAAAACGGCAGTCCAGTTCACCGCGTTCTGTGAGACAAGTGACATGGCGATGTATAATGAGCGGTATATGACCCGCTGAAGGCAATAGTGAAGCCAATTCATCACTACGGTGCATCACGAGGTTAACTAAGTGTTTCCTGTTAGCTGTTCCGATTGCGGCCACGGCTGCTATGTCGGCGAGATAATAAAATCAGCTAGAACATACGTCATGATGTCGATGTATTTGCTCCCATATCCACCTTACCGCTTCTTTTCGAGATCTGTTTCACTTTTCAAAAATTTAGCATCTCTCGATGTCTACGAACAAGAAATAAATGCTGATTTCAAAGGACATCTGGAAGCAGACATCTTGCAACAATGTGCCAGATATATGCAAAAACACCAAAGAGCTAGAAACCTTTGCTGATCGACCATGACCATCTACCACCCCAGAGCTAACTACTCAAGAAAAGTATAGCTGCGGTAGAATAAAAACTAAGCTAAAATGCATTTGTTCTAGAACCGACCTTCATCCAATACTTCCGCCAGTGACGACAAGCATTAACAACCGAGCTATTATATTCTCCGAGCGTCTGCACTGGCTTCTAGTAAGATATGACGTTAAGCAGTATAGAGAAAATCATCAAACTCGAGTCATGCTCAAATAAGTCAAGTGAACTTATATGATGCGACGACGCACTTCTTTGAGTACTGAAAACAACCGAAAGAGATGGTTACGTAGATAGCTTTCTAGATACAAAAACGGCTCTTAGGCATCCGTATGAATGGACGTCTGTCCGAATGATGAGGTGCATGTTAGCTATAGGTAACCACGTCCCGATATGGTGGAAGCGAGGGATCTCAGTACGAGGTGACCGCCGCCTCGGAGCTATGGGGCCGATTCCTATCAACGACAACCATCGTCCTTCCCATTACGGAAGACCGTGATCCTTTGCAAGCCGTCTTGCAGAAACAACCTTGTGGACCCTAGGTAGACCCTAGACCCTCGACGCCAGGCCCCAGACCCTGAGCCCTGAACCCCGCGTGGTTACCTCGCTAGGCAGGTACCGATCCATCCAAGCACCAGCTAGCCGAGCCCAAGATCCTCCCCCACTCGGCCATGACGACAACACTATGCATCCCATCTCGAACAAACACCACCTGACGGGCGATGCAGCTGCCAGCGCCCCCTCGCTGCCCCGCAGAAGAAAGAAGCACGCAATCGCGCCCCATGACCACCCCGGCCTGCTGCTGCGTCGTCCGCGTCATCGGCATTGGCAACGGCAATGCCCGTCTCGGTGCCGCCTGATGCGCCCCGCAGTTGAGATTATGCGGGAGAACTATGGTGAGCAGTCGTAAATGGAAGTGTCGACTTCAAGGAATATATACATATGCGAGATCTGGCAAGGGGGTCCTGGCGGGCGTGTTATTGAGATCCGGGCTGCGCGTTGAGGAGCTCGTTGTGAGAAGGGGAGATATACAGGGATAAAAACTCCGGAAGATAAGAATAACTTCTGTGATAAAATCGGAACTGAAAAATAGCTGCTGGAGCCTAGGCCGGTTTTTTAAGACTGGTGGGATAATACGAAGCCATTTACAGATCTCAGAAGAACTATCCGGGGTGAACGTTGTCAGCAGAGATGAAGCAACCAAATCAGGACAACGTGTTACCGGTTTTAGGGGGTAGACATCAATTGGTGCTTTTTATGAATTGGCCACCGTCCTGGAGAAAGTAGGTCAACCATCGGAACAAGAGCCAGGAAGAAGACCAGGGCGTAGAGAACGCAAGGACAAAAAATCGCTGTAATAATAGCACTGTCACTGTGAGTCTAGTACCGTCTAATATCTTTTCCGTTCTTGTTGCAATTCCCACATTGTTGTATCTCAATGTTTGGCTTTCTTCGGCAGCGTCCCCCATACATAATGCGTATCCGCTACGTGCCGACTCTTTTCGCAACCCTCTGCATTGCCAAATTTCTCGCAACAGTCCCATTTGAATCCTTTAGGGAAACTTTTCCGATTTATCTCGGTGTCATACGGACCATGACATCTCGGGTCCCAATCGATCCATTCAGGGCTGTCCTCATCGCAATAAAGCAGCTCTACAAAGCATCAGTCTCTCACCCACAAATACATTGACGACACGACCATCATACCAGTATGGAAAACGCAGTCTCCATCTTTGTTATCGGCAGTATCAAACTCCTTTTCGCACTGCTGGCACTTGGCATAGCGCACCACGTGCACGCTCTCAATATTGCGCTCGCGCTTCTTCGACTCAGCGTCGGCGCCGGCATCGGCCAACTTGCCCGTGACTTCCTCGTCGCCGTCGAAATCCGCGACGCGCAGCAACTCGGCCTCGACGAGGGCCCTGGCCTCACCGGAGCTCGCGCACAGCTTCTGCAGCGTGGCCCGCACGCGGTCCGCGTCCGCGTAGTCGATTGCGTAGTTGATGAGGCGCGGCGACGCCATTGGGGCAGCTGTACGGGGACGAAGGGATCCCAACTGGGCCTAAGCGGTGGAACAATGGAGGCGGCTTAAACGGCAGGGGGAACGGCAAAGGTATTAGACAAGGTCGATCTGGTGTGACTTGACAAAGCAGTAGCTGCCTCTCTCAGCTCTGTCTCGCTCTCTCTGACTCTTTGTCTCTCTTGCGGCGTGCGTGTGTCGCCATATGGCGCGGCGGGTTACGCAAGGCCCGTGGGTCCGCAACTCCGGTCCATCCCCGTTCGGGCAACCTGCCAACCAGCCCAGCCAGCCCTTCCGTGGAAGCTGGAAAAGCTCCCCCCCAACCCCGAAAAAGATACGCCATGGCCACACAGGGTCCGACGCCGACCCGCGACTCGCGACGCGGGGAAGAGGCGTCCTGAGCGTGCCCTTGCACGTGGCAAGGCGTCAGATCCGCGCCCCGTTTTGACGCAATTTTGCTCGCATTCCCGCGTACGCGCATATCCCCGCCCGTCAGCCTGTCTGTCACTCGAATTGAATCGCCATGGCTTCTTCTTCTTCTCTCCCTTTCGAACCCATCGTGGTGCCACGGCCTAGCATGCCGACCTCGCCCGCCCTACTCGAGGCGATCGATAAAGCGACGCCAGAACGCCTAAGGGCTACCCTCAAGGCCGTCTGCGCCTCGAATATCGTCGCGCAGAAGATGTTTGAGGAGCACCTTGTCGCCGAAGTGTCTAGCGCCGGCGAAGAAAGCTCGACGACTGAGGACGAGGAGGCCGAGCAGAAGAAAGGCGCTGGCGCGAAGCGCAAGCGCAACGACAGCGCTGCGGACGCGGGGAGGCCGTCCACCAAACGCCCGCGGGCCCGCTACGTCATGTGCGAGAATTGCGAGGAGGAGTTTGACGTTATGAACAACGATAAGGGCGATTGCGTCTATCATCCCGGTATGTAACAGCTCTTCCTTTCTTTCTCTCTTCACTGTGACTGTTCATTAAACAAATTCTCCGCCCTAGGCGAGCTCGAGGTTTATGATGGAGACGACTTCTGGGCCGACCATGATGAGGATTGCCATGGTGTCATTGACACAGAAGAAATGCGCAAGATGTTTCCCGAGGGTTTTATGTGGGACTGTTGTGAGGTGAAGGGCGATGAGCCTGGCTGCAAGGAATCTAGGCATCGGCCTTCACGATTTTTTCCGTAATTCAATTTGGATGGCGATGCGAGTCGTTTTACGAAGAGGGTTTTTACAAATTGTTGTTGCTGAGAATAATAATACCTGGCCACGGCATAAAATGCAACTGAAGCTGTCATTACTGCTCCATCCTGAGTTCGTTGTCCTGACAATATGGACAAATCTGCGTACCTGTGACTCGGACTCGTACGAAATGAACACCAAACTGCGCGCCGACTTCTCGGTCCAAAGCACTCAAACGCCGCCCAGCATGTACCCAGCCAGCGCCTCACATGCTCTAACGTCTCTGGCTCCTCGACCGCCGGTTTCGATCCTCATCTCAGCGCCCTTTCTATTGTCCGATTCGTCCTCGAGCCAATTCTTCGACCTCTTCTTATTTGGCTTCTCTTACTTTTCGCTTCTCGTCCTTCTCAAAAATCGTTGAACGCGTCCTGGTCCACGCCAGCGAGCGAGAAGCCACCTATGCCATCCACGTCATCACTCTTCACCTCCTTCCCCGTCTTCGGATGCTCCTTTTCAACATTCTTCTCACGGATCGCAGTCCTCTATATGGGCCAGTTCGTGTGTAGGAGAGATGATTGTAGCGCCAGAATAGCATCCCCACTAATGTCCCATGAACCTACAGGATCTCTCTAGGGCAAGGATGGCAAAGGGCATTGGGAGGATCTTGGTTAGGATATGGCGGGGAAGTGGCTGAACTTGACACAGACAGACGAACTCGCCAACTTTGATGTGCTGCCCGTGTGATGAGGTGCGGAGGTGCGGAGGTGCGGGAGAGAGCCACAGCCAAAAACGAGCGCCCGCACAGACGCGGCTGCTAGTTACAGACGACTGACTCGAACGCGGTGCTTGTGCTCTCTCTACTTCGTACTCTCTTCACCCACCACTACTTAGTCTCACTACCCTCCTTCTCTCCACCCCTATTCCACCATGGCTGACGACACCGAGGCCTTTGACGCCCTCGAGAAGGAGGCCAAGGAATTTAACAAGGTGCGCACAGCTGCCCCGCCACCCGATAGCTATCCTTGACTGACTTCGGCCCCAGGACGCCGAGATCGACCGCATCCTCAAGGCCTTCAAGCTGGACGCCTATGCCGTGCTCGACCTGCAGCCGGGCGTGCCCGAGTCGGACATCAAAAAGATGTATCGCATCAAGTCGTTGCTGATCCACCCGGATAAGACGAGCAACCCTTCGGCGCCCGACGCCTTCGACCGCCTGAAGAAGGCGCAGACGGAGCTGATGGACGAGAAGACGCGCACGCGACTGGACGAGGCCATCGCCGACGCGCGCATGCTGCTGATCCGCGAGCGCAAGTGGACCGTCGACGAACCGGAACTCAAGACGCCCGAGTTTGCCAAGGACTGGCGCGAGAAGACCAAGGAGGTGCTGATTGACAACGAGCTCAGGCGGCGCAAGCAGATCAAAGCGCAGATGCAGGAAGAGGGCCGGCAGCAGCGCAAGGAAGATGAGGAGCTGGAGGCGCGCAAGCGCAAGCGCGATCACGATGAGGCATGGGAGAAGACGCGCGACCAACGTATTGGCTCATGGCGCGATTTCCAAAAGAAGGGCGCCCAGGACAGCGAGAACAAGAAGAAGAAAAAGAAGCTTAAGCCCATCGGCTGAGGCTGCTCTCATTTCTCCTCCCGTCGTGTCTTCTTTCCTTGCACCCTTGATGCATTGCAAAACGGGCAGACGGGGGCCAACGGCGTACGGCATGCGACTATGGACGAGTTGCTGGGCGTTTTTGTTCCAGGACATGGATACTACATACCCTTGCTGTGAAGAAACCACAGTAGTACATCACGAATAACGACTCTACTTTGAGATGAGTTGCCTAAAAAAGCCCCCTCATGCACCGCTTTTAGTCCCCTAGAACCCTCATACTTTGGCGCCACCACGCGGCAGCAGGCATGCTGCAGCTGCACCAGCGCCAGGACCCTCATTCCCCAGAGTCCAGCACCCAGCCCAATTTCCCCTGTGCACTCTGTCAGACGCAAAGTACCGTCTCAAACCTTAACCTCCCGAAAGGGAAGAAAAAATAGAGAGGCCAAATAATAGGCAACCAATAGCCCGCGATCCGCACGCCTCACGCATCCTGTCCCGTCCCGTCCTGTCCTGTCCTGCACTGCGCGCAGCCGATGCTGCAACGATGCCCACCCGCCCGCCTGCTTGCCTGCCTGCCTGCCTGCCTGCCTGCTGCTCGACCGACAGTAGTGTACCTGCCTACCTACCTTACATACATACGAACCGTATGTACATAATCCAGGCAGCCTGCCATAGTCTACCCGGCCCCCTCATCTCCCCAACGCGCCGCGCTGCACCGCCCGCTCGGCTCGCCAGCACAGTAGTCCGAAGGTGCTGCGCGCGTCGCGTAAGCCCGCAGCAAGACCGCAACACAAGGAACGACGGCGCTTCCGCAACGGGAGCAACAGCAGCAACGGCAATAGCCGCAGCAACAGCAGCAGTACGTCAGACGGACGGACGGACAGACAGACAGACAGACAGACAGACAGACAGACAGACACGGCAAAGCAGGGCAAGCGCGCACAGGCAACGTGGGCGCGCGGCCGCGTGCGTTGCGTTGCGTTGCGCCGTGTACTACTGGTGCGAGCGAGCAAGCGCGCGCGCGCGCCGCCCATTCACCGGGCTCCGCCGCGCGGGATCGCGCATATATACACATGGCGAACGCGTGTTCCGTGCTGGAATTCTCCGACGGGGCGCAACGGCGGGCAACGGCGACGCGAGAGCACGGAACGGCCTTGCAATAGGAAGGAACGAACGAACCCCCCTAAAAAAAAAAGGGGGGGGGGGGGGGGGGGGCGAGGGAGAGGGGTTGTCGGGACGGAGGACCGGGGACGGCAGGTGTCAGGGCGGGGCATTGGGGGCGGGGAGGAGTTGCAGCGGTTAGGCTATTGACGGCGCGCTGTTCTGGGGCGTTTGTTGCGAGCCGTGGGCTTGGTAGCTTCTTGCCTGCCTGGCTGCCTGACTGCCTGCCTGTCTGGTGGGTGGCCGTTGCGGCGTTGCTGCTGTGCCGTGCCGCTTAGGGGTATTGGTAGGTTAGCTTGGCTCCCGATAAGCAAGCGGCTGTGTTTGTTGACTTTTGGAGCCGTGTAGATCGGGGCGGTATTTCGCAAGCACTATTGTGCGTCTATATGGTCATGGCGTTGGACAATATCGATGTGTTGTTGTTGTTGTTGTTGTTGTTGTTGCGGTTGAGAGTCCAGTGTCGTGATCTGCGAGGACGACTCCGCGACTCGACGAAAGAGACTGCCGCCTGTATATACAACGTAGTAGTGTACCGAGAACCAAGACCGTATCCTCCCTGCCCTTTCTTTTGTCATGTCGTCCCGCTGCGTCCGCTGGCATACCCAAAGAGTACCCGAGGGAGCGAGGGGGAACAACTCCCAGAAATACAAAAACAGAACCCAAGATTATAAGACACCCGTTGTACAGCAAACGAACCCAAAACGCCGTCTCCAAAAACATTTCCTCCTTTGGTGAAACCGAGTGTCGGCGCCATGGTTGCTCAGTCGTGGCCCCTTTCGATGACCTAGACGTCCAGACCCGACCTCACACCCCTTGCCGTAAAGAAGCAATAAAGATAGTGAAAAGAAAGCAAGCATCCGTCTACAAACCAAAAACTGTTCAACCCATTATATCCATGATATTCAAGCGCCGTCTCTTGGACCTGTCGTCCGAGGGTGCCTCCTGCCCACTCTGCTGTGCACCGCCGCTCTGAAGTTGGCGTCCAGGAACCTCAAGCAGCCCTGCTTCCGGCACTGACTGCTGCCTCTGACGAGGGCTATATTGTGCTGTCCTCATGTAACGTGGGCGCTGGTCGCTGAGGTACTGATCTCTGGGCTCCGACGTCGCAGACTGCGGTCTTGCAGACATTTGGTAGTGGGGTCCGGCTGACCACTGCACCGGCGTGAACCCGGCCTCAGCCGGAGGTGCACCCTGCGGGTAGTGATATGGCATATGACTCGAGACTGTCGGCTGGGGCAGCGACGCTGTCATTGCCTGGAAGGTAAAGTACGGAGAGTAAGGGGAGGGGGGATCCGAGACGTTCAGCGGGGAAGAATGGCCGTAAGGCGCAGGGTGTAATGATGGGAGCTCGGCCGAAGCGGAGGTGCGAGAGGCTCTAGAGGACGGTCTTGAGGCTCGTGGTGCGATAGGTGTCACAAACGTCGACGGCACCTGTGGGCGGATATCGCTGGCCGGAAAAGGCGGAAGCGTAACGGAGACGAAGAAGATATTCGACGATTTGGCGAGGCGGACACGAGCTGTTACCTCTTGCGGCTGCCCGTAGACTGAGCGGAATTGCCATTTTAAGTGTCGGTCGGTGTAGCCTCGGGTGATGATGTCGAGGTCCTCTTCCTCAATGTCCTGGACTGTTTCTTGTTCTCCGGGAACGAAAATAGGCGGCAGATAAGCGGGATCCCGATCCTCACGTTCTTTCCTTAGGTCACTCCGTAACAGAGGAAGAGGGTTGGTCTGGTTCTGCTGGAGGAGCTCACTTAGTTCCATACCGCGAAAGTCTCTTCCGTGACCAAACAGGACGTTGAACGCAGCATTCGTTTTTAAGATGATCAAATCCAAGTTGAGCAATGCCATGGGAGTTACGTAATGGGACGAAGTATCCTGAGTTGGAGGCTGGATGGTATGGCTTTCGGCAAAAGGGCTCGGAGGCAGACTGGATGGATGCGAGGCCGTCTGCTGACTGCTGGTCGACGTACCCGTGCCCCGTCTGGACCTGAGGGTTTGGAAGTAATCCCTCTGTTGAGCGATGGACGCCGGGCTCTCTGGAGCCTCGGCAGCGGGAGATGGCTGTCCAGTGACGTCTTGTACCGGTTGAGCTCTGGCCTCCTGCGTGTCCCGTAGTCTTGGTCGGCCTCTTTTTTTGTGCTGCACATCATAGCAAGTCGTCTATTCCGAACGGTTCTCATCAGCCTACTGTTTTCCATACAGACCTCGACGGGACAGTAGAAGGGCTAGATCATACCTCTTTCCCAGAAGCAACGCAGCGGGTGCAAGGCCTCTGCACGTCGCAACTCAAATGAGCCTTTTTGCAATTTACGCAGGCCGACGCCACATGTGCCTTGTTTCTCCTCGCAGACTTTTGTCGTGGTTGAGATTGATATGCCGAAGGTTGAGGCTGAGTGGCAAGATTTTGCCTTCCGGAAGCAGGGATGAAGCTGTGTGTATGGCCGGGAAACCCAAAGGGACTCCTCAGCATCATAGGGGCCTCCATGGACTCGACGTCTTCTGAAGTAGAATATTGCAGATGCGGCTGGTGGCCGACTTGGGAAGCAGCTTGCCGATGGCCTTCATAAATCAAGTCCTGGTGCTGCGGCTCAATGCCCGTCCGATCCGAAATCTGACCTCCACGTGGAGACCGGTCGCGACGCTGGGCATCCTGCCGGCGAGCCTGCTGCTCCTGGGATGAGGCGCTGCTGTCTTTCTGCTGTGGACGCGTACGAGACCGTCGAGAAGATGACGGAGTGTCCGACATGGGAGGGAACGGGTAGCTTTGCTGGGATGCTCCCACGGCCGGTTCCAGCCCGTACGGCGATTTGATGCCTACGTTCGGGCTCAGAAGCGGATGGCGCCCAATTGACGGCACGAAGTGGCTCAAGCAGGGAGGTGACGCCAGTACATGCATAGCGCCTTCAGGCCAGGAACGCAACGAATTACGGTCGGTGTCTATTCGGCGTCTGCTTGGTTGCAGATAGCCTAGGCGATGGGAGGCGGGGGCGAGGAACTGTCCAGAAGGGCTACCATGCGGACATGGGCTTTGGCGCACATAAGTTAGTTGGAAACACTGTATTACTGTTCTGTTCCCTGTGAGTGCGCATTCTGGGGGAGAATAGCTAGCAAGCGATTGACACGAGAGACATTTCAGAAAAGGACACGCAGGCATGCGCCATGCAGGGAGGGGAAAAGGGAGATCGATACCTTGACAGATGATACCCTGGATGCTGAGCCGAGCTGTCCCCAGTTTACTTTCAGCTCGTGCAGGTAAGGACTGACTGATGATGCGCCGGGAAGGCTAAGGCAAAAAGGAAAGATGGGTCTCCAGGCTCCAAGGGAAAGGTTCCAAGGATCAAGGATTGAGCGAGACAGAGGCGCAAAAGCTATTTCCGTTCAAGCACAACCGAAGAGCCCACAACAAGGATAGGCCGCTGCTTCATGAGAGACAGCACACCCTGTCCAGGTGGTGATCAGAGTAATAAGAAAGATCGGCTTGGGCATCTGCGGGCCACAGACTGAGATCTCCGTCAAAGACCCTGGTCTCCACCTGCATAATTGGATGACGGTCGTGGCACGGGGCCCGTCGCCGGGTCGGTTGATGGCCATCACTGATTGCGCTGCGGCGCGGCGCGAGGCATGGTCATCATGCCAGTCACTTTTTCCTTCGGGGGCCTGATCACTGGTTGACAAGCGCTTCAATACGAATCCGTCAATTCCGGCCACACTCCATAGTCATCTGGCCGAATTGATGCGGATGCTCGAAGGCCGAGCTGACAAAATTTGTCGACTCGGCGTGCTGACACAGCCCTCTTCCTGGAGCATATGGAGGCAGTTTTCCAGACAGCCCTAGCCAGCCTAGGTTCGCAGGCGCTGCATCAGCTCCAATGGCGGCGGGTTCGTTTCTTTTGATCGGCCGGTCGTCAACTCCGATAGGACCCCACGAGGGCCGGCGGGCGTGGGATTGCGAATGTGGCTTCGATTGACAGGCCCTGGAGACACCGGACTAGGCCTGTTATTGGGGAAGGCGCCGGAGTGAACAGCATCTCCTTCTATTTAGGGTTCGACCTTCTCCACGCTCTGGCCGTCCGCGGCCCGCAGATCTCACTCAACTCTCTCTGCCTTGCTTCTCACGAGCCCCGCCGGCGAAACAGCTGGAACGTCAGTTGGGCGAGGCTTTTGCCTGCAGACATCAGGTGGGTGGGGTCCTGTAGGCTGCGCGGGAGGGGCCGCCGGGGGGGTAGTCAGAGCGCAGGATGCGGTGGTGAATAGGGCTGCTAGAGAACCGTGTCAGGTGGGTTCTGCTCAAGCTGCCTTGGAGGGCAGCCCGGTCTCCACACAGCACATGAAGAAGGAAGTGGCACAGCGGCTGGGGCAGATCTTGCCTTGTCTTCGTCGCCCATGTGCGTGCCTAAGCAACGGCTACTAGCCAGAAAGGGAGCGGTGCTGGCTCGATCATCCTGATCTGTTCAAACGGAGTGTCATTTGGAAAGCGGCCCCCCTGCGCGGGCCATGGCGGCACCGCGGCTGTCGAGGATAGGGCTGCACCGCGACGGCTTGCCGCTGTTCAGATGACCCAATATAGCAGCCGTCGCCTCAGTCGGATGGCAAAAGGCTGCTACCGATCGCCCAGACTTCTCAGCTCGCGACACGAGGTGGCTCGCATGCGCACAAACCCCGGTAACGCGCCCTCAGGCAACCAGCTGTGACTTCAGGCTTAGTTGCTTTTTCCCGCAGCGCGCACCCAGATGGATCCGAGCATGTTGGGTTGCTTATGCCAGGGGCGTGTGTGATGTGTGACGGCGATGGTGTGTAATAAAGTCGCCGAAGAGCAGCGCCGGAAACGCGGCAAGTCTTCCTAGCGACGAGAGAGTATAATCGCGCCGCGAGTGTACGTAGTATAGCGCTGGTGTTTTGGAGCGGAAGCACGCCCGAATCGCTGCCGCACGCTTAATTTCCACGACCCGATCGGTCTGAGACCAGCATTGACACCAAGGGAAGGCCATGCATCCCTGTTGCCTGCCCCCCCGGCGGTGCAGAATGTCGAGCATGAGCCTTTGCACGCCCCCACGATCCGCCGCCGCCTTGCCATTCGGTGGCCAGTGGTCAGCACGTCACCCTCGGCCCTCCCGTCTTCAGGGTGCGGGCATAAAACATCATGCTTCTCGCCGCAGCTGCAGCACGACCGGCGCTGCCACATGGTGATGAGGCGAAGCCGTGCTAGGCCTGAACCGGCAGTGGTTCTATTGACAATAATATACCTCCGTACAGAGCTGTATGCGCGCTTGACGCCTGTCGACACACCAGCCACCGCTGTGGCGAGCCCCCAACACTCTCGATAAATGGCTTTTTTTCTTTTCTCCGGGACCCCGTCGTCGGGGCTCAACGAGACACGGTTTCCCCACCGGCTAGCACGCCTTGCGCCAACGGCGGCCGACTGCTACATTAGCAGAAGGAAAAAAAAAAAAAAGTATGGGGCCCGGCGGGTGACGAGCAATGGGGCTGCTTGCACAAGCGAAAGCGCCATCCGTCTCTGGCTTGCGCCGAAATTTGGTGGCGGATCTTCTGGAAATTTTAGAAACCGTAGGGCCAAGAGAGCGCGCTCCAGTCTGACCTTCCAAATGGTACATAGCTGCGCCAAGGGTAGCGGCCAGTCCCACTCCACCATTAGCTTGCGAAAATGCTCTTGTCGTGCAAAAACCAATCAACTTGTCGGAAGCACTTACCCCTCATGTGGCTGAGTAAAAAACAAAAAAAAGCACGTAAACGGATAGTGTTGTCTTTGGGAGAAATGCATCTCCCCAAGGCTCCTAAAGACGAGGGCTTCTTCATGCCCTCGAGACTGCTAGCAATGTGCCACGAAGTCCTTCACTTCTCGCATAGCAAGAGCCGACGGAATCTGCCTGCAGATGCCGGATAAAGTCGGAGAGTAAATCGCAGCATTTGCCCTTCACGGGTGATTTGCAAAAACAATTTCCCTGCCTATCAAGTGGTGGAGGTCCTCGTTTAAGCGTCACATGTCACAATTAAACTGTGACAAGCCCTGCCTCCTCAGACGACGAAGCCGGTGCTTTTTTTTTTGATACTGCTGGGAATCCTGATGATAGACAATCCAAGCACTTGGGACACCAGATCTTGGTTGATGAACTAAATCCTGAAAGTTTCCGGTTTCTGCATTGATCGAGTAATTGCCTGAGCGAAACTCTTACCAGCACCACCTGGCAATCGACTATCTATTGCGGAAATAGCCGATATCGAAGATCCTCGCGCCGAGCCTTTGGAAATTGTCGAATGCCTATCGGAAAACTACCGCCATCGCCGATCCGCGTCTCACAATTTGGCTTTCTTCGAAGGCCTTGCGTTCTTCTGCCGGCGTTGTTCTTGGACGGCTCTAGCCTTGCGAATATCTTCGACGCCCTTGAGTTCACTCTTAGCGTTGACTCCGTCCTTAAACTTGCCCATGCGTTTTTCCTTGGCCTCTGCCACACGCTTCTTGCGAACATGGTAGTCATCTCTGAATTTGTCGGCCTCCTTAGGCGCCTTCTCCATCTTGTGCTTGTAGCGCTGGCCAGGGCCTGACCTGTTTGACGGCGCTTCCACTTCACCAATACGCGGCGTCCGTCCGATCTTGTTAGTCTTCCGCCATGCGTCGAAACGCCCACTTCGGAAGCTGGCAGCGATCTTCTGACCACTCTCTCCCCGTATCATTTTTGCGCCCTTAGACCCGTCTTCATCGTTCGCTCTGGCGACATATTTCTTGCTCTTCTTGTCCCACCTCATTCCGCGCGCCTTGCTTGCTTCGGCAAATCCACGCGATTCGTCGTTGTTGAGATCCATGGCGGCGCCTTTTGCCTGTTCAACAAAGTTGCCGCCCTTGTCGTTCGAGCCGGAGTGTACGCCATACGCACGGTCTTCGGCGAGATTCAAGGACTTGGGGGTATAGGACATGAAGTGCTCCGAATCTTGCCAGTCCTCTTTTGACTTCTTTTTGCCAGCTTGGGAATCCGGGAAGGTGATTTCGAGCTCGTCTTCCGATGCCTCATTGAGATCGACTTCCATCTCGTCAAACCCATCCATTTCCAGCGCATCATCTCCGCCATTGGCAGATGTGTTGGTAACAGACTCGGCTGCTGCTTGCTTGGCTTCCGCCTCATGATGTCTCCGTGGATCGATTTTCTCCCTTCTCTTCCGCATAATCTCAGCTGCTTCGGTGGTATTCGCATGTCCCCGCCGACCAATCTCGAATATGGTTTCTTGAGGCCGGAACCCGCTGATCCTCGCCAACATCTTTTCTCTTTCCATTTCAGCTTTGTCAACGTCGTCGTTGAACAACATGTTCAACTCAGACGCACCATCGCCTTCCATGATTTCCTTTGCCCTTTTTGCGCTTTCGCTGGAGGCAGAATTGCGTGTCCGCAAATAGAGCTTTTCACCCTTCCCGGCAACTACGCGCAGGGCGTCCAAGTCGGCATCCTCGTCAAGTAGTTTGTTAACCCACTCTACGGATCGTTCCAGTTTGTTGCGCACAAGGCTGCCAACAACCACGTCGCTTGCAAAACTGAATTCGCCCTCGACCCTACCCATAACTAACTTCCTGCTAAGGAAGAGTTGCAGGTCCAATAGATAGGGTAGATCCGAATCGCGCACCAAACTGTAGGCCCATCCTTTTCTTCCGGCTCTGGCTGTTCGACCAACTCTGTGAACGAAAATCTTCGGCTGCGGCGGGAAATCGTAATTGATGACATTCGCAAGCATAGGCATGTCGATACCACGTGCTGCAACGTCAGTGACAACCAAGATGTTCGTCATGCCAGTTCTGAAATCTTGCACCTGCATTTTGCGAGCGGTCTGGTCCAGTGAACCGTAGACGTACGAGACAGCGTAGCCAGATTCCCGGAGAAGGTTAGTCAGGTAGTCGACATGGTGTTTCGTGGCTGCGAAAACGATAGTAGAATGTTCTGTTGGCGAATCGTTGGCGTCAGGAGCGTCAGAATCCCTCTTGCGCTTTTTGTCATTGCCCTTTCCCTTCTTTTCTTTCGCCTTGATGGCAGCCTGCGTCTCTCCTACTGGCATCTTGATAATGTCTTGAAGGACGTGGATCAAAGCACCTTCCTTGTCTGCACTTTTGATAGTAAAAAATGCGCTTTCAAGGTCCGGGGACACCTTGCTTTCGGCGTCCAGACGCACAAGTTTCGGTTCTTGAAGGCCTGCTCTTGCGAACTCGACCAGTGACTTGGGAAGCGTCGCGGAGAAGAGAAGTGTCTGGCGGTTTGCGGGCAAAGCATGCAAAATCTCCGCTAACTGTGCAGCGAAACCCATTTCGAACAGCCGGTCGGCTTCGTCGAAGACAATATAGCGAATCGAGGAGAGGTCCAGGTCCATCTCAACCTTGAGGTGCAAAAAACGACCAGGAGTAGCAATGATGATATCCGGGTTCGTTTGCATATCCGCGAATTGTTGCTCCAGGCTGTCACCACCCACCAGCAAGACTGTCCTCAAGTCCGTACCACGTCCAAGCTCTTTGACGACCTTCAAGGTCTGCAGCGCCAGTTCACGCGAAGGCGACATAATGACGGCTCTTGCCCCAACCTTAGGGCTGTGTGCTTTGAGCTTCTCAATCATGGGTATGCAGAAGGCGGCCGTCTTTCCAGAACCTGTTCTAGCCATTCCTACCACATCTTGACCGTCGATGACGAGAGGAACGGTCTTCCTTTGGATTGGAGTAGGCACTGAGAATCCCTTCCTCGTGATTGCCTTCAGCAAAACGGGGTTAAGGCCCATGGCCTGAAAACCGCCGCCCTTCTTCACAGTGCGGCCCTTGAGATTCGCAGATTTGCGGTTCGCTGCCGCTTGCTGGCCGGCAATGAAAGCCTCATCGTCGCTGTCGCCTCCATCCTCGGCTTTTCCGTCCAGTTCTGCCGCAATATCGAAGACCGAATCGTTGTTGGACTTCTTTGAGGCGCGCTTAGGGTGGCTTTCGAATTCGTCGTCGCTCGCGGCACCAATGAGTCCTTTTGATATGTCGAACTCGTTCTCGGACAGCGCCGGGGAAACATCGCGGTGTGGCATTTTTCCGGCGTGTTGTGGTCGTTGTTGCCGGCTGAAGATGCGCGGCGACTTTTTTGAGAGCAGACTGATGCGTCGGCTTCGGCCATGGGAAATTTCTGGGACCAAGTCTTGGCATTTACAGGGTTTATGAACGCACGTGATTGCGGGGAGACGCGCTTGCTTCGCGTCTTCCGTCGCGCTCAAGGCGGAAACGCCGAACACGATTCCTACTTCACCACATACGCCGCCTACAACACCAACACACAATGGGTTCGTACATGTTCTATGCCTTGCATTTCATTACTGATTCGTTCCAGATTACGGCAACGACGGCAACTACTCGAATACCTCCTACGGTGGCCAGGGCGGCGCAGGTGGCGGAGGCTTCATACCCGGCGAAGGAAGTCAGAACAGTCCAGGCAGCGCGTCAAAGGTATTTATGGTGTTTCAAAGTTACCAGCATCATTCGCTAATCTTCTTCGAAGGGATACGGCAAAGACACCTTAAGGCCGGTTACCATCAAGCAGATCAACGACGCGAAGAACACCCAAGAGTCAGACTTCACTATCGATGGCGCCGAGATCTCGCAGATCACGTTTGTCGGCCAGATTCGCAACATTTCCCAACAGACAACCAACATCACCTACAAGTTCGACGATGGCACTGGCCTAGTAGAGGTCAAGCAGTGGATCGACTCCGACGCGGCCAACCCTCTAGAACCGGCCGACGGCTCGCCCCCAAAGCTTGTCGAGAATGCTTACGCAAGAGTCTGGGGAAAGTTGCGGTCTTACGGCGGCAAGAGACATGTCGGTGCGCACATCATCCGGCCCATTGTCGACTTGAACGAAATCTCCTACCACCTGCTCGAAGCCACTGCCGTCCACCTCTACTTCACCCGTGGACCGCTGGGATCAGAGGGTAAACCGGCGATCAACGGCAACTCAAACACTACATATGATGATGGTCAGAACAACAGCGGTAGGAAGCTTCCGCCTATGAGTGCAGCAGAGCGCAAGGTCTACGAAATCCTACGCACTGCACCACAAGGCAACGAGGGCTTGCACATGCAGGAGATTGCATCGAGGACTAATCTGGATATGGCGGATATTGCTAAGGCAGGTGACAACTTGCTGAATTCGGGTGTGATTTACACCACCGTCGATGACACTACTTGGGCAGTTCTTGAATTTTCTTGATTCCGAGTTCGGGGATGCAACAATTGTACTGATGGCGCTGGCGGTTCGAAAAAGGCACAGAGGGATGGGGAGTATGCGATTTGGGGCTCCACTGGACCAAGATGGCCCATTAGCCTGATCTACTTACCAGCACCAGTGGAGAGAAATAGAATGCATGCTGCAACAATGGCAGTTGCAACAACAGTAAAAACCTGTTTTCTACGATTAGACCATTGCTGCTCGATGAGGTGGGGCAGCTTACAATTTGCGTCTTCCATCCTGACTGAACCAGTGCTGCTCTTCGGCTGTAGTTTGTAACAGTGTTGATGTAGTTTGCCAGACCAGAAACCAAACATGCAAGTGAGAGGACCCAAAAAATAAGCCCAAAAGGCAAAGCCAACCGTCTCTCTAAGCATGTAAATATTAGTCTTTGCATTGTGCAGCAACATGGGATTGGTACACTACCGAGGTCACTGGGCTGATGTTTGAGATGGAATGATATGACGATTGCTACAGACACGATGGCCATATAGGTCGCAAGACGAAGCCAAGATAGGAAAGCTGGAGAAATCAGCATCGAGAGAGGTGGTTCTAAGGACAATTTCGGCGTACTTCTCTCGTTCGCGCAGTGATCTCTGGCATCGGAAGCGTTGTTGACGAAAAGCAGTGGACCAAGCAGCGGCCGTTCCAGAAAGGCTACGCGCTCATAGTGGTTATCTCTGTTGATTATTAGTTCAGTTTCGTGATGCATGTTTGCGGTTTTTTGTCCTACTGGTTGACGATCGCCGGCTTCGTTGGCACAACTGTGTAGCAAGGATTGAAGGGCTCGTTAATAAGCTCTTCATCAGTCATGTGGATGAGATCCATCTTGAAACAGAGTATTAGGTGCTGTGACGACAAGCTCTCCCGTTTGGTGTTTTCAGGCGGACACTAGGGGCGCGCAAGGTTGTTCGACCGCGATCTGCCGTCTTTGCGGCGTTCGGCATCCCGCGTTTCTCTCAGACGTCATTCCGCGCTAACGATCTCAGTCAAAACCACGCGACATCAAACAGCACGTGGGCGCTTCCGTTGCAATACTCACACGCATCTCATACCAATGGCACACGACAAGTTGTACCTTTTCGGTGGCAAGGAGTCTGTTCCTTTGCCCGATCACACTACAACATAAGCTCACCACTAGCTCCAGGGCCTGGAATCCTGCCGATTGGACGGCGTCGGATGATCGTGTGCGTGGAGGAAAGTCTCAGGTCCGCTGCCTTAACTCACCCCTGTCAAATCTATCCGGTAGGCTGATATCTTTCTATAGTCGTACGTTGAATGCTCCAGCTCTGATTCCGTTGCCCGTTTCCACGGGACTCTTGATATTAAGACTCTCGGTGGCGCCGGTTTCGCCAGTCAACGGACTACAGGTGAAGACCGAGTCTGGAACATCGATGGTTATGATGGTATTCAATTTGAGATTACCAAATCTGACGGTACGCTTACTGCTTTTGGCGGGACCTTCTCCTGTTTCCACAACTGATAACATCATCCAGCCAAGAAATACACATTCAACCTGAAGGACACATTGCTTGAGAAGAACCCTGAGAATGGAAGGGAGCAAGCCACAATCTCCTATGAGTATGACTTTACAGCTTCAACTCAGGCGGCGGAGGACAAACCGGTGTCCGTTTTTATCCCATGGAAAGATTTGAAGGCAACTTACCGCGGCAAAGAAAAGAAGGATGCACCGCCTCCTAACTTGAAGAATGTCAAGAGACTAAGCATCATGATGCGGAGGTACGTATACTTCTTGCTCTTTATTTTTACTATAATAGCTCTTATCTCTAATAATCCACACAGCTTTTTCGGTGACCAAGAAGGTCCCTTTTCGCTTTCCATAAGATCTATCTCGACAGTCACTCAAAAGAAGGACGAGAAGCAGGATGCTAGCACGTCACCATATGCCACCTCAGGTGACCTTGAAAAAGGCACGTTGCCAACGGATGCACAGAACATTCAAGCTGCAGTAAGTGTTCCAATCCGCTCTTAACTGTAGCAGCTTGTTGCTGACTTTGTGACTGTCAAGAATCAGCAAAGATCTGGTTCCTTCCTGGCACCTCGGATGGCTCGACTTGCGCGGGCATTTCATGTAGCTGCGGCGATCATGTTGTTTGTGTGGCTTTTGAAGCCAATGAGCTCGTAGGCTGAGGGTTCAATACGATAAGCGGGGTCCGATGATTCGAAATGCTAACAGTGACATGAAGCGCTTCCACAACCTTAACGAATCCAATTGACCACTTGGTTGTGCCTAGGCACCAAGTCTCGTTTGCAATTTGCAAAAGTTGCAATGGGTGTTAGAATTTCGGCACAGTTACTTTGCCAACGATCCATCCACCAGCAGTTTGGCTTCAGTGGAACTTGTTAACTAAAATATCCATGTTAGCAGTCCTTGAGCGCTACCAGACTTGGTCAGCTACAATGTCTTTTCCTGCAGCTTCGTAGCCCTCTCCCTCTCGTTCAATCAACTCGCGTCGGTCCAGCCTTTGACAAACACCCTTTGCCGATAGCTCCTTTGACTTGCATGGTAGTGTCCCCTGGGCCCGCGAGTTGCTTATTTCACGCGCATTAGTCGCTCCCATCGAAGGCGCCACGACAAACGTTTCTAAAGGGTCGTACTTGCAGACATGGCGCACCATACACCATGGCTACGCTGGTGCCATGTCGAGATGGGACGAGCAACGAGCACCTATCAGATAGATCGACCCCTTAATCTTGAGCACGACACCCCTAGCACGACCCAAGCCAGCAGTGACAAGTCAATTGACGAGGCAGATCCGCTTGGCCACAGACCAGACATGCAGACACAGCGTTGCGGTCAACACGCCGCAACGCATCGCGCCACAGCGCACGAAGCTGCAGTGAACCAAAGCGGGACGCGTGCAGATCACTCACCGGTCCGCGAGCGGCGCCATGACGACCAGGTCGCCTGTGTCAGCTCACCGTTGACCAGCGACTGCCAGCCAGGAGCACGTCGGGCGCACCAAAGGATACGATGCGGGCGTGCGGAGCGCGGTGACCTTACCGGTAGGGCAGTATTGCAGCGTCGCAGTTATGCCAGACGTGGCGAGGCAGCAGTGGCAGCGGGGGAGTTGGGAGTCAGAGGGGCGATGATTCTACGTGATCCTTCTAGAGTCTCGAAGCTGGATGACTCGTGCGGCCTGGGCCGGCTGTTGTCGGCGTGGGTTTGCGGCAACTGCGATCCCGACAACGCCACTCGGCGCTAGCCAGGGTCGGGAGCGGCAAGCGGTTGCGGCTCTTCGGGCTAGCCATCACATCAATTTCAACCTCGCCGTATCGGCCGCGTCACGCTTTTCTATCTGTTTGTCAGCTTTCGGCTGATAACCTAGGCGTCATCACTCGCACTCCCAATGCTCGCGCGTGCTGCCTGCGAAAGAATGGCTTGGAAGTTTGAAGAAAGTCATGTCGGCAAGACCTACGGCTGATGATCAGACGAATGCAACGACGGAGCCAGCCTAGCGCCTGCCCTAACCCGCCCCGATCGGTCCCTGCATGGTGGAGGGGAAAAACAGGACCTGGTGAAGAAAAAAAAGAGGCCCGGCCCCCACATCGCCGCCGGAATTACGGGCGTTAGCACCGTTTGCGCCCCCGTCGGGAGTCGGGTTTAGGCGCCTCTTTGGAGCCCACCGAGATGGCGACGGGGTGCGTTAGCTTTTTATAACCTTGGTGCCGCCCCAGGGCGCGCCACAACTTCTCCCCCATCCGTCTTTCGTTCCCTCCGTCCCCATCCCGCGCTCGTTCGTCCTCCAAGGACAAGCCAAAGGCTCGAGCCACATCCGTATCCCCGCCCCACGAAGATCTCCTGGAGAAACTACGATAGCCGAGACTCACGGGAGCCGAGCATGGAGAAGGACACCGCGTCCGGGCAGGACATCGAGTCGGGCAACGGCCCCAGGGTGCTCCCGCACTGGAAGATTGTCACCGACAAGGCGTGCGTGACGCCCGAGGTGCTCAATTGGCCATATGCTGGCGAAGGCACTGAGGCGTCGCCCTACGTCGTCAAATGGATCGACAATGACCCCAGGAATCCGACACTTTGGTCCGGCTCCTACAAATGGGCGGTCACGCTGACCATGGCCTTCTCGACGCTGGCCGTGTCGTTTTGTTCTTCAGCATTTGAAGGCGGTACGTTGGGCTCTTCCACATATGTGCAGGAACGATGTGCTGACAATCGCCAGGTATCGCTGGTATGATGATGCAATATGGCATGAGCCAAGAGGTTGCCATTTTAGGTCTTTCGTTCTTCGTCCTTGGATTTGCGCTCGGTCCTCTTCTCTGGGCGCCATTCAGCGAACTTTACGGCCGTCAGGTCCTTTTCATTGGCACCTTTGCCATGTTTTCGTTTTTCAATGCCGGAGTTGCTGGATCTCAAAACACTCAGTCCATCCTCATCTGCCGGTTCTTCGCTGGTTCCTTTGGATCATCTCCCATGACCAACGCCGGTGGTGTTATTGCCGATATGTTCAATGCCAAACAGCGAGGTCTGGCCATGAGCATTTTCTGTCTGTGTCCATTCATGGGGCCCGTGCTCGGACCCATCGTGGGCGGATTTGTCGGAGAAACCGTGGGATGGCGCTGGATTATGGCTATCATGGCCATATTCAGCGGTGTGCTCTGGATCTTTGGTACCTTTATGATCCCGGAAACCTACGCCCCTGTCCTGTTGAAGGCGCGCGCGGCCAAACTATCTCAGATGACCGGAAAGGTGTACAAGAGCAAAATGGAAGTCGACCAAGGTACCGTTACCGTCGGTGAGGCCTTCAAAACCAGCTTGTCCAGGCCTTGGATCCTGTTATTTATGGAGCCTATTGTGCTATTACTAAGCATTTATATGGCAATTGTCTATGGTACTTTATACATGCTATTCGGAGCCTTCCCCATAGTCTACGAGCAGTCTAGAGGCTGGTCTGCGGGTATCTCTAGCCTGGCTTTCCTCGGTGTCGCCATCGGCATGGTCGCTTCCGTTTTATACATCATTTTCTTTGATAACAAACGGTATGCCAAGGTTTCCGAGGAAAATGGTGGCTTTGCTCCTGCCGAAACCCGTTTACACCCTGCTATCATTGGCGGCATTTCGCTTCCGATTGGCCTCATCTGGTTTGCTTGGACCAACTACCCTACAATGCCATGGGCTGCTAGCATCGCTGGTGGTATTCCGTTCGGCTTCGGCATGGTTCTGGTCTTCCTGTCGATCATGAACTACTTGATCGATGCCTACACCATCTTCGCCGCGTCCGTGTTGGCCGCAAACTCGGTATTGCGTTCTATTTTTGGTGCGGTTTTCCCACTGTTTACCACATACATGTACATGGACCTCGGTATCCATTGGGCCTCGATGATACCTGCTTTCCTGGCGCTTGCCTGCCTGCCGGCTCCCTTCCTGTTTTACAGATATGGTGCAGCCATCCGCCAGAAGTGCAAGTACGCTGCGCAATCCGAGGCTTTCATGCGGAGCCTTGCTGAAGAACAGGCGACTCAGCCCAACTCGGAAACGACCAAGGCAGACGAGGATGCACTCAACCACATCGGGGAGGACGAGCAGGTCGATGAGGCGCGGTACGTCGAATCGAAGACGGCCTCGACGTCAGTGCGGGGAACGACATCGGAGAAGGTGCAGGAGGAAGAGGAGGAGATTGCCGAGGACACGGGCGAAGATTCTGACGTCGAAGGGGGACGGTTTGCGAGGATCAAGACGGCTGCGTCGGCAAGGCGGACGTCGGTGACGTATGAAGAGAGTCCGTTCGACATTGACCGCGTACACACACGCGAATCGTTCAACTCGAGCGCCAAGAGCCACCGCACGGGCCGGCGGAGCTTGGCCAAGACCATCAGCAAGATCAGCAGGAAGTGAAAGAAGCAAAAGCTGTGTTTTTATAGAGAGGGGAGAAAAACATGACGAGACGACCTAGATATCCAGAGTAACCTTAAGTTTTAATGCTAGAGTTTAATGCCGATTCAAGCTAGACTACCGTGCTTCCCCCTGGGGCTCTGGGGCGGACCGAGGGTCCCTGAGATCGGCGCGGGATTGGCCGGGGTCGCATGGTCGCATGTCTCAAGCGCGCTTGGCAGGCGCGACGGGAGCGTCTGTCTCTCCTTCCCACTCCACCTTCTGCAACCAGCAGCAAACATCTGGCTCCAGCCGCCGACTCTCTTTTTAACTTGCGTCTCCCAGTGTAACTCCATTCCTTCAACAACATCCTCCTGCGATATCCTCCCAGTAGCCTTTCCCTTCTAATTATACATACACTACACCACCCACCTAGCTTCAACCGACACATTACTCCCCGTTTTAGCTCTCGACATGCGTTTTTCTGCCATTGCCGCCGCGGCCTTGGCCCTCGCTCCCGAGGCAGTCTCAGCTGCCGGCACGCTGGGCTTCTCGCTCGGCACCAAAAAGACAGACGGCTCGTGCAAGGCACAATCCGACTACGAGGCCGACTACGAGGCCATCTTCAAGGCCTCTGGCAGCAAGCTCGTCCGCGGATACTCTGCGTCCGACTGTAATGCCGCACAGTACATGCTGCCGGCCGCCAAAGCCAAGGGTTTCAAGGTCGTCCTAGGCGTGTGGTACGTATACCCCAGCATTTGACGGAAGATATCAAAGCTAACTGGCGCAGGCCCGACGTCGAAGAGTCTCTCAACGCCGACAAGGCGGCGCTGTCGCAATATGCAACCGACGAATACAAGGATCAGCTCTATGCCGTAACCGTCGGCTCTGAGACGCTTTACCGCGGTAACTTCACGGGCGATGAGCTTCTGGACAAGATCAACGACGTGCGGACCGTCCTGCCCAAGGGCGTCAAGGTCGGCACTGCAGACAGCTGGAACAAGTGGGCCGACGGCACTGGTGACGCTGTCATCCAGGGCGGCGTCGACCTCATGTGAGCTAGCACTGTAATGAGCTGCTTTCTCAACGTGCTAATTGCTTCGTAGTCTCTGCAATGCCTTTGCCTACTGGCAAGCCCAGCCTATTGACAACTCCACCTCCACTTACTTCGACGACATGTCTCGCGCCATCGAGCACATCCAGAGTGTAGCCGGCGGCAACAGCAATGGCCCCGAAATCTGGAACGGCGAGACGGGCTGGCCCGGCGATGGTAAGTCTTCCCTTCCTCTCCTCTCGTTCTCTTCCCTTATATCCAACGCTCTCCGAACTGACGCTCACGATCTCCAGGTGGCTCGGACTACGGCCCGGCCAAAGCTGGCACCGACAATGCCAAGACGTACTACCAGGAAGCCGTGTGCGGCATTCTGAAGTGGGGCGTCAACGCCTTCTACTTCGAAGCATTTGACGAGACCTGGAAGCCCGACTCGGTCGGTGACGATGGCTCCGCGGCCGACGAGAAGCACTGGGGTGCCTTGACGGCAGACCGCAAGGCCAAGTTCAACTTGCGCTGCACCTAATTGGGACACACCGGTGTCTGCTTGTCAGGGCACCAATGCCCCTGATTATGCCTGCGTTTGCTTGTTTGCAAGAGGGCTTGTAGACCTGCGTCTGTGCTTAGTCGGCGTAGAATGGTTACTAGTACTAGCAGACTTGTCAATTGGCCATTGGTCGTTATTGTTCGTTTGCTTATTTGTCTGCCTGTGTATCTCTTCTCGTGCGTTTTTTCGTGCATTGTAACACTCCACAACTAATGCGCACCTCGCACACAAAATGCGTACGATGTAGGTAGGTATGCATACATGCATAGCCCCTGCACGCATGACAGGGCGGAGCCCGTTCCCGCTGCTAGCACGGCGTAGCGAGCGAGTTTCAGTAGCGAGGACAGACCCCTCTTGCCACACGGCGGTCTATTTGTTTTAAGCAGTGGCTTAGGGGAAGCACTGACGCATGAAGAAGCATTGATTGTCTGATCTGATCGATTGCTTGATCCACTGGAGGGGGGGACGGGGGTATAGCATAGCATAGCATAGATAGCATAGCATATCATAGGAGCCAAACAGCACGCCCGTTTTTACCTACCTACCCACTGCGTACGATAGCTTACATGCATGCATGCGCTGCTGAAACACCGACTCTAAACACATCGGATCGGATCGAATCGAATAGGACTAGAGCTATACGATGCGATGTGATGCCATGCGAAACACGTACGCTTGCAGAGTAGTGTGGTGGATGGGAGTGCCGTGGGCGGATAAGCTGAATGATTAGGCGGACAGGCAGTCAGGCAGCTGGGCACACGTTTCTGTCCTTCTCCTTCTTTTTCTTTTTCTTCTTCTTCTTTGGGAAGGTCAGATATTCCAGACCTTGAGCCAGTGGTCCGGCGCCGGGGGCGTGCTGCTCTGCTTGGAGGCGGAGGTGTGGCTGTTGTTGCTGTTGGCCTCTACGTCGATGCTGTCAGCGTCGACGTCGTTATTGGCGTCGGCGTCATTGTGAGCAGAGTGGGCATCACTGTTCTCGGAGTCGGTGCCGTCGCTGTCGGAGTCGGAGGAGCCGCTGTCGGGGTCGGAGGAATTGCTGTCAGAGTCATAGCTGGGGAAGTGCCGCTCGCCGGTGGAGGTCGCGATATAAGAGGGCGCGACGGGGTTGACGAGCGTGGAAGCGACGGCGCCTGCGAGTGAAGATCAGCACTGCTTGTAATGATGGTGGTGGGGTGGTAGGTAGGGAGCACATACCGTCGTGAGCGCGCCACTCGGCGCTGGGATCGAGCACGCCCTCGCCTGAGGTGGGGTTATTCCAGACGCGCACAACGCCGTCTGCGCCGCCGGCAATGATGCTGTGGTCCTGACCAGCCTCGTCGTGCGGCAGCACCGAGAAGCCCAGACGCTGGTTCGTGAAGGCGCGACGTCCGCGCAGGACCGCAAGGCGGCAGCCCGCGACGCGGATGTCGTAGACGGTGATGGCGTCGCTGTTGCGCTCGGCGGCATAGAGGTAGCGGCCGCAGGGGCTCCAGGCAAGGGACGTGACGCCGGTGCCCGGGGACGAGGTCTGGAGTGAAAAGAGCGCGGCGCACTCGCCGCGGCCAGCGGGGTCATAGAGCGCGATCTTGCGGGTCTCGGTGCCGGCTGCGTAGAGGTCGCTGAACGGGCTCACTGCGAGCGCGAGGAACTCGCCACGAATGTGGCGCGCGTCCTTGTACATGCCGCGGGGACGACGGGGCGGTGCGGTCACATGCTCAACTATGGGCGCATCGTTGTAGCGTGTGATGTCGAAGAGGGCGAGGCGGTGGCGCGCGCCGGCGATGAACTGGGCGCCATTGTTCAAGAAGGCGAGCGACATTACATTGCGGTATTCCTCCTGGTAGGCGTCATAGAGTGGGTAGCGTGCGAGAACGGAGCCGTCAACGGCGTTGACCAGGCGCATGGGCTGGTGGAGCACGCTATGCAGGAGGTAGGTCGTGTTGCCCGCGCTGGACTCCCATTGCGGCCAGAGGGCGTAGGCGTTGATCTGCTCGGGAGAATCGATGGTCGTCTGCGGTTCGAGTGCGTGCGGGTTGCCTTCAGCGAGATCGTCGTGTGATCTGTCTTTGTTTACTTTTTGTCAGGTAGTGTTACAAGAGCGACGAAGGAGGATGGCGTCTTACAGGCTGAAGACGCGCAGACGTTTGTCGGCGCTGTTGGTGACGAGGCATGCGCCGTCGCGCGAGAAGGCGGCGTCTCTCTGCACGTAGTCCTCGTGTGTGTCTACAGTGTATGGCACGCCGAAGCCCGCAAGGCGAGCAGTGATTTGGCGGGCGGCCATGTTGGTGTTGTAGGGCTGAGAAAAACCGCGAGCTCCAACACCACTCCCCCTCCCTCTCCACACATCCATGCAATCGCCACCATCCGCCCCCGCGCGGGTCGAGTCGCCCTATGTGCGGTCGCTGCTGGTACATACCACCACCCCGCTCAATGCGCCCTCGCTGATCATCAATGGATGACACCTAGGCCGGAGCCCTGGCCGGCACCACCGTCGACCTGTCGCTCTTCCCGCTCGACACGCTCAAGACGCGCCTGCAAGCGCGCGAGGGCTTCATAGCCTCCGGTGGCTTCCGCGGCATCTACCGCGGCATTGGGTCCGCCGTCGTCGGCTCCGCCCCGGGCGCCGCCCTCTTCTTCGTCACCTACGACGGCGTCAAGCGCCATCTCGCCCAACGCAGCCGCCACACGACAGCCGATGGGTCAACGGTCGCGGTGCCGGGTGTCGGTGGCCTGGAGCCCTTCCACCACATGATCGCGGCCAGCTTGGGCGAGGTAGCTGCCTGCGCGGTGCGCGTCCCCACCGAGGTCATCAAGCAGCGCGCCCAGGCGGTGCAGCACCCGTCGTCACTGGCCGCGCTACAACACATTCTCTCGCAGCGCCGGGCACGCGGCTTCGGCTTTGTTTGGCGCGAACTGTACCGTGGATGGTCCATCACCATTATGCGCGAGGTGCCCTTCACCATCATCCAATTCCCGCTGTGGGAGGGCATGAAGGAGTGGAGCCGTAGCGCCAACGGCCGTGACAGTGTGTCTGCTCTAGAAGGCGCCGTTTTTGGCTCCCTTGCCGGTGCCGTCGCTGCTGGTTTGACTACTCCGCTTGACGTCCTCAAGACTCGCATGATGCTCGCCACCCAACGCCAGAAGATGGTTCCCTTGTTGAAGGAGATATTGAGAGATAGTGGGCCCAAAGCATTCTTCGCCGGTCTCGGACCCAGGGTCTTCTGGATCAGCACTGGCGGTGCCATCTTCTTGGGCAGTTATCAATGGGCTATTAACGCGCTCGGAGGGGATGCTGTGTGAAATTGGTGGCAGTGTGCATAGATAGAGCGTCGCGAGACACCCGCATATATAGATTCAACATGTATGATGTACGATCGACAATGGCACCTGCACCAACCGCGCCGGGCGAACGGGCCTCACGGCGATTCAAGCACGTCAGTTGCCAGAGCAGAGATGTGTTTGCAACCCGTCAACTACGCAATGCGAATGTAGACGCTTCGATATGCTACAGATGCCAAACGCCGGCCTCCAATGTCGTTTCGAGGTGGTATGTTTTATTACATGAAGAGTACACAATAACCGCGGATGAGCGGAGCGGAGCTAGCAAACAGCTGCTTTACTCGTTGATCTTGGCGAGGATCCTTCACGACCATCAGCAATTCGAATTCAAAGATAACATGAGAGAGAGAAACGTACTCGGCGTCCCTGAAGAGGGAGTAGTCATCCTCACCGACCTTGATGGGAGTGCCACCGTACTACATACAGCAATTAGCACATGCGTCCAACATAACAGCGCACCGCAAGTTCGCGCGCAGAGCACTAGTGCTGCCGCGAGATGAGGGCAATGCTTACCTGGGGGATCAGGACCCTGTCGCCGGGCTGGACGCTGGGGTTTATCCTCTTGCCGTCGCGGTCCACGGCACCGGGGCCGACAGCCAGAACCTTGGCCTCGTTCAATTCCTTGACGGAGCTCTCGGGCAGGAAGATGCCGGAGGCGGTCTTGGCCTCAGCCTTGACGCGCTGGACCAGGACGCGGTCGAGGAGGGGCGCGAGCGACTTGATGGACTTGATAGCGGCGGTGGCCTATTGCTACGCATTAGCTATGACTGCGGAAGCGCGCGGGAAGACAGGGCGGATGGTACCATTGTGAAGGATTGGCGGGCGGATGAGCTAGGTCAGAGGGAAGAGCGAGAAAAGCGTGAGAGGGAAGTCGAGGTGTTTATGCGGGCGATGGAGAAAAACGACAGGCCATTGAAGGTTCGAGAAGCTTGGTGTCCGTGCGCTGGACCTCGGGCCCGGGGTTGCTCGCCAGGCGCCCTGTCCTGCCGCAACCGCCTCTCCTTGTGCATAATGGGACCTACATATGTTTGCTCCGACTTTCAGGCTTCGTCAAGCGCTGCCCGTCAGCGTCGCCGAGTTCCGCGAGTCGCTGGCCGCAATATGGCTGCCGCGTCTCGGCGTCCAGCGCCCCCGCCTGGGTGAGTTCCTTGACGGACCATCCCTCAAGTCCGCGTGCGCTGATCCAATCAGGCCTTGCTGTCAGTGGCGGCGCTGATTCAATGGCGCTCGCGACTCTCTGTGCCGACCTATCAGAAGAGCTTGGCGAAGAAGAAGATGAGACGGACATCTTCACGGCCTTTATTGTTGACCATCAGCTCCGCAAGGGAAGCACCGACGAAGCCAGAACCGTGCAAGAAAACCTGCTCAACTTGGGTATCATTCGTCCATCCTAACAGCAGACAGCCCCGCTGACTTGGTCAGGCATTGATGCCGAGATCCTGCAGATGCAATGGCCGCGGGAAATAAACACTCAAAGCCTGACTAACTTGGAAACGCAAGCTCGTAAGTTGAGATTCCGATTGCTAGGACGCGCGTGTCGTGATCATGGCATTGAGTCGTTGCTGGTGGCGCATCACAGCGATGATCAGGCCGAGACGGTCATGATGCGTCTCATTGAAGGCTACAGAGGCATGGGCTTGCGCGGCATGAAGCCCAGAAATGAAATCCCCGAATGTTTTGGTGTTCATGGTGTGCATCAGAGCCACGCTGAGTGGCTCACGAACGAGAACCCGCTTCACCCCGAGGAGCAACATGCTGTGGCCATTGAGCGATTAGGCATTCAAGTCTTACGCCCATTGTTACCCTTCAATAAAGAGAGGCTCACCGCGACTTGCCTGGCATCAGGCACTCGGTGGGTTGAGGACGAAACCAACAAAGACCCTACCTTGACCGCTCGGAACGCTCTTCGGCATATCTTCCACAACCACCGTGTGCCGACTGCTATCAGCAAACCCGCGTTGTTACAGCTTGCGCAGCGGGTTACTGACAAAGTCCACCGCCGGGAGGCAGAAGTCAATGATCTCTTGAGTAAGCTTGACGGAGTGCTTGATATTCGCTCTGGAGAGCTTGCCATCCGCTACCCTCGGGTATTTTGGCCTCCAGCTGAGCGGCAATCCCCTTTCAAGCCAGAATCTCCCTTTAAAAGGGACTTTTTTAATGAAGAAGAGGGCAAAATCATCGCAGCAATGCTCTTGCGTCGTCTGACAAACCTCGTAACGCCGAGAGAGACTCTCGATCTCTCGCAACTCAAGACAGCAGTTCGTTACCTGTTCCCTAGACTATATATTGACGACGACACGCTCGATCCGACGGAGGAAACACCGCACTCTTTCACAGCTGGTGGTGCGCTTTTCGAGCTCCTACAAGCTCCGGGCGATTACTTTCCTTACTACACCTGGAATCTCAGCAGGGCGCCGTATCCAAGAGATGAGTTTCCGACGCTGCGTGTGCCTCCCTTGCCTGGTTTCCGCGACGAAGATGACATCGGCTTCGAACAATCTCATCCGAACACCGAACAGCCGTTTGAACTCTTCGATGGCCGCTTCTGGCTCCGTGTCTATAACCCCTCGAACCGGCACCTTATCATCCGCCCTTTCCGGCCCACGGATCTGAAACCTTTCCGCAATTCGCTCGAAGGTCTCATGAAGGAGCGCTTCGAGGCGTTGCGCGTTGATTCGGCCAAGAGTAAGGCTCGCTTCACGCTGCCAGCCATCGCTGCCCCGAATGACGACGGAAGCGACTACGTCATCGCCATGCCAACCTTCGGCGTGAAAATCAATAGTGGAGAGGCGGCGAGCGAATGGGAAGACTTGAAGTGGAACGTGCGTTACAAGAAGATGGACATGAGCTGTCTGGTAAGAGACAGCTGGGAAGACTATCCGGAGGCGATCAGACGCAGGGAGGAAGAAGAAATGGAGAAAGAGCGCGAGCGGGCGTGGGAAGCGGCAGATGAAGACATTCCTTTTGTTGATATGGAGGTGGGTGAAGGACATAATCAACGCTAAGAACATGGAAATCGCCAGTCGCCATGCGCAAGCAGGAAGGCGCAACAAAGTGCATATTTCTCGTGCTTTCTCTTCGTCTTCCAATGTCTCATCACCTTTACCAACATGCCAGTATGAAGTCCACAACAGCAATTAGGCTTTTTATCCCGCTCTTCCTTGCCATCCTCTCTGCCGCATTTAAACCTACACCGCCGCCTACTGCGAGCATGGAGGTGCCATGGACGCGTGGAAGCAGGACCTAGTGAGCAAACCTCAACATACCACCCCTCAAAAGCTCCATTAGCAAAGCTCGCTGACTTTGTTCGCACCGCCCCAGCCCAGCATGGGATGATTGCGCTGAGAGCCCCCTCCCGGACCCGGTTGGGTGCTGGGGTGAGCTTAATCCCGACTGGATGACGAAGACCGATCCCGAAAGCTTCAGTGACCGAGTCGAGGCGGATGCGGACAAATCCTCGGACCCTGTGTGTCTAACCGGGATAGTCATCACAACTACTGGTGGGAGGAACGGCATGTCGACGACGGCGGCGGCTGCGAGAATGGCGAGGGATGTTCCGCGTTCAAGTTTGACTCCGATTACGACTTCGATGGCTAGCATCATGACCAAGTCGTAGTAAGTTGCTTTGCTTGTCTACTTGTCTTCTGCAGCCCTGCTGTTACTGTCGGTCCCAGCTGGTCTTTCATTCTTCTCATCTGAATGCTGGCACATGCTAACGCGGTCTCCTTTCTCTTCACAGCCCACCCTTCGAAACTACCTTCTGTCCCAAAAAGTTCAACAAGAAGGGCACAGACCTCTGCAGCAACAAATGCATGTACCAATACATGAAACCCGTCGCCTCCGGCAAGTACAATGAGTACGTTTACACGAAAGCACACTGGGGCGACTCGAAAGGCTTGTTTCTCCCCGAAGCAGTGCGTGACAACAACAACAACGACGAAACGGGAAAAACCAACAGCAGCACAAGCACGGGCACCCCCACCAAGACACTCAACGACGGCTGGATGTCGTACAACGACTTCTACGCCCGCTACACCGATGCCAGACATATCAAGGGCGGCCCACGGCCCGGTCCCGCGACAACGACGGCGACGAAGACCGTCACGTCGCGCAGACCCACCACGACTCACACGCCCGAATGCTTCAACTCCTACAGTTGCTGGGACATCTGCGAGACGCAGAAGCGCCACAAACACATCTTCACTATAGTGGTAATATCAGTGTTTGCGGCCGGCAGCGGGTTTGCGCTGTTGGGCATGGCGATGAGCTTGTATTTGCAGAGCCGGAGGAATCGTGCCAAGGACAGGAAAGCGAGGGACGAGGGGAAGCCGGCGAAGGATAAGAGTGAGAAGAGGAAGATGTGGATGGGGAAGGGGAAGGGAAAGGGGAAGGGAAAGGAGAGGGCTGTCGAGGGGAGTGTGGATGGCGTGGTGGAAGCACGTGAAGACGTTCCGCTGGACGTGTTTGTTGCGGGGAATGCGAGGTCTGCGAGGGCTGCGAGGGTCACGGGAAGTAGTGTGTATGAAGAGGATGGGGAGGAGAGCGCGATGAGGAGGGTTTGAGTTGGATGGGTGCCTGGCAGCTCGTTGGGTGGTGAAGGTTAAAGGCGGAGAGTGCTGGATTTATGACTGAGAGGGGAGCTTGGGCAGATGAGGTCTTGGAGTGTTGGATGGCTTTGCTCTAGCATTGGCATTGACTGGCCGTTGTATGAATACCTGCATGCATACATTAGCAAGAATAGCTTAGTTATAGTATCTTATGACAGCCTGTCTCCTTTCGCTACATGCACTCCACCGTTCCAGTCTCTTTGCCTTCATGGCGCAAGTGTGCACGGCACACGGTTGCACCTGCATCGCGGCTTCTGATCTTGTCTCCAAGGGGGGAAGGGGGATTCGAGAAAGGCAAGAGGCTTCGAGTGCCTACCTACCTTAGAAGGCAATCCCCGCTACGGAAGGCGTGCTCTCTCCGTCTACTATAAACCCCCCCTCCTTTGCTCACATTTCAACTCCTGTCTCCTCCCGTCGAGGTCCCTTCCATTCCAATCTCACATCCCCTCCTCACTCATTCGCTCGTCGTCTAAGCCAGTGACTTCCCTTCGGACTTGTACGGATAATCCTTGTACCTCGTCTGAGCTGACGTTACAAAGGGTTTTGGGACACTCCTTCCGCACCTGGAGTTGCTAGATAAATTATAAAATTTAATAAAAAAACGTGTGAAATATCTCGCACTCATGGTCACTGACGGACTCATCATTTAATAGGTACGGTTCGGTTCTGGCAAGTTTAAAAGCATGTTCGTACTTCATACTAGCCCTTAAACTCAAGGCACTGTTTGCTTATGGCCCGTGTTCGTGGTTCAATCAGCTGCTGCCCGATATCCCATTAGTCAAGCGTAGGGCCGTGTGGAGCAAAAAAGAAAGCACAAATTTACTTGTACTCCGTAATTCCTTCTCAACCCCTCGCCATTCATCTCCGCATTAACACCTGAGTGCGTCCACTGCTATCTCATACCTACCTACCTACCTACTACCTACGTACGTGGGTAAATATATTATTTGGCCCAATACTTCGCAGCCAACGCCCAATGTGCCTCAGCCGCCCAATGACACAACCGGATAAACAGGAGCCTAGTAGGCAAAGACCCGAAACCGCAGTGGCAAGAGATAGACTAACCGGAGCGGAGCCCCCAATAAGTGCAATGCGTATACGGATAACATTACCATAGCACACACGCACACGACTTAGCACCGCCCCACTCCGCTCCGAGGCGCATCACTCCACCCTCCCCGTAAGCCCACGCGCAGCCAAGCCAATCCAATCCCATCTGTCTGAAATGCCCATCATCTACAATATCCGCTGCCTCCGCACGCCCTGTTCCCCGTCCCCTGCTCTCCCGTTCCCTTCCCCCCTCCCCGTCCGACTCCCCCGTCTACCTAGGATAGCTACCCGACCAGCCAGCCCAATCCCTCCCGCGCGCACAGACACCCCCCCAAAAGACACCACAACATATACGCACAGACGCACAAAAAACGCATGCAAGCATGGATTAGACAGAAAACAAAATAACGAGCGCGGCAGCGTGACCGCGGTCGCGGCGCAGCAATTCCGTAACCTACCGCCGCAGCCAGCAGCCAACAGCCCGTGGCAGCACACAGCACAGCACAGCATAGCACGCACAGCTTCGACTCAACTCCTCCTCTTCTTCCTCTTCTTCCTCCTCCACCCTCCCTCCGGTCCCCATACATAGGTAGGTACATACATACCGTCCCGTTCCGTTCCGCACCTCCCCTCCCCAACCTCCTCCTCAACGCCCGCCCGTCTGGCTCCTTCCGCCCCCACAGACCACAGACACCCCCCCCAACCGGGAAACGACTAACTTTTTTCTTTTTTCGCGCGCTCCGTTCGCCGCCGCCACCATGGTCCCCGAGCCCAAGATCGGCGGGCCGCCTCCTCGCGCTCCCTGCACGCGCGCACGCGCGCCCGTGTCCCCTGCCGCTGTGCGTGCGTTCGCTCGGCTGGCGCTCCTTGCCCCATCCGTAGAAGCGCGCCCCGTGGCGGGACGTGCTTGCGCTACGGACGGACGGACGGAGGGGGAAGAGGATTGCGAATTGCGATGGTCGTGATCGTAGCGGCGGCGGCGTCGGCGTCGACGATGGTAGTAGTAGTAGTAGTAGCGATGTGATGGATTTAGATTTGATGGATAAGAAAAAGAGAGAGGGAAAAAAGGAAATGGAAGGGAAGAGAGAAAAGGTTGGCATCGCGTTGTCTTCGTACAGCCATTCAAACATGCGAGCGAGCAAGCGGCCGTTTCTATACACGGTCGGTCGTTGGCCTTTCGAAGACATTACTTGCATTCTCGCCTCTCCGCTCCGTGCCATTATGGCCAGGCGCCCCTCGGTCTCACTCCCGCGGGTTGGCCCTCAGCCCCGCCCACTCGCCGGCGCCCACAGCGCGCTCAACCAGCCGCCGACGCCCATCTCGCCGCGCAATGCGGCCGCGCCGGCCCAGACCTGCCAATTGGTGCCGGCGACAAAGGCAGCGACGTCGTCGCCGCCGAAGCGTGTGTCGACGGCGTCGAGCCAGGCGTCTTGCGATTGGGCCGAGGAGCGGGGCGGCGAGAAGTGGTGTTGGTGGTGGTAGGCGGGCGGGAGCGGAGGCGGGAGCTGGTGTTGGGCGGTGCTGCGAGGCGACAGCTGCTGCTGCATTTGGATGGGGGTGAAGCCGGAGCCGTACGGGGCGGGGGCGGGCGGCGACATGGCGGGCGAGGGGCCGAGATGATCGCTGGCAGGGTTGGAGAGCGAGATGCCGCCCGGGCCGTATGCGCCGTTGGCCGCATTCTGACTGGCGGCAGCGGCGACCGTGTTGATGGCGTTCCATCGCTCTTGCCGCACCGCGTTAGCGTCAGGCGTGCCCCGCTGCGTCGTGCTGTCCGTTTCCACGCTGTCCCGCCGTGCTTCCGGTGCGTCCAACATCTCCATGTCCTCGTCCTCGCCGCCGCTGAAGTCGCGCAGCGTCTTCTCCAGCAGCCGATGCTCCTCGGGCCCGTGGTCGCGCAGGCTCAGGTTGCGGTACGCCTCCGACGGGTCACCGCCAGCCGGTGACAGGCTGCGCGGCCCTTTTGCGCCTTGCCGGAGGTCCTTTTTGATCCGAATGTAGTAGATGTGCGCCCGCTTGATCGTCTTGAACCACCCGTCCGCCATCTGCAGCGACCGGCGCATGTGGCTGATGATCTCCAGACCCTTGCGCGCTGCTTCTGCTCCGGGCGAATCGGCTGCCTCTGACTTGACCGGGTCTCGCGTTCCCTTGCACATATACCCATTGGGATCCATCCACGGAAAATTGATCGCGTAAACACCTGCGCAGATTAGCTACTGCTTAACCGCACGTCTAGCGGCATGAACGTACCAAGAAAGGCTGCAGTGTAGGCAGCGAAGCCTACAATGGGTGTTTCGGCAAGGACGCCCCACTCTTGACATATCCGGAGAAGATCGATGATCTCCCGTGCCGTCTTGAACAACTCATGCGCGCTTTGCTCCCAGAACCCCTCCGAAGCCTTGTGTTCGTCCGTGGAGAAGATGGGTGGATCAAGGGGACCCTGTGGTCTAGAACACCGGAATGGTACAAAGGGGAGGTATTCTCTGTGAAGAATGATGCCGGAGAGAAGGTGAACCACATGTAAGAGAGCGAATGGAGTTGATGTCCTCGACGTGATGTGGGCGGAAATGTTGCCGGCGTTAAGCTCCATGTCTCGAGGCAAAGATTCCCTGGATGCAACGTGGTGACTCCGGAGCACGTTCCAGGTAGACCTCTCATCCCAAGGTGGATATTGCTCGCGCCTGTCTGTGTTAGGGGAGACCATCCGACGGCTACGAATGACACACGTACCTTCTGCCTCCGCTGCAGGACCATTTCACGATGCGCCCGTACAGGTCCAGCACTTTGATGTAGCGGCTCACGATGCCCTCATCAGCGCCAATCTCCAGCCTTCCCTCAGACTCGTCGTTTCTGCCCAGATCCCCGCTGGAAAACGGGTCCCCGCTGGCAGGGGTATCCCCGTTCGGTGATCCGTGCTTCGAGCCAAGCATGACCGACGCCTTGCGCTGACTCTGAATCTGAGCACGACCGGCCACATGGTGAACTTCTTCTCCCAGCATAAGTGTCCTAACCTTCTCGCCGAAGAGGAACGCTCGTTCGCTGCAAGGCAGCTGGATCCTCAATTCTTGCACATTGATCATCTGAGGTCTGTATTTTCCGCTGCTTAAATACCTGTCCATGATGAGACAGCTCCAGAACGTTCGGCGTCTCGTTTCTTGCTCGATAAAAGTATCTCCTTTGCTAAAAGAAGGTTTCCCTCGTCCCAGGTCGATGTCAGAATGGTGTGCTTCTTCCGCGAGAGCGGTGGACCGAGCCAGCGGCATGTCGTCAAGGTCGTTTTCGAATTGAAGTCCCAGAATCTGCGCCCCACGAATCGCTACGCCTAACTGGACCCAGGCTCTAGCTCCGTGGCACATGCCCCATTCGTGTAAGACTAGCATAAGGAGGGTCTGAGTGCGCTGCAGGTCAGGAAGGCCTAGCTCACTGCCACTGTTCGAGGCGAGCCGGGCTCGACATGCGGACGCATAGTATTCCGAGGCGATGAGGGGATTCTGCTTCGACGTCGATGGAGAATGGTAGGCGACCAATTGAGGATGGAATCGAGAGGTCAGAGTCAGGAAGGCCAGCAGGAGAACGGGGGACAGGGCAGGCGCGGGAGACGCGTTCGCATCGCCAAAGCCGGTGCCAGGGCCTTGCAAAGACGACTGGCGCAGCGGCTTGAGGAAGCTCGGAGGATGCAGAAAGGGAAAATCAGTTGAGTAATGCGTCTGGAATATGTCAAACTGGGCAGTGTTAGTGACCAGGCGGGCAGGGCAGAAGTCCGGGCAGGACGCACCAATTCGGTCCAGACTTTGGGCGTTAGCACGCTGGCGTCCAAGGCATCGAGAATGGCGTGGGGGCTCTCTCTGGAGGCTGCGTGGCCTGAGACAGAGGCCGTGTTCTTCTTGGGGCGGGGCGCGCGTCGCGGAGTCTGGTGGCCACGTATAAGCAGGAAGTGTATCAAGCAACAATAAAAAAAAGGCAACCTACGTCGCTGGTGGGCGGGCGATCGATGGCGGGCATGCCCGAGGCGCTGCTCTCGCGGCGGGCGGCGTGCTGGGTGGCGGGCGAAGGGTAGATGCACTCGCGCCCCGACGTCTCGCAGGCGCGGCAGGTGGTGCCGACGCCATTGTTGACGCACTTGACCTTGCTGCGACGACAGCGGGCGCACGCGATGGAGGACCTCATGCGAGGCTGCTGCTCCGGGCGGCGCGCGCCCGCGTCGGCGGGCGGCAGCACGGTTGGCAGCGGGCGATGGTGGTGGTGGGGGAAGGCGTGGTGCTGGTGCTGCAAGGGCGGGTTGGGCGCGGGCTGATAGGGCGGAAGGCGGTGCGTGGGCGGGCTGTCGGTGCGCGTGGTGGAGGAGGAGGTGTCGTCGGCGCGGGCGGGCGAGAGGAGCGACGAGATGGAGGTTGAGTGGTTAATTTTGGCGGCGGGGAAGTCTCTTTTACGAGAGACTTGTAAGGGTGGTTTGAGGATAGGTTGAAGATTTGTGAAGACGGGTTAGGGATCGGGAGCGACGACGAACATACACAGCTCAATCGCTCGCGCGTTAAGGGTCCATGGTACGCTTTTGTACGGTGCCGTTACCGACGCGCAGATCGTCCAGCCGCAACATCCGCTGCCCGCTGCCCTACGCGACGCTCCGGCCCTTTACTTTTTCTCGCTTTCTCGCTGCGGCGTTGATCCCGGCGCGGCACAGCGCAGTCCGGCAGCCTCTCACCTTAGCAATGCAGCTAGCGCCCCGGCCGGAGAAGCACCGCGCTTCCCAATCCAAGCCTCACGGCCCGTGGCAGCTTGACCTTTCCCCCTGCGCTCGGCTCGCAGAGGCTCGGCTGACGTGGGGCGGCGGCTCGGGTATCGGACTTTGGTGGAGTTGCTGTGTCGTTGATTGATTGCGGCAAACGACATGCGGACGGGGAGCCGGCCTGGACGCGTTGCCCTACTTGTTATATCCCAACTGCACTCTCTCTCTCTCTTGCGACGGCACATGACGGTCGGGCGCGTGGCCTGACTGACAGCCGCGGCCCGGCACTGCTGTCCCGAGACGATCAGGAGGCCGAGATACGAGAGGGCAGGATTTGCATGGTTGGTGTTGCCCTCTCTTGCTTTGTGTCTCTTGGCGCCCAAAGAGCCCGCGCGCCCGTCGGCTGAAGTCCCCACCAACGCCTAACACACCCCTCACAACGTCCTCCTCCAAACCCTCCGCCCACCCCCCCGTCCCACGCCAGCCCGCTGCTAACCAACGTCCGCCTGACATCACCCACGCGAGAGAAGGGGTCCTCGCCGCCACCACGCCCGCTGCCACCACGCGTGCGCGGCTCCACGCTGCCTGCCATCGACGACGCCCACCACGCGATTCCCACCGCCACCATGAACGAGGACGACGCCATCAAGGCCGTCTACGCCAAGATCGACCGCGAAAAGGCCCTCATCAATGCCGCCAACGCCATGCGCCAGTCGACCAACAACCCGGCCGTCCTGTCCCGCCTGGACGGCCAGGTCCGCGAGGGTCGTCGCAACATCGAATACCTCGAGGGCCGCATCCAGGAGCTCCAGATGCGGCGCGTCGGCACCGACTTGGACTCCATGAGCCTGGGTCCCGCCAGCAACGGCTCCGAGTCGCCCGAGCAGCAGCGCCGGAACCCGCTGCCTCCCCCGGCAAAGGAAGGAGACCCTTACGCCGACGGCGCCGCCTACGGCAACCCTCCGCCTCCGGGCGGCTACAGCCAACAGCTGGCCGGTGGCGAGATCCTCATGCCTCCCAAGGCGCCCTATGCCGCCCCGGGGCCCGGCCAGCCGCGGGCTCGCCCCAATTATAGCAAGCTTGGTATGGCCACGGATCCCGTCGACTAGAGAGAGAGGTCGAGGCGCTGACTGTTTCAGATTTGATCAAGTACGACACGCCTCATCTGGGTCCCCGCATCCAGCTGATGCTGTCGCAACTCGAATTCAAGCTGAGCGTCGAAAAGCAGTACAAGGATGGCATTGAGAAGATGGTGCGCCTCTACCAGATGGAGGGCGATCGGAAGAGCAAGGCCGATGCCGAGGCGCGTCGAATTGAAAGTAGCCAAAAGATACAGCTGCTCAAGCAGGCCCTGAAGCGCTACGAAGATCTGCACGTCGACATCGAAGGCGGGGACGGCCCCGATGGTAAGCCCGCCTCTCCGGCCGGCGTGCCGAGCAAGCTAACAATCTGCCAGACGACAGCCTTAATGTCCCGAGCGCTCGGAGACCGCTGAGCGGTCACTTGACTCTGCGCATCCATGCCGTGGCCGATGTTGATCATGCTGCCACGGGACGTTTCAGCAGAGGGCCCGAGACGTTTGTAATCATGAAAGTTGAGGACGCGTTGAGAGGCAGGACGAAGGCGACGAGAACCGACAAGTGGACGGACGAACTGCACGAATTCGACATCGACAAGGCCAATGAGATCGAACTGACTGTTTACGACCGAGCGGGCGACCACCCTCTCCCAATCGGCATGCAATGGCTTCGCATCTCGGACCTTGTGGAGGAGCTCAGACGCAAGAGGGTGGAGGCAGAGCTCAACAATTCCAGTGCCATGTGGGTTTCCGCCGACAAGATGGGGGATGGAGGTGCGGGGGGACAGCCACACATGCAGTTTCAGCCTCCTCCGGGTCAGGCTGGAGCCGGTGGTGGTGCCGGCGGTGCTCCCGTTCCGGGAACCGCGACAGGGCAACCGGCGGGGCCTCAGCCGCAGACTGGACCCATCTACATCGATGCCTGGTTCGCGCTTGAACCTGTTGGGCGCATTCAGATTACCATGAGTTTCGGTAAGTATTGCAAGATGTGTGGAGTCTGCGTTAAACTGACCCAATCGCAGCCAAGCAAAACAGCGCAAGCAGACCGTTCGACGTCGGTCTTGGCCGTAAGGGTGCCATTCGTCAACGCAAGGAGGAAGTCATCGAGCAGTACGGCCACAAGTTCGTCCAGCAACAGTTCTACAACATCATGAGATGCGCTCTCTGCGGTGACTTCCTGAAGTACGCAGCCGGCATGCAGTGCTCAGACTGCAAGTACACCTGTCACAAGAAATGTTACCAAAAGGTCGTCACCAAATGTATCACCCAGTCCAACGCAGAGACGGATCCGGACGAGGCGAAGCTGAACCACCGCATCCCGCATCGTTTCGAAGCCTTCTCCAACATGGGTGCCAACTGGTGCTGTCACTGTGGTTACATGCTTCCGTTCGGCAAGAAACAGTGCAGGAAATGCTCCGGTAAGACTCCCATTCTCATTCTTGTTATGACAAACTAACAATCAGTCAAGACTGCGGTTCCGTTTGTCACGCGCAGTGCGTCCACTTTGTGCCGGACTTCTGTGGTATGTCCATGGAAGTGGCCAACCAGATGATTTATGAGATCAAGAACACGAAGAAGCGCCAAACCTCGTCAATCTCCTCCTTAAACTCTCCCATGGGCTCCAAAACCATGCGCCCAACGTCTGGTTCTCGTCCTTCGCAACCACACGACCCAGCAGCGGGAGACAGGCTGTCTTACAAACAAGACTCCTATTCTGGCGCGGCGGCCAGGACTTCCTACGGCAGCAGCGGCCCATCTTCCCCAACGCAAACGAGACCTCCCACCGGCGGACGTACGCAGTCGGATGCTACGGCAGCGGCTGCCGCTGCTGCCGCTCTCGGAAGTGGTTCCAAGCCGCCGCCAGGTCCCGGGTACCAGCAGAGGTCGTCGACTGACTATGCGCCTTCACCAACTGGCCGGACGTCTGGTAGCTACCCTCCGCAAAGCCCTGCCACGCAGTCGCCCCACTCGCCTCAGCAGTCCTCCTACAACCCGCTTGACTATGCTCAAGTGAGTGGCTACCCGGTGCCTCCATTCCACCAGCCGTCCCCGGCACCCCCGCCACAGCATACACCTGCGTCGCAATACGGCGCCCCGGCCCCGCCGCCCGCAGGACCTCCCCCGCCGCAGCCTCAGCCTCAGCAGCAGCAGCAGCAGCAGCAGCAAATGGTCCCTAAGAAGGCCACCCCTTCCGCAAATACCCAAGGCACCGGAAGGAGGATAGGCCTCGACCACTTCAACTTCCTTGCGGTTCTGGGTAAGGGTAACTTCGGTAAGGTCATGCTTGCGGAGACCAAGACCTCGAAACAGCTTTACGCTATCAAGGTGTTGAAGAAAGAGTTCATTATCGAGAACGACGAGGTTGAGAGCACTCGTTCGGAGAAGCGCGTGTTTTTGATCGCCAACAAGGAGCGCCACCCGTTCTTGCTCAACCTGCACGCCTGTTTCCAGACTGAGACTCGTGTGTACTTCGTTATGGAGTACATCAGTGGTGGTGATCTTATGCTTCACATTCAGCGTGGTCAGTTTGGCACCAAGCGTGCTCAGTTCTACGCGGCCGAAGTGTGCCTTGCCCTTAAATACTTCCACGAGAACGGTGTCATCTACCGTGATTTGAAGCTCGACAACATCCTTCTCACGTTGGACGGTCACATCAAGATTGCAGACTACGGTCTGTGCAAGGAGGAGATGTGGTATGGTTCTACCACGAGCACCTTCTGCGGTACTCCTGAGTTCATGGCTCCCGAGGTGAGAACAATCAACATTTTCCCATTGGGACGCGTTGGCTAACTACTTGATAGATCCTTCTCGATAAGAAGTACGGTCGTGCAGTTGACTGGTGGGCCTTTGGTGTCCTCATCTACCAGATGCTGCTTCAGCAGTCTCCCTTCCGTGGCGAGGACGAGGACGAAATCTACGACGCCATTCTTGCTGACGAACCTCTATACCCCATCCACATGCCGCGCGACTCCGTTTCCATCCTTCAGAAGCTGCTCACGCGTGAGCCCGAGCTTCGCCTGGGCAGCGGCCCGACTGACGCGCAGGAGATCATGAGCCACGCCTTCTTCAGGAACATCAACTGGGACGACGTGTACCACAAGCGCATAGCCCCGCCATTTATGCCGCAAATCACGTCCGCTACGGACACGAGCAACTTCGATCAGGAATTCACCAGTGTTACGCCGGTGCTGACACCCGTTCAATCTGGCAAGTTCTCCGCATGTTCCTTGGTCTTAGGCAGTCAACTAACATGTCTGAAACAGTACTTTCGCAAGCTATGCAGGAAGAATTCCGTGGATTCTCCTACTCTGCCGACTTTGCTTGAGCGAATCTTGTTGTTTCGTCTTAGTCCCCATTGGTAGTTAGGTCAACCGCTGCTTGCGGCCATTAGTTCGTCATTTGGACTTCTTTTCGAGCTTATACTCCCTTCATTAGCATACGGTGTCTGGAGCTACTACCCCTAGTTCTTGACTTTCTTTCGTTGGAGACAGCACTGGTTTGTTGATTGAGTGAGAGCAGGAGCAGGGACGGGGAGTGTGGGTGCGGTAATAATCAAACGAGCGGAGATGAAAGCAGTCAGCGGGCGCGGCTTTCCCGCCGGCGGTGGACGGGATATAAGTATGGATAGACAAGTTCTTCAGTCCCAGGATTTTTGACAACAAGACTGTGGCCGCGCTAGGCGCCGTGACATGGGCTCCGTGCGAGTTTCTGACAGCAACGATTGAATCCTGTTTCGCAGGGCTGGCGACGCTGCGCCGTGAGAGGGTGAGTGGGGCCTTTTTCTCACGTTCCCAAGTGACGTCCGCATCACCTGAAGCAGCGGGCGGCCCCGGTGTTTTGCTCGTCCAGACCGGTCGTGAAAACGAGGTTGCAGCCGGATGGATGCTGGGAGGGGTCGCCGGCTATTGGTGGATAAAATGGATAAAATGCAGGCAACGACGTCATCGGCCAACGACGCTGCCTGATCGCGTCCCAACATGCAGCCAAGCAGCGACTCTGCTCGTAACTGCAACACCTGCGACTTCCGAGCCCGACCCGTCGCCGCGACCTGAGGCCAGAAGAAGCTTTTTGCTGGGGGCACGCCACCCGGCGCCAGAACGCCCCATGCCGAGCGCGGGCTTGGCGCGCGGGCGGAAGATGACGAAGGAGCTCGAGACGGGGCTGCGACGCATGTGGGGATACGAGCGAGCACGCACGAACGAGGCTCCGCCGACTTTCCCCGTGGGCAGTCTCCACTCTCTCCTCGCCGTCTCCACCCCCAGCTTGGCCGACAACGTCGCTGATTCGCTCCCCCGCAGCAGCGCAGCACGACCGCCCGCGAGCCGCCCGTTGTGGGCTGCCGGCACTTAGGCTACCACGTCCCGTCGACGTCTCCCCTCGTCGTGGTGCCTGGCGCCACCGACGATGTCACCCTCGCAAGCTCGTGCGGCGGAAGCTTGGCCGACGCTAGGCGCCTTTGGGCAATGGAGAAGGCTCGGAGACGTGGTGTTTGGAGAAATGCTCGGACTTGCTGGGTGACTATATAGTGAGCGATCTGCTCTCCGTTTGACTTGCCTTTTTGCTGGACCGTCCTCAACCTCACTTCTTCCCCGGCCCTTGAAGTGATACTTCATCCCTCTCCGTCCAATCCGAATCTGGTGTGCTTGAGCCACCATCCTTCACCATGGGTCGGTATACCATCACGAATATTTACGGTAAGTGATCTGTACCTCATACATATTGAACAATGCTGACCTGGCTCAGCCCTGGCGGGTTTTGGCACCGTCGGTGGAGCACTGTTTGGTTTTGATATCAGGTACATTGAACCCCTTGTCCCAACACCACGGCATTCCCTGACTGGTTGATAGCTCCATGAGCGCATGGATTGGCACGGATCAATACAAGGAATACTTCAACCACCCTACCTCGAACATGCAAGGAGGCATTACGGCAGCCATGTCCGGCGGTTCGTTCATCGGTGCATTGGCATCAGGTTACCTTTCCGACAAACTCGGTCGTAGGCGATCTTTAGAGATTGCCGCGTTGGTTTGGATCATTGGTTCTGCAATCCAATGCAGTGCCCAGAATGTCGCCCAGCTCGTCATCGGTCGTGTCATCAACGGTCTATGTGGTATGTTGATATCCGACCCCGGTTGCTTATACACTGTTACTAATGAGTCTCCACAGTTGGTATCACGAGTTCCCAAGTACCGGTCTTCCTCGCCGAGCTCTCTCCTGCCCACATGCGTGGCCGCATCGTCGGTATCCAGCAATGGGCCGTCGAATGGGGCATCCTGATCATGTATCTCATCTCATACGGCTGCACCAAGATCGAAGGTCCCGCGTCTTTCCGTATTGCATGGGGCGTACAAGGCATACCCGCTTTTATCATTCTCGGTTCCCTCTTCTTCTTTCCCGAAAGCCCCCGTTGGCTCGGAGGCCAGGATAGGTGGGAGGAAGCTTTACAAACCTTGGCTATTTTGCACGGCAATGGAGACGTACAGCACCCCGCTGTTCAGGCCGAGTACCTGGAGGGTAAGTCTTCTCTCAGGAAGCAGTGGACTGCTGGATGGAGTCTGCGTTTGTGCTAACGTCAGTTTTCAGTCCGCGAAGCCGTCCGCGTCTCCCGTGAATCCAAGGATCTCAGCATCGTCGGTCTCTTCGGCCCCGACATGTGGCGCCGCACCACGGCCGGCGTCTTCGTCCAGTGCTGGCAGCAGCTCCTGGGCGCCAACGTCATGATGTACTACATTGTTTACATCTTTGAGATGGCAGGGCTTACGGGCAATGTCAACCTGTACAGCTCGGCGATCCAATACGTCATTTTCCTGGTCACAACGGGCGTTACGCTGTGCTTCATCGAGAAGGTCGGACGGCGCGATCTGCTCCTCTACGGTGGTATCCTGGCCATGGCATTCAACTTCGCCGTCGGCGGTATCATGGCCTCGTACGGACACTACGTTCCCGAGCTGAACAACGACCCGACCATCCGCTGGAAGATGCCGTCTGGCCCATCCTCCAAGGCCGTCATCGCGTGCTCGTATATCTTCATTGGCATCTACGGCTTGACTTGGGCTCCCGCAGCCTGGATCTACTGCAGTGAGGTCTTCCCGCTCAAGTGGCGTGCCAAGGGCGTCGGTCTGTCGGCCGCAACCAACTGGATCTTCAATTTCGCACTGTAAGTGCTACATTTGCCAATCGGAGCTGAAAGTGCTTGGCTAACGTTATGCTGCAGCGCCTTTTTCGTGCCTCCCGCTTTCCAAAACATCCAATGGAAAACGTACATGATTTTCGGCGTTTTCTGCTTCGCGGCAACAATTCACATCTTCTTCGCATTCCCGGAGACAGCAGGACGTACGTTGGAGGAGGTCGACGCGCTCTTCGAGCCGGGCGTCAAGCCATGGAAGACGGGTGGCTTACGCAGCTCATTTGGTGACAAGGTCGCAGCGGTCGAGAGCAAGATGGATGATGCTGAGGGCGTCGAGGAGCATGCCGAGAAGGTTGGTGTGGTGAAGGATGAAGGGAGGATGGTTTAGTTGGAGTTTTTTATGACATTATGATATGGTGATGATGGCTATTGTCGTCATTGCTGGATACCCCATATAGAACGAATATATGTACAGCAGTAGTTAAAATTTTCCCTCAAAAGTGGATTGAAGTAAGCTGTCTGTCGTGTATGAGGCCATGCTCTTTTCCTTTTTCAGTAGTTCGCGATGGGATTGCGAAGGTGAATCTCGGGACCTGCAGCGATCCAAGCGTCGTGTCGGGAGACTTTTCAGGTCACGTGCGGAAAAAGAAAAAAAATCTACGGCGCACGCTAACACCGGCTCGCTTATCAAGCACGGACCCTCGAAAAGCTGGTATATAAACGCGCCCTACCTCGGGCTCCTTTCTTCTTCTCCAGTCGACTTTTACTCTAAGAATCATATTCTATAGTAATCGTCCTCTTCTGAGCTCCTTACCAGAGCCACAGAATCTCCAACCTGGCTGATGAGCGCTATCCTCGGCACCCTAGAGTGATACCTTATACTTTTGGCTTTGGCTGAAGTGGTGATGATCTCAACCCTGTCTCGGTGTCTGGCTTCGGTCGGCCTTGCTGGGTGGGTGTCGATGGACGTCTGACAGGCTGCCATTTTCTTCTTTTCGTTGAGCTTTTCGCTATATGCGGGATCTTGAAGAAGAGCGATGCTGCTGCGCGCTTATTGGACGCCAGGGCAGGGGAAGTGATCAACGGCGACAAGGATAGTTTCGCGAGCTTGACGTGGTACGGAGACGCCGTCAAACGGTGGTAGCCTTGCAGAGGCTATCGAGTGGGTTGTCAACGAGAGGTACGGTTGGTGTTGAACGTGTCACTAGGTAGTGCTTTGGAGGTAGACGGCGCAAGTTTACTTGAAAAGATTTCATTGAATCCCTTTGCGTCCGTCCGCACATTAAATGCATGTCGTACGCTGCAGTCGGATGCCTTGGTGCCTTGGTGCCTTGACGCTTCCATCGGATAACACTCGACCGTTGTCCGATGAGATACCCGAAGTCGTGGAGAACGGGGCTCCAGACAGGGATCGTACATCTTACCTACGGAAACGATTTGACGATTACCATGTGAAAGAGCCGCGATTAGAGTCTTCACCTCCAGGACGTGGTGGTGGAGGGACAGCGGGCCGTCTGAAGGGCGTCTGTGAGGGGCCACGCTGCGAGCCAAGCCAGCCCTGCGGAGGAGGGGCATCGTCTCTCACCTGCTGCTGCGCAACGACACACCCCAGAACTCGGCGCGTTTTCCTCACCTCGTCGTTGAACGTCCGGTCGCTCCATGGTACTACGCCGCGCACTCTCGCGCCTGCAATAATCGATGACCTCCCTCCACTTTTCGGGGTCCATGTTTCATTCACTGCGGCGTCGCGCGCTCTGGTGACTGCAGGTTTTATACACTTGCCATGCTACTAACACGGAGCTCTGATCCACCCTCGTTTCTTTGAGACCGCTGCCGTCCGCCCCGACGGTCCGTGGTTCTCTCGAAAGAACAAGAACACCGGCACCTTCCCCTTCAACCAGCCAGCGCAAACTGCAACCTTTGCTTTGAGAACAACGCCCACCCTCTTGAGACGCCGTCGCAACTGCCTCTTCTTCAACCGCATCACTGTGCGACTGTCAAGCACACGGCTTGCAACCCGGCGCGACGTTGTTCCCATCAGCCCATCGGCGCCATGGCAGAACCATGGCATGAGGTGATCGAAATTCTATCTGACAGCGATGATGACCAAGAAGCTGCGAACACTCCTCCAAGTGACTCCATGGAAGATGACGAGTGGATCATCGCTTATAGAGCAGCCGGAATGCCACTTGCCGTCGACCCAACTGAGGCACATGAGGGTGCAGATGTCTCTTCAGAGCGGACTCAAGAGGCTCTCACCGAAGACGATTTCTTGACCAAGGTTCTCGAGGTTTATCCCGACATCGCACATGAACACGTGCGACAACTGCACCGCGATGCCGTTCAAAAAGGCGAAAAGACCGACGTCTCTTGGTGTGAAGTCATCATTGTACGTATTCTGGATGACGGACTTTATCCTAAGGAGAGAGACCGGCGGCGGGATTTAAAGCGAAAGAGACAACCTTCGCCCGCCCCAGAAGACATCGTAACTACGATATGGGGAGATGGACACTATGAAGTTGGATCAAAGCTTTACACTTTATACGCGTAGGTTACGCCCCGAATCAAGATGCAGTGTCCTTTTGTTTGTTGGCACGTGTCGTCATTGACACAGCCTACCTATCCATGTACCAAGCTACATAATCCACAACACCTAATTACTACGCACTAACAAAGTTTGGATAGCACTGAGATTCTCGCCAACGAGTTCTCTTACGTTCCCAAGAAGTTCATCGGCGATACACTGAAGCGAGAGATAACTCTATACCACGCACACGTAGCATTAGAGGAACTCCAACAGAAGGACCACACTCCTTACACTAAAGTCAGAAAGGCTCGCCACCATCAAGAACTCTCGCCAAACATGCCCAATCTATTCAAGGAGCTGGAAGCTGCCAAAAAGAAAATCAAGGGAGATACTGGTAGGTTCCAGTGGTTTCCGTTTTCAAGAAAGAGTCCTCTTAGATTCCCAGTGCTTGATTTGAAGCTAAGAAATTACTAACTTTTGCCAGATAAACGCCTAAAAGCGGAAAAGGAGCGCAAGGCCGAAGAAGAAAATGAACGCGTTTCCCGTGTCGAAGGCAACATTGCGGAATGGTGAATACGCTCTAACCTTTGCCGTTTGTCAAATCATAGCACTGACTATAACAGCGGTTGCTGCTTTACAGAATACCCCACGAACCGCATGACGTTTTGCAACGGCACCGAGACCGATATACATTTTTTCTGCCACGAATGCGCTCAGAGCTACGTCAAAGCAGAGATAGGCCAGGGGAAATGTCGCCCCAAATGCATGGATACGAGCGGTTGCCCTGCAATATTTGCTCGTGCACAGCTGCAAAACTTTCTCGATGAGAAGACTTTTGAGGTTTTGGAGCGGTTCCAGCAACAGGAAGACCTTCGACTTGCCGGCCTAGATGACATGGAAGAATGTCCATTTTGCGATTTCAAGATGATCTGCCTGCCAAAGGAAGTAGATCGGGAGTTCCGATGCCAGCACCCAGACTGCAAGATAGTCAGCTGTCGGCTTTGTCGCATGGAGACACACGTGCCCCTCACGTGTGAACAGGCCTCCAAGGATAAGAAGGTAGACGTACGGCATTTGGTCGAGGAAGCTATGACGGCAGCACTCGTCAGAGAGTGCAAGTAAGTTTTCATTTCCCCCAAACTATTTGTCTTCCATGGCTGACATGTTGTCTCAGCAAATGCAAGAACAAGTTCGTCAAGGAATTCGGTTGCAACAAAATGACTTGTCCGACATGTGGTAATGTTCAGTGGTAAGTCAATTCGGCAATTGCTACGTTCTGTTACTAAACACCTTTAAGCTACATATGCTCCAAGAACACCCGCAGCTACGAACACTTCCAAGATAAACCGGAAAAATGCCCTTTGTATGACAATACCGATGAGCGTCACGACGACGAAGTCAAGAAAGCGGAAGCAGCGGCCTTGGAACAGATCAAGAAGGATCATCCAGAACTACAGAACGAGGATCTTAAGATCGAGGTCTCGGATGCCGTCAAGCAGGTCGAGAAACAGCGCATTCAAAACGGAGCCGCCCGTGTGCCAGTCAACTATGCGATTCCACAACAAGCGCATTTAGTAGGCCAATTTGCGATCCCGCCCGTTGCTGGAAGGCCACTTCACAATGTGGGTGCACCTCACGCCGGAGTACCAGTCGGTATCCCTATTGGATTACCTGGAAACCCTCCAGGGCGTCCAGCCATTATACCTAACTACATACAGCCGCAGCTCCTCCCCCATGATATGCCAGGAAATCCACATGCAAATCCCTTCGGCCAACTGGGGGGCTTAGAAGCATTAATTGGGCTGCCAAACCACGGTTGGAATCCTTTGCGGCCTAACGTTAATAACGGGCTCCGTCCTAACTATGCCGCTCATCAAGCTGGCCTCGCAGCGGTGCAACATGCCATGCTACAACCGGGCGCTCTGGAGCAATTTGGTTGGATCCCAGGTAATCCGGTCATCCACCAATACCCCCACGCGGTCGTAGTTCCTGGTGTCAATGTTGCTCAACCGGCACCAGTCCCCCAGCCTGCAGTCGCCAACCAAGCCCCTCATATGCCGCCAGTCCCGCCAGTTCCGGCAGCTGCCCCTGCTCCTGCAGCTCCCGTAGCCCCGCCAGTCCAGAACTACAACCATGGCCACCGACACGCACGCAGACACCACCATGTACCGGTTGAGGAGCAACCACATCACGCCGGCAGGGAGCGAGCGCGCAGGTGGTGAGCTCCTAGACGCCTCTGACACGCGGGCACTCACACCCTCTCCTTTCTAGCTTGGACGCTTTTCCACCATTTCCGACACGACCAGCATAACGGCTGTATTTCCCTGGGCTCGATCTCCTGCTTGTGCGCAGTCAGTCCATGCAAGCTCCGCGACCTGGTTGCGGCTTGTTCGCGGGACGAGGACTCCGGCGCGCGTAACGACATAGAGTCTCTTTTTTCTCTCAGATCCACACGACCTTATTGATTGACGACGGGCAGATTGTTTCCTGTTTGCTTTTGGGCGGCGGCGAGGCTCGGTTGCTTGCATTGTCCTAGACGCACACACACTCACACACGCATGGGATTCGGTGACTGCAATACCGTACAACGCGATATGGCACCTGCTCGGCCAGCCTTCCTTTCCTTTCGGAAACGATGGCGAATGGCGGCAATGGCGGCGGGCAGGCACACGAGTTTGCTTCTGCTCTTCTCCTTCATTGTCTGCGGTTTTCCTTTTTCCCTTCTCTTTCTTTTTATTCCCTCCTCAGATCGAAAGCTTGTTACCTGGGACGCCGGCGGGTGGATGGGCATTTGCTCGTGCCTGCGGGCGTGACGGGGATGGCGGGGCCTGCGGGCATAGCCCCCCGCTTTGCTTATTTGCTTGCTTGCTTACTTGGGCCTATTTTTCTTTCGAGGCGCGTGCGCGCGTGCTCGGCATACTGGGGTGGTTAATAAATGGATGGACGGGCTAGGGGCACGGGTGGGGCCTACATACATACGTTATGTAGCAGAGCCTGCCTCGCTCCATGTGGAGGACACCTGAGGCATAGTCTAACTGGTACTAGTGGCGTTTGCATGCATTGAGCGTGAGGGTGATGGAAGCTTTGTCACTTGTTTGTGTGAGGGTGAATGGTTTGAATAAACAGTTTATCAATTCAGCACTCGCTCGCTCCCTAGGACTTTCTAACAGACAACAGCACGCTGCCCAGCACGCAGCCCAGACCGGCAGAGGTATCAAGCCAAGAGTAACGCCGTCCCTCGCACGCAAAGAAGAAGCAAGCACACGCAAACGGTCCCACCCATCCACCCATACGCCGAGACACACACACACACACACACACACACACTTACAGCGCCGCCCGCTCCGCACCCACCCTCTTCGTCACAAACGCCGCAAAATACTCATTCAGCGCATCCGCCGTCCCACTGCCCTCCACGAGCCTAACCACGCACCCGACATAGCCATCCGGCCGCACGACAACAACGCCACCGCGCTCCTGACTCAAGCCCATCTTCGCGTGCGCCGGGGCCTTCGCCTCAGGCACGCGCATATCGGGCACGTCGTCCGCGAACACAAGGTCCTTGTATCTTGCCAGCAGCGGGGGCAGCAGCTTGCGGATCTCGATGCCGGCGCGCGGGGCCGCGAGCACGGTCGCGAAGGTCGCGAAGCGCGAGTGCGGGTTGAAGCGCTCGTGGGGGCTGACGGCGGGTTCATCGGCGCGGGCGTAGGCGCGCAGGAAGGAGGTGGGTTTTGCGAGCGCGGTGGCCAGGTTCGCGATTGCGCGCTGGGTGAGGTGCGGAAGCCCGCCGAAGATGTAGATGCGGAAGGAGCCGTTGAGCGGGATTTCTTGCTCGAGGTGCACGATGTTGGCGTCGACAACGCGCGTGACGGTTGCGGGGGTGAGGATGCGGCCGGTGCGGAGGTGCGTGCCGCGCTGGTAGGGGAGGAAGAGCGGCGATGTGGCCGGGTGGCGCTGGATATTTTGGTCGGCGTCGTCGCCTGGGGACCAGTTGAGGACGTTGGGCTTGTAGGCGATGCCGTAGCCTGAGGTGAATTCGCAGCTTTCTTTGAACGTCTTGACGAAGTCGGACTCGTCGGGATGCGCGTCGTGCGTGTTTGCCGCGCCGACTTCGCCTGCCGACGGCTGTCGCGAGGAGAACAGCTTCGCGTATTTGGCGTCGAAGTTGAGCAGGTTGTCGGCGATGTGCCGCCGCTCGGACTCGTACGTCTTGAGGATCGAGCGCTGCGCCCAGCCGGACTCGACGTGGTGGATCTTCCAGGCGAGGTTGGCCGCGTCGAGAAAAGCCGTGTTCATGCCTTGGCCGGCTTTGGGCTGTGTGGCGCGTCAGTGATTGTTTGCGTGATACGTTTCAAGGGAACTCACGCTGTGCGTGTGACAGCAATCACCGCCCATGAATACGCGTTCGTCGAGGGTGTAGCGGTCCGCAAGGCCTTGGCCAATCGGGTAGACAGAGTACCATTCCACGCGATCCCATTCGATGGAGTATGGCTTCAATATCCTTTTTGCCGCATCTTGTACCTGGTTCTCCGTAGCCGTCTTGCGCGGATTCCAATCTGGGTCCGTCGAGGAGGCGATCTGGATGTACAGACGCACCATGTTGGCCTCGCGAGGGATGACCATGATGGAACCGGCATCAGAGTGGATGGTGCATTTCATCTGCTGCGGTCAGCCAAACACCCGGATGCACATGGGAAACTGCGCGAACCTTAATGTCCGGGAAATCAGTGCGGACGACACCATCCATGACGCCCCAAACATAGGCGATCGGGTCCTTGTGTCTTATTTGGATACCGAGTTTGTTCCTGACAAAGCTTCTCGCGCCCTCCCCGCTGAACAGATACTTTGTCCGCATATTCTCCTCCGCCACGCCGTTGATGTGCGCTATGCTGACCTTGACGGGGTACGTCTCGTCCTTGCCGTCATTCTCGAAGCCGGTGATTGTCCAGGGCCGCTGGACCTTTCCGCCGTGCTTCTCAATGTCCTCGATGAAGACTCTCTCAATCAGGCCTTGGTGCAGCAACGTGGTGAAGGGATACCGTGCATCGATAAATTTAGGACAGCTTGCCCAGGTCCCTGTGCGATGGATGCCTTTGGCATCGGGATCCCAGAATGCGACCTCGTAAACTTTGGCGGGATCGTGAGCCATTATCTTCCGCTTTAAACCCATGTTGCGCAAGAGGTCCAAAGATCGCGGCTGGATGCCGTCGGCGCGACCGGTTGGAGTGGGCTCCGGCCTATTGTCGATGTGCTTGATCTTGTAACCCCAGCGTTGGAGGTGGGAGGAGAGCATCAAGCCCACAGGGCCGGCGCCGACGATGACCACGTCGTAGTTCTCCATTTGCGGAGGGTGGTCCGGCGGACAGTGAAGGGGAGAGAAATGTCTGTAGTGAGATAAAGAGGTCCTGTGGTGTCACAAATCACTAGCAACTCACGGAAGCGAGGAAAGGCAGTGTTCAAATAGGTTGATTGGAAATGGCTAAGAGATGATTAGCAGTGGTGGTAGGAGTAAGCTCGGTAGGCAGCAGGCCCACGGCAAAAAAGTCGGGCAAAGGCATTACGATGCTGCGGTGGAATGGAGTGGATTGGCCAAGTGCGGGGCGGGGGGGAAGATGATGGCATGGGCTCTGGGCGGCAGTGATGTCGGCTGGCGGTGTTGAACGGAATCCGGGGTCGGGAAAGCACAGGTCCACCAGCGCCAGCCAACCACGTCGCCCCATGCAACGGCAGGCTTCCCCACACTTCTTGCCGCTATTGCTTGCCGCGGATCGTCAGGGAGGTGTCACAGATGCACCACAACATTTATCCGTCTTTGTTGTACTCCGTAAGCCTCCTGCATGTCTTGTGCTGCATGGATGGATTATAGTAGCAAAAATGTCTCCATAAAGTCCATAGCACGTCCCGTCCCATAGTCAACCAACACAGCATCATGGCCTTGCTCGAGGCCTTTCTCGCTTTCATCTCCCATCATCAGTGCGCAGGCCTCGCCGCGGGCCCTTTTTTGGCCATTCTCCTCTATATAGCATACCAGCGTCTTCTCTCACCGCTAGCCGGCGTGCCAGGGCCCTGCCTTGCCAGTCTGACCAAACTCTGGATCACATGGCACTCCTGGCAAGGGGACCTCCACCGGGTCCTGATCGAGCTCCATAATAAACACGGAGACCTTGTACGCATTTCGCCAAATGAAGTGTAAGCACGGTGTCGGCCTTCCGAAATGGTTAGTCCTGATGTATGACGCAGGAGCGTGGCAGATCTGACGGCCATCAAAAAGATCTATGGTGGGCACAGTGGACTGAAATTGTTTCGTTTACCTGCTTAGCTTGCACAGGTGCCGGATCGAAATTCCAAAAGTCTGATTGGTACAGCGTGTGGCAGGGACACAGGAAGTTCGACCTCTTTGCTGGTCGCGATGAGGCTATTCACGGGCAGCAGCGTCGGCTCGTCAGCAGAGCATACTCAATGGAAGCTCTGAAAGACCTGGAGCACTATGTTGATGACTCGATCAGGACGTTCATGCAAAACATGGAAGACAGGGTAGGAAGCCCCATAGATATGGGGAAATGGGTCCAACTGTTTGCCTTCGGTAAGTTTCTGGGAATGATATTATTCGGACCCATATTGATACAATAAACAGACATCATCGGCGAAATAACCTTCTCCAAAAATTTTGGTTTTATGGACGCAGGCACCGATGATGGTTCCTTCGGAGCAATCGAAATGGCTCTCCGCTCCGCAGCTTGGATCGGGCAGGTGCCGTGCCTGTACTGGGTGCACGACTGGCTGAGTCCTGTAATTGGCAACTGGCTAGGCGTCACAGCACGCAACGGGTCGCTGCGGCAATTCGCACTGCGCGAGACCGAAGCTCGCAAGGGCCGCGGTACCGACCGTAAAGACATCCTGAGCAAGCTGTTTGCCGTGCACAAGGAGCGGCCCGTCGATTTCGACTACAGTGACCTCGTCTCCATGGCTAGCTCGAACATTTTCGCCGGCAGCGACACCACAGCCATCTCGACCCGTGCTATTATCTACTATTTGCTCAAGGACACGGCGTGCAAGCAACGGCTCGTCGAGGAGATCGATGACTTTCGCCGTCGCGGGAAGCTCAGTGATCCGGTAACCCTGGACCAGGCGAACGAGATGCCGTACCTGCAGGCTGTCATGTACGAGGCGCTCCGGTGCCACCCTGCTGTAGGTATGACTTTGCCGCGCGTGGTACCTCCTGGAGGGACCGAGATTGCTGGAAAGTACTTCCCTGCTGGGGCTGTCGTCGGCGTCAATCCATGGGTTGTCCACCGCAACACGGAAGTGTATGGTGATGATGTCGAAGAGTTTCGGCCAGAGCGTTGGCTCAAGGAAGAACACGGGGATATGCGTACGATGCTCGGTTCTCCAACTGTAGAATCAGTGGTAGCTAACTTGGTTTAGACCGCTTCTTCTTCGCCTTCGGAGCCGGCGCGCGCACCTGCATCGGCAAGAGTATGTCTCACGCAGCCCCATTCCTCCTTCCGTTTTCGCTAATTCGGATCGCAGACATCAGCTGGATGGAAATGTCCAAGGTAGGCCAATCCCAACAAGACACCGCATAGTAACGATCCGCAATCAATCACTAACGGCCCATTTATAGCTCATTCCAACTCTTTTCCTTCGCTACGACCTGCAACTTGTCGATCCAACTGCAAATTGGACCGAAACATGCTGGTACGTCTCCCAGTTCCACGTCTGTCTTCGTATCACCTTTCTGAGAGTAGAGCCGCAGGTGGTTTGTGATGCAGCGCGGTATCAACGTCGTTCTGCGCCGTAGGCTGTCAGATCCCCTTTGATCATTTGTGCCCATGCGGTTGGCCACATGTTCAGCCGCGAACCACTCTTTTGATGCACTTGTCAACAATGAGCCGTTTGGTACGGTGATGGCATGCTCTGCGTCTTTTTTTCTGGCTCGTTCTATGTGCCATGTATGCGTACCTTATCGGTAGCTTGAAAGCAATAACTTAACGCCCCCACCATCAAAGAGAGTTCAACTATTAAGGATGTTGTGAGAGATGTGAGGGCCAAACTTCACTAGAACACGCTTGTCCCATTTGACCTGGGGTGAAGTTCGATTACCAGGGTATAGAGCTCGCTCTACATAAATAGAAGTTCCTAAAACCAACTCCGTTCGCCGAATGCGCTAAAACCCAGAAACAATTACCGAGAACATCCTCCTTCAAGCTCAACACATTACCGTAAATCCCTTACTTCAATCTTACAAGCATATCCTCCGGCTTCTCCAACAAGGACCTCACTCGCTCCGCACACCTCGCCGCCATCGCGCCATCAACAACCCTGTGATCCGCACTCCAACTAAGCACGCACTGATCGCTCTTCACAATCGTCCCATCCGCCCCAAACTGCGGCACAGTCTTCATTTGTCCGATGCCCAGAATCCCGACCTGCGGCGGGACGATGACGGGCGCGACAACAGTCCCGCCAATGCTACCTATGTTGCTGACCGTGAACGTCGGGCTCGCAAGATCGGCAGCTGCGAGCTTGCCTGCTTTTGCGCGGTCCGCGAGACGCGAGATCTCCAATGCCAAAGAGATTATGCTGTGGGCTTGGACGTGCCGCACCACAGGCACAACCAGCCCTGAAGGCGTGTCCATCGCGATGCCAATATCGTGCTGTGCTTTGTGGATAAGCTGCGGTTGGGTAGCCGGATTAGGGCCGGGGTTGAGATATGAGTTCAAAATGGGGTAGGAGGTCAGGGCCATGCTGACGGCTTTGACGATGAAGGGGAGGGGAGAGAGTCTCGGTGTGTTGGAGGCGTCGGTCGGCCGGGCGGACTCCTCGTTAAGCCTGTGACGGATAGCGTTGAGGTTGGTGACGTTGACGGTATCGCTGTAGAGGAAGTGCGGGATATTGAGTGAGGTAGTCATGGTTTTGTACATTGCCTTTTGGATAGGCGTGAGACGGATGACCTTGTCTCCGGACGCCGTGGGCTCAGGAGGAGGAGCAGGAGCTTCTGCGCTTTCCTCTGCGCTTTCCCCTACTTCCTCCGAGGTCACATATTTTTGCACATCCTCTTTTAGGACCCTCCCCTCCTTGCCCGTACCCTGTACATCCCTAATGTTGATATTGTATCTTTTAAGCATATGCCGGACTGCCGGCGTCGCAAGATCCGCATATTTGCTATGCGATGGGTCCTGAGAGCCTGCTGGCTCAGGCGAAAAAGACTGGGCAACACTATTGTCCGATATACTCGTTTCGGAGGGCCGCGCTTCGCTCTGTTTCTCCGACGCTTCCGGTGCCTCGTTTCCAGGAGAGTTTATGACATCTTCGTCTGCCGGAGAGATGTCGCTCTGGATGTCTATGTCTACTAGTGGCTGTCAAGACTTAGCTTCATATCATGTAACTGCGTCTACGAAACACGTACCTTGCCTACTTTAGCAACGTCGTCCGCTTCGTAGTAAAGCTTCTTTATGACCCCATCGAAGCGTGAAGTAATCTGCGGCACGTAAGCCCAAGCAATACAACAGCAGCTCCAAGCACATACCTCCACCGTTGCCTTGTCTGACTGCACTTCGCATATCTTGTCGAACTGCTCGACGCGCGCTCCGGGTTGTACGAACCACTGGATAACCTGGCACTCCGTAATGCCTAGAGAAGCCCGTCAGCGCTGATCCTGGAAATCGCAAGCCCTCTTACCTTCTCCAATATCTGCCAGCAAGTATGGCTTAACGGCCAGCTGCGCCGCCGAAGCGTGAAATAGCCGGGAGGGGTGCTGGTGCGGGGTTCGCGGGAATCTGAGGGGCCGGAACGGACGTGGAGCGCGAACGCCAGAGCGGATTACCAACCGCGCATCCCGGGGGACGAAACGCTTCATGGCTAATGGGTGTAATCGTGAAAATAGAGGGCATCGTTGCAGTACCCGACGCTTTATGGAGGGAGGTGTCGGGCTAAACTAAAGCCGAATCAAAGCGGAGCGGAATGCGGAGAAGCTGGGGTAAGCTGCACGTGCTCCTGCGGCTGAAACGGCTTTGCCTTGATATGCAAGCGCAATCCTCGTAATTGCATAATAAACATATAGGTTGAATTGAGCATAATCTGCCTAGGTATATAGAATGTGAAGAGACCAATTCAAAACGCCGCAGAATACCCAAACCCAGCGTGCATCAAACTCCGACACCTCTTTGTACGCGCCTCTTTTTGGTATTCCCAGTGATGGCTTCTCTATGCGCCGTACCAAACGCTAAAACATGCTTGCAAAAATCGTTTTCGAGGAAAGAAAATGTAAAGGAAGATGCGCGGGCATCATGCAGCAGACGGGGCTCTGTCCCTCCTCAGAACTTCTTGCACAACGCCGAGCGACAAGTCCTGCACCTCGGCCATGGTTCCGCTGACGTCGATGCAGAGAACGTCTTTGTCCTTTTCTTCTGAATTTGGCTCTTCCAGACTCTCAAACTGACTGCGCACCATGTTGTCCTTCATGTAATGACCGGGACGAGCGCGCACCCTATTGAGGAGCAGCTCCTCGGACGCCTTGAGGTAAATGAAGTGGACAAGTACGTTTGCATCGTTGTACGAAGCAACGCGGATAACATCGCGGTACTTTTTCTTCAGCGCACTGCAGGTCACGACGACACCGGCTGCACCGGCTTCGAGTTCGGTAACAGCTTGGTCGCGGAGAAGGATGAGCCAGTCCCACCTATCCGCATCCGTGAGGGGAATACCGGCGGCCATTTTTTCTATGTTTGTCTTGGGATGGAACTGCGGGGCTATAAGTAATTATCCGGGGCGGGCTGATAGTTATTACAAACGTACCTCGTCGCCCTCGATGTAAGGAGCCTTCATTTTACCAGCAAGGTATTTTGCGACGGTGCTCTTTCCGCAGCCAGCCGGTCCGGTGACAATCCAGATATGGCGGTGGTGCGGCGGAGCTTGCACACCATTGGCGGTAGGCATAGTGGGGGCCATGGTGTTTGCAGTAGGCTGCGAGCCATAAAGGCTGGGAGTCTTGTCATACGTCAACATGGTGATGGTGATGGATGGATCCAGTGAAGATTTCGCAGCTCTGAGAAGTTGAGTGGGAAAGAGCAGCCCAGGGGCAGAAGGTGTTCAAGTAGTAGGACGGATGAACAGGGGAGAGACAAGGGCAATGCGAAACAGCAGTCAGAAGCAATTAAATGGCGGAGATGTACAATGCACGGAAGCAGGGAGAAATGGACGAAGGATGCCTGGAGGGAAGCGGGCGCAATGCCGTTTTGAAGCAGGCCGAGCGGCATGACGGTTGGCTGTAACCCCAGCCCAACACTTGGGCGCTTGACATCACCGAAGTCGAGGCCGATTTTCAGGCTCCGAGGCTTCGGAAAAGCCAGCGCTGAAAGGGCGCTCGGGCGCAAGCAGCGAATCGCGTGCGCGCCTCACGACCGTCGGCCTTTGAAAACTGGGCAACACGGACGATTAGCGTGGGGTACACTGGTGGTCCAAAGGTCTCAGCGTGGCCCGTCCCCCGCAGTCGTCGTTTTCCAGAAGCGATATACGTGCGACAAAATGCCTCTGGGGCGGCCTCGTGTCAAACGCTCGACGGGCCAGCACATTGCGCGTCAGCCGCCCGGAGAGCCACTGCACGTAATCCCAACGGCCAGCAGCACAGATGGATCATGGGGTTCACCAAGGCACAACGAGTTTCAGCTGAGATGCCGACGTACCGGAAGAACAAACTGCCAACCTAGCGTGGGGGGTTCCGTCCGTCGGCAACCAGCTTCCAGCGCCAGGAAGTTCGGAGCGGACTTCCACACGAGATGATCCTGCCACTGCTCTTGTGCAAACATACCCCGGACGGCATAGCGCGCCTGACCCCGGCCGCAAACAGACGACGGCTGTGCATGGGCGGGCAGGAGGGGAGATGACTCACATGACGCTGTTCGTTCAGAGATTGCCCGATCGACAAAGGGATGGAGGAGCAATTTCTCGAGCCTCCGGGAAGATCCATGTCGACGTAAGAGTCCGTAAGGCTGAGAATGAAGGCCAAGCTTCCAGCCTGGCCGGAACATCTGGCGGCCCGGTGCCCAGCTCCAGCTGCTGGCGTGGAGGTGGACGTGCGGCTCCCACGACACCCCGTCGCATCTCAGCCATCCCCCTCCCCCATCCTCGCGCCAATCAGCCCCGGCGCGCGTCGTGATCCACCATGTCCATCTTCTTCTCCACCCCGGTGGACATTGACATTGTCCTCGAGGACAATGATGAGCGCGCCATGGTCGACGTCAAGCAGGACAAGAACCGGAGGGAGAAGGTGCCGCTGTACATGGACGGCGAGTCGGTCAAGGGCCAGGTCACCGTCAGGCCAAAGGACGGCAAGCGCTTGGAACACACCGGTATCAAGGTGCAATTCATTGGAACCATAGGTCAGCCCAGCCGGAGCTTGCGAGGGGTAGCCGAGCATGCATGACTGACGACCACGGGCGATGCGTAGAGATGTTCTTCGATCGCGGCAACCACTACGAGTTCCTGTCATTGGGCCAGGAGCTCGCTGCGCCGGGCGACCTGCAGCACCCTCAGACCTTCGACTTCAACTTCAAGAACGTGGAGAAACAGTACGAATCATACAATGGCATCAATGTGAAACTGCGCTACTTCGTGCGCGTCACAGTTTCCCGTAGAATGGCGGACGTTGTGCGCGAGAAGGACATCTGGGTCTACTCGTACCGGATACCTCCCGAGACCAACAGCTCCATCAAGATGGACGTTGGTATCGAAGACTGCCTGCACATCGAGTTCGAATACTCCAAATCAAAATACCACCTCAAGGACGTCATCGTCGGGCGCATCTATTTCTTGTTGGTGCGCTTAAAGATCAAGCACATGGAGCTCTCCATCATCAGGAGGGAGACCACCGGAGCTGCGCCGAATCAGTACAATGAAAGCGAGACATTGGTGCGCTTCGAAATCATGGACGGATCACCATCACGCGGTGAGTACCATGAAACGGACTCCCTCCGTTACACCAACTGTCTGCTGACATCTTTACCAGGTGAAACTATACCCATCAGACTGTTCCTCGGTGGTTTCGACCTTACGCCCACTTTCCGCGAGGTCAACAAGAAGTATTCTACCCGATACTACCTCAGCTTGGTGCTCATTGATGAGGGTGCGTACTTTGAAACCTCAATCAGAGTGAAAATTTCCGGTGCTACAACATTACTGACAATCTGTAGATGCTCGCCGCTACTTCAAGCAGTCCGAGATCGTCCTCTACCGCCAAGCACCCGAGGGTCTTGCTGCCGCCGTCGCGCAGAACCAGCAAATCCAGCAGTCATGAAATACCTGATTGCGAACGAACGAATGATGTCATGGGATCATGCGAGTCCTCTGTACCAGATAAACCAAGATCCAGACGAGTAGACGAGCGGCACCTGTGGTATTTCCCCTACACAGCTCACCCGTGTCGCGACATCCATACTCAAAATGCCTCTCTGCAGCCGGACTGCAAGCATAGCGGAAAACCATCCGACCGGCCATCCAACCCGTCTATCCACAACAACAAAATCTCAAGCCATACCAAGCTTGCTTTATGTAATTACCCCAAACAACCAATTCATGAGCTCCACGGCATAGTCGTGTCGAATCCTTGTCAATGTCTCCTGGGGTCCTACCAACAGACGGGCCTTACTCCGTTTAAGACTATGTGACCCCTATACTATTTTTGTATGCAGTCTCATGATCGCCCGCCGCTCACCGTGCGTATTAACCCGAGCTTGGGCTTTAGAGGTCCGGGCCCTCTAGTGGAAGGTACACAGACCCTTCTCTATAGTTCTAGAATCAGCCTTCACGAGGTCCTACAGCACAGCCACACGATGGAGGTTACTGGTCTTCTTGCTCTTGCGGCAATTACGCTGCTGGCCCGGCTCTCGGGCCGCCCGCCCTAGGGTTGGATCTGAGCAACGAGGCACAGGACTTAAAGCCTAAGGTACTCAAATTAAGGTGACATCTAAGGAGTATTCACTGGCGAACATTTGCACCTTGTCACCCTTGAGAAGGGCCTGGGGCAGACTCAAGCCAATGATCCTTGCAAAAAGAAGCGCAGAACTCGTCCAGCCCTCCAACACTGCGGCCCATACCTCAGACTCTTGGGCCTCCGTCAATAGATTTAGACCTTAGAGCTCTCTCCCTAGACGTCGCCCTTTTTCCCTGCGCTACTACCTACCACAGCACCCACCTACTCAGCGTTATATCGCTCCTCCTCACTGCATACCATCCAGTTTATGACATTGCGGGCGTCGCACAGCGCGGGGCGCTTGTTTAGCTCACCGTTCTAAGTGTTGGGCATCGATAAGGGAGAGCAAGATATTGGGATGGCGCAAATGCAGAGTATAACGCGGCACAGAAAGTTGCGACGCAGCTACAGACTATACCGTGAAGAATGGTAGGAAGGCGTAGTGCAACCGGACTTTGTAGGTTGTGTCGGGCGGAGTGGTGTGTGTATTCGCCTGTTCCTTTGACTAGATGTTCACTTCTTAACCACGTGCTGCCTAAGGTCTACCATACCTACGAAGTACTTCTTCTCTAGGCGGTTATACTAAACACGTAAAAGAAACGAAATGGTGTATGTACATGAAGACACAAAATATGCGAGGAGACAAATGTACTCATTAGGATCTGAAGATATAAAACTGTGAGGGTGCCAAAGTACCCTACGAGGGTACGAAGATTCAAAGTTGATAGGTTGAGAAAAGTGATTTTAGCTATACAGTTCTTGTATCATGCGGGGTGGAGAAAGTAGTCAAAAAGGGCCCGTGAGAGAAGATTTCCGATACCGCCTTGTCAGTAGTCGGTGTCTGAGTTGTTGCTCGGGACCTAGCGGGACGGCCCCCGCTAGGCGATCGACGTCAGCCGTCATCGGCAACGCATTGCGCCTACCGAGGGCTTGGGCACCTGCCATCGTCGCGCAGTCACGGGTGCGGTGGATCTTCAACTGGACAAAAGTACATTCAACCTGTGCTGAAACAGACCATAGTAGCAGCACTAGAAGATCTTCACACCGCCACGAAATTATATGTTTCATGTGCCTGTGAAACTTTTTACACCGCTGCGAATCAGCCATGATAATTTTCACTGAGCTAGAACCATCACATGTGGATCTGCCTTACTAGGCATCAGCGCTTAAAATAAGACACCGTGGCTGTGAATTGGCACCACATATAACAAGACACCGTGGCAGCGATAAAAAATGAGGCATTAAAAATTCTCATCCACTTTTCTATATTGCATTGAATGGTTACGTCTGCTTCAAAACCTGCCCCGCAAAACTACCCGGAACCCGCCCAACATGTCCGTAACGCCATTCCACTCGTTTGAAATTCGCCCTGAAGTCGCAACCGCATTCGCAGCCGCATTATCCCTCCGGCGTTATAGAGGCCTGCCGAACGCTCTTAATATATACCCTTCAGGAGGATCGCAAAACTCGGCTTCGGAGGACCCAATCTACACCATACCTTTACCATCACGAAGGAGCTGGTTCATCTCGGGCGACCCTACACTAGAATTGTACCATACCGACACACCACGTGAGGTTGAAGCACGCGCCCTGATCCGGCAGTCATGGGTAGCACCATCTATACGTGGTATCGGTAGTGTTGTATTGACAGCGGGGTCTTACAAACTTGGCTTGCCCGAGAAATACATGGTCTCGCCAAATCTCGGGCTTGGGGAGTGGCACGACGATACTCTTGCACGGCTCATCGGCAGCAACCCAGCCGATGTGCTATGGCAGGCGTCAAGCGTATCCTGGGAGTATGCATTCTCGGGTAGAGTCATAAGGAAATTCGAATGGAAAGGTCGTGGGAAGCCGGTCAACGGAAGCTTGCTGTGTGCTGATAAAGAAAGACTTATTGCTATTTACGCACCACGAAATAGCAATATGAAAAAAGATGGGGACGAGGACATGCAGCAAGACGGAGTTGGACACCTTGGAATAATGATAGAGGACGTGACTGAGGAATTGTTGGAACACTTAATTTTGGTCAGTGTTGCGATTGAAGAACAGATACGAAGTTCGAGCGGATTTTAGGCAGACTATCTCGCTGGGTAGGGAAGCTGAGAACGCTTGGCTTGAAATGGCACGGTTCTAATATCAATTGGTTCGTTGAACTGACTCTGACACGTTAAGCCCTTCCAAGTTTCTCTTTAATTATATTGGTATCAATTTAAGACGAAACAGTTATGTCTCTCACCATCAAACTGTCCATTTCAGTAATGGTCGAAACCTCAATGGACAGTCTGCAGGCGAGAAATATCTCCGTAGAGACAAGGTCTTCTTCTTCGCTAGTCGTTTGAACTTCAGCAGCCACTGTTAAGGTCTGTCGAGTTGATAATCTAGCGATGGTGTGTGAAACGTTGGAGGTAGTGCAACGGACTGGAGATGGGTGTCCTCAAAGGCCTGTAAAATTAGCACACACCGTCTCACCGCAGTCCCAAAACACTGCTTGCCGGCAATGGAATCTTTTGATTATCGTGAAGCCCATAAATCCTTATGCACTCCACACGGACTTGCATGTTGCGAACTGAACATTTGGGACGCCGAAATGGTACTGTATTCCGTTCGCTTGAAACCATGAAAGCCCGCCCGCGCCCTGATGACCGGCTCACCAAGCAATGAGAATTTTCGTCAACCCTTCATCTTTCGCCCAAGACCAATTTACGCCTTCTGCGTCTTGGCCTTGTTGGCCTCACGACCCTTGCTTATCCTCTCAAGGATGTTCTCGCGGTCCTTGTCGAGCTTGAGCTTGGTGAGGACGCACTTGGACGCAGCGATGCCGATCGGGACGGACTGGCCGTTGGACTTGTCGCGGGTGACACGCTCGACGTGGACGACGTACTTGAGGCGGTAGACGGAAGTGATCTTGCCCTCGCGACCCTTGTTGGAGCCACGGGTGATCATAACCTCGTCGTCCTTGCGGATGGGCAGGGAGCGGACCTGCTCGCGAACGCTTGTCAGCACAGGTCCTATTCCATCGCGCTGGTCGGTCTCCTTTGCCCGCTCCAGCCATGAATTGTTTCCGGACGTGGGGATGGCGTACGTTGTACTTCTCGCGCAGCTCCTTGCTGAGAGGGGCGCTCATGATAACGCGGCGAACGCTGGAAGGGGCGCCGAAGTGCGACTTGCGCGACTTCCTCCGCGAGGAGTGGAGAGCTGCATTGCATCCAAATCAGCAACCACGGGCCGCAAGGCAATGAATAAAGAAGCGGCGACTAACAGGTGTTTATCTTAGTCATCTCGGCACACTTTCTTGGGGTTCTTTCAGCGAAATGACAGAGGTGCTGGTAGAAGACCTGGCGGAGCGGGATAGACGGTCAGGTGTTGAAGGCGTCGTCGTCGGTCGTCGTCGTCGTCGTCTTCGGGGAGTCTGGAGTGTGAACTGCAAAATTGCTTGACGAGCGGTCGGGCATATGATTCCCCGACGCCCGTGTGCACGGGCCACTTTTTGACCCAGGACTAAGTCCAGGGAAGTGCATCACCACTCCGCCTCTCAATCGGCCGCACGCGTTGGATACCGACACGTACGCGCCGTTGCGCTGCAACGCGCTCCACCCTCCTTCTCGTCCGGTTGTATACGTGACGAGACGCGCCATCTCCCTCCTTCCCTGGACTCTTTGTATCTACGCCACCGCATCCCTAACGCTGCTCCTTAGCAGGACGTGATTTTCCTTCACATGGCCCGGTCTTGGTCGCGTCCTCACCCTGCATCCGTGTGTTGCGAGTCACTATGGCTCATGAAGACAACTATCAAGGCTACTATGCCCAACCATACGCGTCCTACCAATCCCAAAGATCCGCGTCCACGAGTGCCACCGGCGCATACGCGCAACCTCGCGCTCCCCAAGCTGCACCTGTCTCCGAACCATATCCTTCTTATTCCACACAAGCATACGCACCAGCTGCAACATCCTACAATCTTTCTCAAGACTATTCGTACGGGACCGCGGCGACGTATGGCGGAAGTGCATCATCTGGAGGACAATCTCGCAACGCCGCCTCAGCGGATTTGCAAAACCTAGCTTACGCTTCAGGACTGCATAATTTGGGACAGCGCGTAGCAACGCAGCCCACAACTTCGCCTCCAGTCCCCACAGCGACGCGCACCAGTCTACCTCCGCCGCCCACCCATCAAACACGAACTCCGTCTACATCAGGTGTACAGCAGCGGTCTAGGACTTCACCTCAGGTTTCGAATACCTACCCGACCCCGTTATCGCAGACATCCTATTATGGTAGATCGCTGCCTAGCGTAACACAAACTGCTCCAACCACGACGAACACTCCATCTTATTCTTGGGGCAGCCAGCAGACTGGAACGGATACAACAACTGTAGATCCGACAGCAGTCTACGATCCGTGGCCAGAGTGGCACCGGAAGAGGGAGGCTGAGAAGGCTGCCAAAGCTCTTGAGGAACACGCCCGGGCGCAGCGCGAGCAACAAGAATTGGCGAAAAAGAAAGCCGAGGAAGCAAGGATAGCAGAAGAAGCTCGCAAGGCAGAACAGGAGAAAAGGATAGAACAGGAGCGCCTTGCTGAAGAATCACGGAAAGCAGAGGAACAGAGAAAGGCGGAAGAGCAAAGAAAAGCGGATGAACGGAGAAGACAAGAGGAACAAAAACGTCAAAAAGAGATCCAGACTCAACAACATCAGGCATCATTGGCTGCAAATCAACTGAGCAACACAACAAAGGCCAACACAAAGTCCAAGATGTCGAAAGCTGGTGCTGCTTCATCATCTCAAATTGATTTAGAGGCCCAGATGAGGGCTCTGATGGCGCAAATGAGAGATTTGAATGGGCAAAACCCGGATCTTTTGGCAAAAATCTGGGAGGAAGAGAGAACGTCTCAGTTAAAAAATTCGCCTGGACTATCAGCGGCATTAGTGCAAGGACAGCCTGCACAACCTCATCCTAGATCAGCGCAGTCAACTCGGCCAAGTTCGCAAGTGCAATCTGTGCAGCCGCAATCGCAACCGGCTACTAGACCAGCACAACAAGTTCGACCCAATTCGACGCCGGCAGCCCATGCCCAGCAACATGCTCCGCCTGCGCCGATGCGGCCAACTCAGACGGCCGCACCTGTCCGGAATCAAGGACCCCAGGGGATGCGACTACCTTCAGCCAGACCACCATCAGGAAACACAATGTGGCCGGCAGACAAGAAGGACCAGATTTCGAGAGCGGCATCGACTTGGCTGAACAATATCCCCGATAATTCCAAGAATCCGATTACAGCCGAGGAAATAAAAAACCTTCTTGATCGTAATCCTAAGTATATTGAGCTTTGCGAATGGCTTGAGATGCAGGGCATGAAAATAGAGAGGGCAGCGTTTGCCAGGGCTCTGCTTGCAGCAGTACCCGATATCAATCAGAGCCCAGTGCACCAGAACAAGGCACCGCCAACAGTGGCAGCACAGATCTATGGCGGCGTGGTAAGTTAATGCATGTACAACTAAGCAGTGGTTTTACTGTACCCAGGGAAAATCGCTAACATTAATTTAGCGGCCCCCGCCTCCAACGATTGACCTTACTAGAAAATGCGTTACGCCTGGTAAGTTCACGATAGCGCGACATTGATAGTCTTAGTCTGACAATGATATGCAGTTAGTCAAATCAACCAGCATCCCCAGGTGCCGAGCAATCCGACTCCACAATCGATCATCACACCGAGTGTTCCATATGCAACGCCAGTAACATCTCAGTATCAAAGCCCTTACTATGTCCCTGCGCCGTTTAACGTACCAAGTCATGGAGAAACCGTGTGGCAAACTGGACCTCAACCCCAGTCCCAAAGTTTTCCAGGACATCAACCGCCATCTCAAGTCCCCGTTGCGCGAATGCTACCCCCGCAACAGATCTCTCATCCCACTTCTAGAACAGCGTCGCCGAGCGAGGATTCTCAAAAACCCGCAACCAAGGCCGATGCAGCACGGAAGCGCAACTTTAATGAGATTGTGGATCTCACTTTGTTGTCGGACGAAGATGAACCTCCGATGAAAAGGCAAGAGGCGGAATTTAACGTGGCACCCACTTACGCTCCGCAGCCCGGACATTATCAATCGATTACTCCCATGCCTCCATTGATACATATCGACGAGCGGACCAGAAACATGGACGTGGTACATCCCATTAGTCGGCGCCACGCCCTGCGTCGATCCACGTACGATGTCAAGACCATAGCGCGGGATGTGCTGCTTGCGACGGGCAAGCACCCAGAAATGAGGCCGCTCAACGGCCATCTTGACGTGTTGAAACTCTCTTTCAAGAACGTTGACAACAACGCAGACCTGAGCACTCTAAGATGGGATCTTATAGACCCCGGCGTTCCACCGCCAGATGCTTTCAAGGATATTGCGGATAATGAGACTGATGACACCGACGATGAAGAAGAGGATATTGAAAAGCCGCGAGCTCGTGCGAAACCAGCGCTTCTGGAGCGGGATATGACGAAGAAGGAGGCTCCGCGCTCATTGAGCCCAGTTGTTCCACCACCAAAGAAGCGTGGAAGACCACGCCTCAGCGAGCCAACGTTCAGGCTTCAGCAGCCGCAGGCGGAAGGAGCCGGGAAGCACGGACCAACAAAGAACGCGGGAACTAGTCGCGATCGCGTCGGAACGCCAACCTCCAGACAGCAAACAACTCCTTCAATGTCAGCTCGCAGCGAAGGCGCAAAGCCGTTATCCGCCAGTATTGGTGGAGGTTATTCGGCCTTCCGCTCGCAACAGTTTGCGCCCGACGGCACTCCGTTACCCAAGAAGAAAGGCCGCCCCGTGGGTTGGAGGAAAGACATCCACAGCAAAGAAGCACTGGCGCGGGCAACAGGCTTGACCTCTCCGCCCGCGTCTTCTTCGCGTCAAAGCGCGTCTCGCGCCAGTGGACTGCGCAATGCTCGGCCAGGCAGCGGTGTTGTCGTGATCGAGTCTTCAAAATCTCCCAGCGTTAGCCGGCAGCTTTACAATGTTTACAAATGTCACTGGGATGGCTGCAAGGCTGAGCTTCACAACCTCGATACGTTGCGGAAACACGTCTTTAAGTTCCACCAGTTCAAGGACGGCCACGGCAAATTTCCCTGCTTTTGGGGTGAATGCGACCAGAATTCGAAGTCCCTTAACCCTCGTACTGGAAAGCCGAATGGCTCTAAAGACGTCGAAGGATGGAAGACGCACATCGAGTTTGCGCATCTCGGTCCTACAGCCTGGTCACTAGGGGATGGCCATGCTGGAGGCGTTTCGGGTTAGTCCGTAACTTGCTTTCCCAGTGGGATACTACTAATGAGCTACAGATCCTCCAGATTCTGCTAGTGAATCCTACCTGAGCGACAACCATGGCCGTCAGATTACCCCACGGGTCAAGGCGCCCAGGATGGATGATGCCATGATCGAACCCATTGCGCCGTCGCGACCAGCTCGCGGTCGCCCAAAGTTGAAGTCTGAAGAACAAAAGGCTCAAGAGGCGCAAGCGGCGCTTGTAAAGAAGAAGAAAGAGATTGGGCCCGGATTGGATCGTGGAGGAGCACAATTGGCCAATGACAAAAGAAGATCCGGCTTGATCGACGATGAAGATTTCGAAGAAGTAGTCAGCGACAGTAGCTAATGTTGTTGGTTCGCCGGGTCTTGTGAAATTTTATTGCTTCTTATGTTGGCAGCAAGAAAAACATCGTTAGGCAGGCTACCACATCACTCGCTATATGCGACTGTTCCAGGATAGTCAGAGAGGGCGGATGGCTCCCAGGTCATCGCATAGATGACAGAATGTATGAGTAGTATAATGTTTCTCTAATGCTCGCTAGGAGCACGAATGACTGCTCCACCAACGCCTTGCAATTGTGAATCTTTGGTATCCCGGCTGCCCCAGTTGCAGTTTCTCCTCGCCAGCCATCGTGCAGCCCCGGATTATATGTCCGCAGCGGCAGCACTCCATGAAAAGCAATCGCCCCTGGCCGCCCCGTTTGTTATCTGATAGTTTGGCAGCGGTGTTTCGCGGTACGACTAGTTCTTGGCCTTTGCAGCGGGTATGGCGTCGGCTCTGCGCTTCTCAGACAGAGTCTCGGAATCTTGCGCGTTGACTTCGAGGAAGTGGTAGACGACGATCATGAGCATAGCGGCGCTGCCCAAGAAGATGGCGAGCGTGTAGAGGGACGTGTCGGAGATCATTGTGAATGGATTTGGCGGGTTTCAAGTCCTGATCGTTGCGGGTCAGTCGGGGAAGGGTCCAGAGACAGCGGCTGCAATGATCGTACCTTGATGCAAGCGAGAGTGAAGGCGTGGCGTGGTGAAAGGGAAGCGTACCCGCGTCAATTGATAGGTGTTCCTAAGCTCCCAGGCGAGCATGCGTACTGCGGTGAGCTCTGATCACCCTCGGCAACTTCCGCCATCGCATCCCCACCCAGGAATTGCTCGTCGTCATTTGTCGGTGGATCCTCTTTGCGAAGAACAACCTCGACGCAAAACTTCCCACACCAGCCTCGCGGCACAACACGCGCGCCTGGCCAGCTTCCAATACCCAAAAAGGACCCCTCTCCGCCACTCAGCCAGCAGTCGCAGCACAACACCGCCATCATGCCGCCCAAGAAGCAGCAGCCGGAAAAGCCCAAGGGTGCGAAGGTCAACGTCGACAAGACGTTTGGAATGAAAAACAAGAAGGGCGGTGCCGCTCAGAAGCAGATCAAGCAAATCCAGCAGGCCGCCGCAGCCGGCGGAACGCCCGAACAGAAGAAAAAAGAGGCCGAGAAGAGACAGCGTGAGCTCGAGAAAAAGGCGTCTGAGCAGGCACAGAAGGAGGCAGCTGAGCTCTTCAAGCCCGTGCAGGTGCAGAAAGTACCTTTTGGCGTAGATCCGAAGACGGTGCTGTGCCAGTTCTACAAGAAGGGACATTGCGACAAGGGTAAGTCAAGCTGGGCATCAAGCATCAGACATCAGACGCATGAATAAACCCGAAAGGCTTGTCTTATAATGCAACTGAACAAGGCTAACTTTGGCTGTAACATCAGGCAAGAAATGCAAGTTTTCTCATGACCTAAGTATCGAGCGCAAGGCGGAGAAGAAATCGCTCTATCAAGACCCGCGTGAGCAGGAGAAGGAAGAGAAAGAGAAAGACAAGATGGAGGACTGGGATGAGGAGAAGCTGCGCAAGGTTGTTACGTCAAAGCATGGCAATCCCAAGACGACGACCGATAAGGTTTGCAAGTACTTCATCGAGGCTGTCGAGAACCAGAAGTACGGTTGGTTCTGGCAATGTCCCAATGGCGGCGACAAGTGCATGTATCGCCACACTCTGCCGCCTGGGTTCGTCCTTAAGACCAAGGAACAGCGCGCTGCCGAGAAGGCCCTCATGGACAAGTCGCCACTTGCCACGCTCACTCTTGAGGACTGGCTTGAGTCTGAGCGTCACAAGCTCACCGGTCCCGGTACGCCCGTCACGCCGGAATCGTTCGCCAAGTGGAAGAAGGAGCGTGTCGACAAGAAGCAAGCTGAAGAGGAGGCCAAGCGCGCCAAGGACGCGACTGGCCGTGCCATGTTCGAAAAGGGCGACTGGCAGGACAGCGACAGCGAGGACGAGGATGACGATACCGGTGCATGGAACCTCGAGGCACTCAGGAGAGAGACCGAAGCCGCCAGGGCTCGCAAGGAAGAGGAGCGACTGGCATCGCTCAACGGCGGCAGTTCTGCTACGCAGGTGCCAGCACCGGAGGCGCCAGAGGTGCCCGACGCTCCCTCGGTCGAAGAGGTTGTGTAAAAAGGGGTATTTGGGTGGTGGATGTTTTGAGGAGTTGATGGGTATATCACTTGAAGGGGAGGGTTCCGGTACTGTTGGAATCTCCTTAGAGGCGTTATTGTTTGGGTGTCATGGTTTCACTCCACCATGACCTTACGAGCATTTCTGCGCGGGTGAGTAAGACCCCAATCAGATACGGTCTTGGACACATAGGTACGATCATTTCTATAGATTAGGAACATGGATCGTCTCTTATAGCTTCAAGAAATGAAAAGCACAGGTTTCTTATTAACCGTGTTATCCATCTTTTAACCGATTCTGGTACAATGACAGCTTGTGATTGCAATTATTGCTCACGGGCGACTGACCGCATTCTGAAAATCGTTATCGTATCATGAGCATCTAATCTGGAGTCTATGCTGATAATGCAGACCGCAAACTCTTACTCCACGCTCTACCCAAGACAACCCTTCATACCTCAGGATACACGTCGGTTCTCCTCAGCAGCGGAATTTCCCTCCTGATCTTCTCCACGTAGTCCAAGTCGATATCAGCAAGCGCAATCTCAGGCTCCAATTGGACGCCCTCATTCCCTTCCGTGTGGTCCACGCCGCCCAGCTCCGTAAGCACCTCACCCCACGGCGACACAACCATGCTGTGCCCGTAGCTGCAGCGCTTGGCGTTGTGGAAGCCGGCCTGCGCGGCCGCAATAACGTACGATTGCGTCTCGATGGCGCGGGCGCGCAGCAGTGCCGCCCAATGCGCGCGGCCCGTCGGCACGGTGAACGCGGACGGGTAGGTGATGAGTTGCGCGCCTTGCCGACGCAGTGCAAGCCCAGGCTCGGGGAATCTCAAATCAAAACAAATCAATAAACCAGCCTTGCCAACGGGTGTCGAGAACGGTGGCAGAATTGAATCGCCTCTTTCGACGCTACTGGACGGTTGTTAGTGGGGTTGGTTGCAGGTTGGTTGGGGTAGCTGGTTCTGGAAGGGACGCACTCGCTCTCTTTCATTTTCGGGCCATCTTTGACATCGACGTCGAAGAGGTGCAGCTTTTGGTAGCGCTGCACGATTTTTCCCTCTTCGTTGATCCAGAGCAGCGTGTTTTTGACCTTCTTCCCGTTATCGCCTGGCTCATGCACGCCGACGTTGATGGGCAACTTGGCATTGCGGGCTTCGTCTTGCAGGCCGAGCACAAATTCACTCTCCGTTACGGGCTTAGCCAGGGAGATGGTCTCGTCAGGCGAAGAGCCGATGTAATCGCTGGCTTCCGGCAGGAAGAGAGCCTACTAGAGGACGTGGTTGGTAGTGCTCTTACGGATAAAATGGATGAAAGTGAACTATGGGGTGCAGACCTTTGCGCCTGCTGCAGATGCTTTGGCGACGAGTTGACGACATTGCTTGAGATTGTGCGCCATGCTCGCCGTGGAGCATATCTGACCTACTGCCTACAAAGAGTCAGCTGAAGAACAAGTTAACTGCAAAGCCTTTGTTCGCGATAACCCCAACTTCCGAACTTTAAGTTCCCATGCTCTTAAATATCATGAGACGCCTTATCGCGTAGGCCATTTGAGTTTATTGACATACTCAAAGACCATAGCTTTCGAGAAATGCGTTCGTTTTCTTTGCAGGGTCGTGTCCTGAACATAGATTTCTTACCGCAATAGCCATATTGATTCTAGAAACTGATATGGTCCGCCGTCCGGTTTGCAGAAATTTCCTCGATGTTATTCCTTGTATGAAGGTTCTATACCCGAAGGTTTGAATCGATCCCAATCTCTTTGCAAACATATGCCTTTATATACTCACTTGACCTTAGTGATGACGACGACGAATGGGCATGGCGCTGCGATGGAGGCAAGAGGCGCAGGGGCGTCGGGCCGTTCTTCGATCGCTCGGTTACGCCTTCAGGCCCACTCAATTAGTCGTGGTCGGTTTGCGACTCTACGAATGGCTTCACAGGTGGGCATGAGCATTAGGTTTATGGCGGTATGATAGTTTCTCTGTGCGGATGTCAGGTTTTAATTTCAAAGTGTCAAGTCAGTTTACGTCTGGCTGATATTTGCTTTCTGTCGTAGGGCCAAAAGTCTCCAAGTCAACGTAGTAAGAGCGGGCACAACTAAATTGTTACTCAGGCGCAACATTTGCATTTCTCTCAGGAGGCCCTGAGATGTTCAAGTCTACGTCAGTCGCTAAAATTTAGCTGGACAGAAACTCGAACGTAATGAGCAATCTATTTTAAATAAGTCAGCAGAAAGTAATTCATTACACACGACGCTGTTATGTCTTCCCAATCCGGTGACAGCTAAAGTAGTTTGACCGCGCCTCGAACCATGATTAGCTTGACCAGACCTTGATCCTACAGAATTGCCTAATTGAGACCTCCGAATTACTACCGGCATGCCATAGGGTTTGTGCATCCACGCTTTGCTCTCAAACATCAAACAGACACCAACGACTTCTGTAACGCGGTATTGTTTGATTTGGTCTGACACTCAGCTGATAGGTAAAACTGATTCTTAGAATAGCCCATCCCATAAACACTCGCTTTCAGCCGTCAAACTCCGTTCGACCGCTCCTGTCGCTCCATGTCGACTTGTTTCTTAGCCTGAAGAGAGCGGATATCGGCTGTCCCCCATTTTTGTAGGTTGTTGTTTACCCCGATGAGCTCGACAGCGGTGAAGCGAAGTGGTGCCTTGCAACACAAACTCCAAACGTACCTCCTAATTTTGCCTCAAGTTGATGCTATATGCCGCGTTGTATACCCTACAGCCAATGCACGACAATGCTCGGCTAAATTGTAGGGATAAACTCGCGACCTATGAGATCATCAAATTGAGGGCGTTTCTCCACTTGATATGCGCTGAACGTCTCCAGCAGCTCAGGGCCGTACTAATATGCACGAGGGCTCTCACCGAAAATCCGGGGAAGAGGCTCAAACATACATAGGCTGAAAAGGCGTCGAGACTCGTGCGTCACAGACCATTGGCGTTTATGCTAGCTGAAACAGCAATCTGTGCGCACCGGCGGCCCGCTTTGCAGCTAATAAACAGTCCCTTGAATCTACGGGGTATAAAGATGGGGTGTAATTCCTTTCCCAAGAAGTCAATTCTCTTCTCCATCCCCTATCAACTTCAAAATGCGTTTCGTTACAGCTCTGGTGTCTGTTGTGGTTGCGGTGGCTTCCGCCAATCCTATTCCGGACCCACTCGAGGCCTTCAAACGTGCTGGACCGGCCGCCGGAACGGTCGTAAAGCAATGTACACAACCGGGCATGCTGGCTCTTGCCTTCGATGATGGGCCACACCAGTACACACAAAAACTGGTGGACACGCTCGACGCAGCCGGTGCTAAAGGCACCTTTTTCGTCACTGGCACGCTCTATGGTAAGTAAAAATCGTACCTCCAATCATGGATGTCAAAGCTCTGACAAGTCCTGTCAGGCTGCATCTACAACTCCAAGTCCGCCCTCCAAGCCGCATACAAATCGGGCCACCAGATCGGCTCACACACTTGGGCCCACCCGTCCAACTTTGGCTCTTTGAGCACCGCAGACCTGACGTCGCAGATGCAGCGCCTTGAGGAGGCGCTCGTCAACATCATCGGCGTCAAGCCAACCTACATGCGGCCGCCGTACCTTGCAACTGGCAACAATGTCCAGAGCACCATGGCTAGCCTCGGCTACCGCATCATCACCAATGACGTCGATGCCGGCGACTGGAACGGTTATAGCGTCCAGCAGAGCGAACAGCAGTTTTCCAATGCTGGCGCCAGTGGTAATGGTCACATCCCGCTCATGCATGAGACGTATGAGACAACTGTCAACCAGCTTGTGCCATGGTTGATCAACTGGGCCAAGCAAAACAACCTTAAGCTCGTCACTGTTGGTAAGTACAAACGATCGCTTGCAAAAGATCCGGGCTGACCAAGCGATTTAGCCGAGTGTCTCGGTGACGCCGATGGAGCTTATACCAGTGGCACTGGAAGCTCAGCTCAGACATGCTAAAGAAATGAACGTGAATGTGCTTTTCTTGCACAAGAGCATTCGAAGTATTCGGCCAGGCAGTATGAGAGGCGCTTTTGAAGAACGGCCTAATGGCGGCCAGAGAACCAGAAATGGAACCAGGGAATACTTCGGGATGTTGACTTTCCATGACCAAAATTTATTCAAGGCATCCTTATTTCTCCAGGCCCCGCGCTTTGATAAATCTCGTGATTTGATCCTTACAGGACTTCTCGTTGTAGTTTTCCCAGACTTCGTACAGCGAAATCATTTCTTGAGTACAGTCCGCGACTGCCTCTAGATCCACATTGATTTCTGCAAGCCAGTTCATCATGTGCTGCATCCTGATGGGATTTCCGCCAGTAGTGCCCGCTTGAGGGTTGGACAGGTTGGCCATGGCGCTTTGCATGTTGGCCGCAAGCATCAACAGACCCGCCTGGTTGGGGCCTAGAGTTACAGCCAGAACCATGGCAGTGATGGCGATCACGTGTGGTGGGTGAAGGAGGGGGAGGTCTGTTAGATAATGGTCGTTGATGATGTACTCCGCTTGAGAAAGCTCCTCGTGCGTCAGCTTGAAGCTACTCTGGAGATCAGACAAGCTGCGGTAGGGGTGATGGAGGATGAGCTGCGAGTTCATCTCGGAGATCAAGCCGAACTCGCATTCTCCGAGCTTCGAAGTGTCCGGGAGAAAGGTATCTGGGTGGCTGTTACCATACAGCGGTATGGATTTGACAGGAAGCTGGATGACTGACCTTGCCATGCATTCTTGGCTTCGCCCAGGATCACCCGGATGTGCTGCGGGCTTTCCTCGGTCTTGCATGCCAGGTAGAGGGCAGTTACTAAGACGAGGTTGGGGTTCGTCCTTCGAATTTCTACCTTGGTGTAGACTCTCCGAACGTAGACTTGAGCAGTTGCTATTGCTTGTTGCGCCAACTTCATCCGTCGTTGCAACTTGTTGAGCTCTAACTCGGTTTAGTAGAGGTGCGATAAGCACTGAGGGGTTCAGCCTTACGAGATAAGAAATAAATACTCAGAAGACGTCGGTCTGGCAGGGGGTATTTCTGCACCAGCTCCTTGTTCTCATCTTCGAGGCTGCGCCGGGTGACGGCCAGTTCTTGCTTGGAAAAAGTCCAGAACCGGTGCTGCGACGAGTTCCAGTAGTTGGCCGCCATGATGAGCGAAGGAGACGGGCAAGGTCTTTACGACGATCATCTGTGTAGACTATTCATACTCGTATCGAGCCAGAAGTGGAAAGGACGGATTGCTGATGTTGCGGGGAGGAAAGGAAGGCCAGCCCTAAGCCTCCAGCTTTGGGCGTCAGAAAAGCCAGCAAATGCCGCACAAGGAAGCAGCAAACGTGGCGATTATCTAAAGCAAAATCGAGAAGCAGGCCGCTGAGTGGATGGCAGGGCAAGCTAGATGGGGTGCGTGGACGAGGTGCGGCTAGGGGCGGCGTTGAGTGTTGATCCTCAAGCTTTGCCGGGATGACAAAGGCCAACGCTACCAATGGCCGGGCCTTCTGAACCGCATCACTGCTCCTACACAGGGCCCCACTTCAGCGCATTGCTCCCATGCGCTTTTTGTCTTCAACCAGGCCAGCTCCTCTGACCGACCCTGGCCGACTGACCCTGCTTCGTCTGGCGCGCCCCCCAGCCATGAAAGACCAGAGATAAACGACCTTCAAGCTGGCCGGAGACGATCATGAACCTCGAAACCACCAACGCGCAGGACGCGCGGGTAGAGGCGCTATGGAGGACGCTGGACACACGGAGGCAGGGGCATCTGGATCTCAATGGGCTCAAGAAGGGACTGCGCAAGATGGACCACCGTACGTCGAATAGCTGCCGCACTGGAGACGTCGATCGCTGACGCTTCGGACAGCCCTTAAAAATGCAGACAACCTCCTTAAAGACGTAATGAAGAGCGTGGACGCAGACGGCAACGGGGAGATATCTTACAACGGTCAGCCCTCAATCCCATGCTTTATCGGCGGTTGCGGCATCGCTGACCCCCTGCGAAGAGTTTCGCTCGTTTGTCAAGCAGACCGAGCACGAGCTGTGGCGGCTGTTCAAGAGCATAGACCACAACAATGACGGGAAGCTGGAGAAGGGCGAGTTGCAAACGGCATTTTTGCACGCCGGCCTTGTAGTGCCCAACTCGAAGCTGGATCAGTTCTTCAAGGAAGTCGACTCCAACAACGACGGGGCCATTAGCTTCGATGAATGGCGGTACAGGCCCCTATGCGCCTGCGGAGCCTCATCCGCACCCTGTGGGAGTTTAGCTGACACGTTCGCAGCAATTTTCTGCTTTTCATCCCCAGCGACGCGCCGAATCTGCGACAGGTTCTGTCCTACTATTCATCCACGGTTCAAATGACAGCCGAGGGCGATGTCGCCATCAATGACCAAACATTCAACGGCTTAGGTAGCGTCCTCCAGCTTTTCTTTGGCTCGCTCATTACCATCGCAAAATCCCCGAAACCTCTTCCGTTAGAAGGCCAAACCAATACGTCTTCATTAATGATTGGGGCAAGACCGTCTACCGTGCAGCAGCAGCTTGCTCTCCCGCCCGAAGTAGACCAGGCTGACGCCTCGTTTACGATCGAGGACGAATCCCATGGGACGCTATGGTCATCGCATGTGAAGCCGATGCTGATTTCTCTTGTCCCAAATCCAGGCTACTTTGTGGCGGGAGGCCTAGCTGGCATCGTCTCGCGTACAACCACCGCGCCCCTCGATCGACTGAAAGTGTACCTCATTGCGCAGACTGGGGCCAAAGCGACGGCCGTTGAGGCGGCGAAACAGGGAGCGCCAATCAAAGCAGTTTCACATGGTGTTTCCTCTCTGGCAATTGCGCTGAAAGAGCTATGGGCTGCCGGTGGCATGCGTAGTCTTTACGCAGGTATGAAAAGTACCCATAATATTCTGATTTATTTCAACCTAACAAGCACCCAGGCAACGGTTTGAACGTTGTGAAAGTGATGCCAGAATCCGCAGTCAAGTTTGGTGCTTTCGAAGCTTCTAAACGTGTTTTTGCCAAAATCGAGGGTCACGACAATACAAGGGACATCCATACCTACTCAAAATTCTTGGCAGGCGGCTTCGGAGGCATGGTTTCGCAGTCAGCACACCTCGACTCCTTAAACTATCACACGGGCATTAATCTGTTCATAGGTTCGTTGTTTATCCTCTGGACACATTAAAATTCCGGATGCAATGCGAAACCGTCTCGGGAGGACTTCACGGCAACAAGCTCATCATCGCTACGGCAAAGAAGATGTGGGCTCACGACGGCATGCACTCATTCTACCGCGGGCTTCCTATGGGCCTGATGGGCATCTTCCCCTACGCCGCCATTGACCTAGGCACCTTCGAGTATCTCAAGCGTGCCTTCACGACGTACAACGCAAAGAAGCGCCGCTGCCACGAAGAGCAAGCCGAGCCGGGCAACCTAGTAACAGCGGCGATTGGGGGTTTCAGCGGCGCGTTCGGCGCCAGTCTCGTGTACCCGCTGAACCTGCTCCGGACGCGGCTGCAGAGCCAAGGAACCGTGCTGCACCCGCGCACGTACACGGGCATCGCAGACGTCACCCGGCAGACGATCAACGGCGAGGGCGTGCGCGGCCTCTTCAAGGGCTTGACGCCTAACCTCCTGAAGGTTGTCCCCGCCGTCTCCATCACCTACGTCGTTTACGAGCAAGCAAAGAAGAGTCTCCAGCTCCACTGAGAGGGGGAGACAGCAGCAGACTCGTGTCCGCATTCACTCACCAAAAGCAAGCAACAACAACGACAACGCCGCCAGAGAACGCGCGCGTCTCTTTTCTACTTTTATAAACATCTCGATCTCGTAATCACCACCGCAGTCGAATTCAAAGTCCTTGCAGAAACACAGAGAGAGATACCCACCCCACTTGGGGCGACTTCTTCCGTCCGTCTTTACACCGATGCCAGCCCTTCTTTTTTCCGTTTGTGTTCTAGCGAGGCTGGGGGAAGAGGAGCGAGCATGGCGCCTCTGGCCGATGCTTTTCCTTGGAGCGTGGCGTAAGGCGTGTGAGAGTGGTTGTCTGCGAGGAGCGCAGACGGGAGGACGTGGTGATAGTAGTCGGGCTGTAATTGCGACTGCAGCGGTTTGATTTTGAAAGGTTTTTGTTTTGCGATAGGCATCAGAGGAGGTAAGCTAAGAGAGGCCTGCGGATATATTAGTGGGAGTGGCCTCGCGGCGAGAGCACACAATTAGAGGATCTTGAGGAATCGACTGTTGAAAAGCAAAAACAACGAACACGCGTAGATAAATTCGAGGGATCCTGCCCTTTCCCCCGGTGGTAGTATATGGCCCTACAAGTCCTAGGACTTCCCGGTAGTAGTACCCTAAACGCCGTGCCTATGCTAAACGCCACACTATCACGTTTCCCATCGACCCAACCCAGCTATCCTTCCATACAAATCCAAACACTTCTCGTCGCACCTCTACTTCGTGATGACGATCAACAGTACCAAGATGACAATCAAAACGACAATGATCGTCATGCTCCAGTTCTCGCGTGCGCGGCGGCCGACCTTGGCCAGCCTCTTCCCAGCGCGGTCCAGCTGGCTCTGGTGCCGGTCGACGCCCTCGTCGACTTCGTCCAGCATCAGCACATGCCCGTCCAGCTCGTCGCCAATGGCCATGCTCAGCTCGCGCTGACGCCCGATGCTCTCGCCCAGCCGGTCTAGCTGGTCGTCCTGCTCGCGCAGCACAGAGCGGTGGTAGGCATGGATCTGCTCGTTGGTGAGGGCGCTCTGATCGTTGGCGCCGTCGGCGTCCGGGTCGTCACGGTAAGGGAACAGGGCCGCGCGGTTGGCGGCATCGAGGGCGTCGACATCGTCGTCGGCGGCTGCGGCCGGGTTGTCGGTGAAGCGGACGGCCTTCTTGGGGCCGGTGCTGCGCGACTGGGCGGCGGAGAAGTCGGCAGCGAGGGATGGGTCGTTGGGTGCGGAGATGCTGGCGTGGGGCGGGGCGGCGTTGTTGGCGGGGGCGGAGAACTGGTTCGACAGGTCGGAGTACTGGGCACGGAGACGGGGCAGCTGGTCGCTAAGGGAACTGGAAGACACGGGAGGGGCGCGGTTAGCGGCGGGATTGGCGACGGGTAAAGTCAAAGAGAGACAGTGTGGGTAGAGCGTACTCGTTGGGGTCTTGGTCGAGCTGCGCCTCTATGGCCTCGATGCCCGAGTGCAGCGATTCGAGCGAACGCGAGATCTGGCCATCCTGCGAGTTGGGCGACAAGTTCAGCGAGACGGCGCGCTGGCGCTCGAGCAGGGAGAGCTTGATGTGGTCGGCGAGCAGGAACAGCTGGGCGGGATTGGCCGACATTGCGGAGGTGCGGAGGTGAGCGGAGGTCACTGTCACTGTGTGTGATGTGATGCAATGCGAAGCAAGAAACACCTCAAAGGCGTGACGACTGGTTATGGAGAGAGGGGACAGCTAGTGATGAAAAGTGTAAAAAAAAAAAGGAAGAGCACGCGCTCTGCAGGAAGGCGCGAACGAATGGCGAAGTTGCACGGAGGTTGAAGCTGTCTCAGACAGGTGCGGGCTGATTTGACCGGAAGCGGCAAGGCGGCAGGGCCCCAGACGGCATTCCGTCACGCAGCTGCCCGGCTTCACAAACAAGTGCCCTTCTGTACCACGGCACCCAAAACTCTTATTCTCTCTCTATCAACAGCGCCCCACGGCGCTGTCGTCCCCTTTGCTTTCCCTCTTTTCCCCTTTGCCCTCCACGCTCCTTCACGCCATGTCCGCCAACGATTCCCGCCGCTCCTCCGCTTCCAGTCGGGCTGACACGCCGCTCTTGGAAGCCAGTACGGCTTCGCTGCGCATCGACGACCCCATCGCCGGCCTGACGACGCTCGAGGACGATCTCGTCGTCGGACATCCGCCTAGTGCGCCCTCGCCGCTCGAGCTCCGTGCCTTCGACGTCCGCCCGCCCAAGAGCCGCTTCGCTGCCACGCTCAACCTCGCCCGCCTCGATCTCGTCTCGCCCTGCGACCCCAATCTCAACTGTCCCATTTGCATCGCTCCCATGGTCAACCCCAAGAAGCTCCGCTGCGACCACATCTTCTGCCACGACTGCATCTATCAAACCTTTGCTTTCCAGTCTGGGCCATACCCGACGTGCCCCATGTGCCGCCGGCGCGTCGATGCGGGCGAGGATGTCATGGACGTGCCGAGGGTCCTTAAGCAGATGCTGGATGATTTGATCGTCAAGTGCCCCAACCACGAGCTGGGCTGTGGTTGGAAGGCGAAGCGTGGAGAGGCACAGGAACACATGGACTACTTCTGCGACTATCGCCTGGTCGAGTGTCCATCGGAGAATTGCGTCGAGGCTATGATGCACAAGGACGTCCACAGAGGCTGTTTACACAAGTACATTGTGTGCGAGGACTGCGGAGAGCGCATGATGGAGGTCGAACTAGAGGTATGTTGCAACTGTTCTTCCCATTCTCAGAGGTTAATGTATTTTTGCAGCGTCATCAGCTACAGCAGTGCCCGCACCGCGTCGACACCTGCCCCATGTGCAACGACCAGGTCATCCGCCCGCTCATGAAGAAGCACTGGGACGAGGTCTGCTCGAAATCCGTAATCGCATGCCCCGGCCAGTCCGTTGGTTGCGACCACCAGCGCATCAGAGAAGAAATGCACGAGCACATTCAAGAATGCGTCTTAGCCAGAATCGCTCCGTCTATTCAGAACTCTCTGCAGTCTATGAAGACTCGCCAAGATGATCTTGCTTCGGAGAATGAGCGCCTCCGCCGCCGCGTCGATTACCTTGAGGCTTTCACGAACTCACTCCAGGAGCGTGTCCTTGACACTCTCCCGCCTTCTTCGCTGGAGGGTCTCGGATCGGCCCCGCACATGGTCAATCCGAGCCAGCACCTAGTCGAGTCTCAGGAATTTCTCCGCAACGAGGTTTCGCGCATCAGCGCTGCCGTCGTTGACGCCGAGGCCCGCACTACTCTCCTCGTCCACAACGAGGTCCTTCGCCTCGGCAACGAGATGGCTCGCATCGATGCCGCCGTTGGTGCCACACGCGCCCAGCAGCAGTGGCTCATTAACCAACGTCTCCAGGCCATGGCCCAGATGCGTGCTGCAGCTGCAGCGAACGCCGCCAATACTCCTGGCCATGGTAGTACGACTCCTAGCATTTCCGTTACTCCTGCTGTTTCTTCCTCTGCTAGTACTCAGGCTGGTCCTTCGAGCACAGCCGCTACTATTCCCTCAGCTGTTGCTACAGTTGGCACGGCCGCTTATGGCAGTTCCAGCAGCAACACCAACACGATTCGGCCTCTGCGTCGCCGCTCGAGCGGCGATTCAGGCGGCACCAAGCTATGATTGATATGAATTGACGTTGCGACACGGCATTTACGACTGGCGTTGACATTTTTGACATGCGTTTTCTCTCCACTTTCCGGAGGTTCCAGTCTCTTTTCCATGGAGGATTCTGTTGCAGTACCGGCGATTCTAGCCTTCCAGGCGACCGTAGGGAGGTTTTCTCTCCGGTTCTTTTTTCTGGATCGACAAGACTTTGTTTCAAAGTAGCGTTTCTTTTTTCCCCCTTGCTTCCGATATGGTAAATACCCCCACACAGGAGTTCGAAAAAAGGATGGGGCTGGCATGGATCTGGGCCTTTATTCGTGGGCTTCTCTTTTCTTTTCTTTTCTTCTTTTCTTTTGTTTTCTGTTTACTTTGCTCCACCTAGACAGAGATAGGAAAGTCGCCCTCGCGGGCGCGCAAAAAAAAAAAAAAAATCGACAAAAAATGTATTATATGTAAAATTGGTCCGCCTCGTTGGTTTGAGGTGTCTGTCTATGTGTCAGGGCATGGTGGCTGTATAAATGCGCGGGTCCTGCCTGCTCATCGTGGCCTTTGAGCGCTTAGCAAACTGGGACAAGCGGACGGTATACAAGAACGGTCTATATACTTGTTGGGCGGCTCTGTTGTCATGATGCTAGGGAAGTGCAGAGGGAGTGTTGACATGGCAACAGCTAAGTTGAGAGGGCATGCAATCTTAACCAGCATATAGAATTGTTGATGATTAGTACATGTAGTGCTAACTGATGAATATCGCTGATGACTAGGAATAGTGGTAATCGTGGATAGTTGGAAGTAATGACAATCACCAACGAGACGATTTTGAAATCCTATGCTTGGGGTTGATAAATTACAATTCTTATACTGTCGTTAGGTTTCCAGAGGGCAGACCCCCTCAACGGTAGGGGTTTACCAATGTTAACTTCTATTGTCTCTGAGATCGGATCTCCATGTTAGAATAGAGAGAGAAAACAAAAAGCTCATATCCGTTTTCGATTGAAATACCTTGCGCCAACGCGAGTGACGAACAAGGGCACACACTAAGTAGACGTGACTTGACTAAACATGCTTCGTGTGCATATGGTATGGCTCTTGGTTCTCACTATAATCGAACGAACTCTCAAGAGGACAAAGTGCGAGCGCATCGGAGTGGAGTGGGGCCGCGGTGCAGTAGGAAAAATCGTTGCCACAAGATGCCGCGTATTTAAGCACATTAGGAGGCCACGAATTGTGACTGCGAAGCTTAAACATACATGTTAACTTCCTCTCCGATGCTGCAGTTTTGCGTATACGCATTTTAGACCTATGACGTTCGACCTTGCTAGCGCGCACGCTAGTCCAATGTAGCAATTGCTTTGATTCTGCAACATTGAACGTAGCAAGTAGGATCTAGTATGCCTCTTTTGTTTTCGGTGTATTCAGATGGATCGGATAATCTATATAAACAAATAAATAAACTAATTCTTCAACATTGAACGTAGCAAGTAAGATCTAGTATACCTCTCATGTTTTCGGTGTATCCAGGGGGATCTCGGATAATCCATATAAACAAACAAACAACTACGCTATGACTGGTCGCTGCTAGGTACCTATATAAAAGTAAACATGTACGTGCATCCCGACGCGGCCGTAAACTTGTGTTAATAAGTATCCCATAAACACGGAATAAAATCTGCTATACCTATAGAGTACTCCTTAGACAGCTATGACAAAACATCACGCTACGGCCCGTATTCGCCAGATAGCTACATAAAGGTAAACATATACTAAGTATGGGAGTATTTAACATAACACGGAGGCATAGCTATACAAGAGCGCCAGCGTACTACGAGGGTATGAGAATGGAAAATATATAAGGGTAGAAAGTAAAAACCTATATTTTTACGACAACTACAATCGGAGAGGGAGATATAATTAATCATACCCACAGTGGACGGTACTCCGCAGACGCCAAAGCATGTCAAGTTGCTTTGGGTTCAGTTATCGAAGATACTGCTGTCAAACCAACATGCTCCTGTAAGTAAATGAGAACACTCCCTATAGATCACTTCGTATGTAGACACTGAGTTTGCGTTCGTGGCTGATTTTGTCATCCGTGAGGGTATGTTGATTAAAACGATAGCTCCCACCGACCGTATTTTCTGGGGCATCCGGATGAATTCAATGCATCCGGAGCATTCCGTATCTCTACCACATACGAGTACTTCCAGCCTCGAACACTGACCTATGTAAGTCTCTGATAGAGATGGTTGTTGAGGCTGTTTTGCATGAACAGTCGTCAGCCCAAGCACTATGTTTCGCAAAGTGGGTATATTAGTTTTGTCGTTGTAGTACACTTATCCATACTGATGTACACTCTGCGACGCCTCTCCTCCGTACACCTCAGCCTTACCACAAATGTGCCATAACCGTCTCTTATGATTGCGGCGTTTTAGCATACGAGAGATTAAACGCTGACACTTCGCTCACCCCTCATTTGTTACGTGTCGACCGTCTCCTGGTTCCCTCCGTCTCGGTCTTCGTTGCTGCAACTTTCTTTCCTCCCTTCTTGACAGGAGCCTCTTTGGCCGCATCGTCCTTCTTTGCCTTCTTCGGTGCAGGTTCTTCGTCTTCATCCGCCAGCTCCTCATCTCCCGCATCAGACGCTTCGTCCTCCGATTCTTTCTTGGCCTTAGCTGGGCGTCCTCTCTTAGCTTTGCTAGCAGAGCCGTTGGCCTTAGCCGCCGGCACTGCTTTGGCGCCGCGTTTGCCACGTGTGGGTTTGGCCTCCTCTTCGGGTTCATCTTTAACACCGGCGGCGTTTTTGGTTTCGGAGGCACTCTCGTCCTTGACGTCGGCAGTAACCTCACCAGTCTTCTTCTGGACCCGAGGTACGACTGCTGAGGTGCGGCCGCCGACCTTCAGGAAGATAATTTTGTCGCCATTAGGAAGTTTGTTGGCGTCTTTCTTGCCTTTGCCCCAGCGGTGCTTCATCAGCCAATCATCGGGAAACTGACTCGAATCTCCGCGCGTGCTCACGGCAATGTCGCAGACATTGATGAGGGAGTCGTGCAGTGTCTTGACCTGCTCCTCGCTGAAAGTATTGCTGTACTGCTCTGGATGAATCTTTGCTTGATACAAGACTTCGTCTCTGTGCTTTTGTTAATTGAGACGGCCTCAAGTGAACGAAGGACATAGCTTACCCAACCCAGTTGCCGACACCACTGATATTGGCCTGATCTAACAACAGCGCCTTGATTGGCACCTTCTTGCTCTTAAGTTTCTTGACCAGCCATTCTTGTGTCAAGATGTCTTTGTCGATCACAGGGTCCGGGCCATTCTCTTTCAATGGAGTTGTGTTTCTTAGCTGCTCTCCATCCGCATCGACAAGCCGGATCCTGCCCAGTCGCCTAGGGTCCACGAATGCTGCTTCGCACTTTTCATCTCCATCAACTTCAAGTATGAATTTCCAGTACTTCGGCGGCCATTCCGAGTCCGCCTCTTTGACAGGCTTGTAGTAGGACGTGTCATCATTGGAAAACTTGATCCAGCCGCTCATTCCCAAATGCATGACGGGGTGCGGAGGCGAGTCCATGACCATCCAGAAATATTTGCCTTGTTGGCGCGCATCGAGAACTTTTTTGCCATTCATAGCGGCTGCGAAGGCCGTCGCCGAGGTGCCAACTTTGCCGTAGATGATATCGTCTTCTTGAGTCCGTACATTCTCGATAATCTTGCCGGCGACGTGCTTCTTGAGGAAGTGCACTATGCGCGCAACTTCACCAATCTTTGCCGAAGCTGTTAGAGAGCGTTCAAGAAAATATGTCACAGGCTAGGAAGGAATAAATACCTCGGGCATGATTTCGTTTAAACTTTTCAAAGTCCAGGATGTTGAGGAAGTGAAAAGGTGAATAGAAGGAGTCGCAAACTGGGCAATGGCTAAACTTCCAGCAGACTGACGGGAACTGATCGCGGAAACCAAAGCTGATTGGACGCCGAACTCGGAAAAACAACGTTACTTAAAGCACAGGCACCTTTGAAGTCCGAAAGGTAGCTGGGTTGCACTGAGAATATGTGCTGTAGTTGTCGAGGGAATCGATGACGCTAGACGTCGCCAGAACGCGTTCGACGCGGTGCCGCGCTCTCAGCCTCTCACGCGTCAGAGCGCGCTCGGACCATCTTTCTGAACCCCGCCGGTACCGCCGACATCACTGGCAGCTGACCATTAGTAGAAAGATCGAGAGAAGATTGACTGTGTTGAGTGACTTGTACCAAACTTTATGCCGATATCATGGTTATCCGCCTGCGATCTCGGATGATCCTTGATCTACCCGAGGTCAGGACGATTTAGTCGTGGCTGCTATCATAACGGCTTGGATAAGTCCTGACCGGTTTGTGTGCACCTCATCCGTAGCTCACTAACAGCTCTAAATGCGATTGGAACACTCATTTCACAGTGAGGTTGGCATACTTCATGTACAGTCTTCAGTTGCTTCTAATTAGAAATTAATTTGATTGCTGTCCGGTTGATAATTGGCATCTACTGTAGGTCTGAGCATGTGACAACAGCGGACACGACTAAATCCACCGCGCCTCGATTGCGCCTCAACCGGCAATAGATAAGCCTTTTTACATAATAACCAGCGTTAGTACGTCAAGCTACTCCGCACGCAAACATCTTTAGAAGTTTATATAGCTGTTACTTGGAATCCATCTTCTTTTCTTCATCAATTCTTTGTACTTGCAGCTATGCATGTCGGAGTGCTAGCGCTCTGTGCGGCTTCTCTGTCGTACACGGCTTTTGCTCATAGCAAACATCAACACGAACCCATTTCTCAAGAGAATCTGGATCTTTTAGAGCAAAAATGGGGGACTGATGTAAGTGCTAGTTTCTTGGATTCATGGGTGGTAGTTGACAAGAAATAGTGGGGATTTTCGGGTGTCTCGACCTTCGCGCACCTGCCGCACGTGAGATGCTTGACCAATCCTCAAACGGCTTTTGATATTGCGGTCATTGGAGCTCCTTTTGATACTGCTGTGAGCTATAGACCAGGTAAGCCATTCCAGATATTACCAAGAGAGAACGAAGTAGACTCTTATATAGTAGTTGGGCCATTGCGTTGGCCAGGGTTTTCTGTTTCGACATATCAGGTACTAACGGTTCAAAAGGTGCTCGTTTTGGACCGCGCGCCATTCGCGCGGGGTCTGCACGCCAGACCTCATTCCGTGGCTTCAACCCTCGCGCAGGCATGAATCCTTATACGTCATGGGCTTCGATTATCGACTGCGGTGATATACCCATCACTCCCTTCGACAATGGTCTCGCCCTCCGTCAGATGAGTGAGGCTTTCATCGAGCTTGGAAAGCGGTCTCCTTCGGAGGAGTCCATTGCCTCATCATCTACTTACCGCAGCAAGTCAAAGTTGCTCACACTCGGTGGTGATCACAGTATTGCTCTGCCCGCTCTCAGGGCTCTAAAAAGAATTCATGGCCAGCCAATTGCCGTGGTTCATTTTGACGCTCACCTCGACACATGGCATCCCGCCAAATATCCTTCTGCTTGGATCGATCCTGAAGACGAAGGGACGCAATCCTTCTTCAACCATGGAAGCATGTTCTGGATTGCCTCCACCGAGGGCCTCATCGCCAACGGCTCTTCCGTGCACGCGGGTCTTCGCACGAGGCTTTCTGGAGACGAGCCTGTCGACTGGGAAGACGATGCGGCACAGGGGTGGCGCCGCATCACGAGCGACGACATCGATGATATTGGTACCAAGGGTGTCATCGAATCGATTCTCGAGAATGTCGGCACCGAAATGCCCGTCTACCTGTCGATTGACATTGATGTTATTGACCCTGGCTTTGCGCCTGGTACTGGCACACCTGAGCCTGGTGGATGGACCACTCGCGAGCTCATCAGGATTCTGCGCGGAATCGAGGGGCTAAATGTTGTAGGTGCGGATATCGTCGAGGTCAGCCCTAGTTATGACGGTAGTGGTGAGACGACTGCCCTGGCGGCTGCTCAAGTTGGATATGAAATCTTGACCAGTATGGTTAAAAGAGGGTTAATGGACCAAGGCAAGGTAAAGCCTGCGGGGAAAGAGGGGAAAGGGAAGGATGAGTTGTAAGCTGCACAGTCTCATGAGTTGTAAACAAGTAGAGATAAAGCGACCACGATCTAACGAGAGAATATAACGTCCGTCACCATAAAGCGATATTCACCGCCTTAGGAGATAATGAACATAGTACACAGTAGAAGAAGAAAGCTAGTTGAGATACTTGTAGTATGTATACGCTCCAAGACCCTTTCACTCATATCCAGGATTTAGACATGTAGCTAGACAAGGAGCATTCCATGGCGACTGCTTGTATCCTTCCCCATATCGCTAGACAGTGGACCTCGCTTGACGGTGGCGGACGTTACATGTAGAAATGACCGACGTTATCGGGAGTGAAAACTCTGGAATGAAGGAATACACTGATTATGTCGATATGTGTGAACGATGGCTTGTTTGAAGAATTTTGTCTCTGCCATTCTCGAATTAAGACGTCTGTTTGGTTTGGTTAGCAACGGATTGTAAAGCCGGTTTGACTTGAATGGGATTCGGAGTCTGCCATCGAGAGGCTTGAGGTACAAACAGCTTCGAGCTTCGAGCCTGCAGCCAGTTGATGCGGTGACGTGCAACGGAAAATCTCCGGCATGAAACGAACCATCTCATACAACCCACCAGCTCCAGCGTCAACCTGGCCAGAGCAGGACAACACACTGGAACGAGGCCAATCCACTCGTTACCGCCGGAGGCTCCTTGTACAGATGATTTCGTGAAGATTTCCGTAATCTCCCACCTTCATACGACCCCAGATTATCACACGCGACCGCACCTTCGAGGCCGCCCGCGTCCCGCACACAACACCGATCATAAGCTCCAATTGGAGTAAACTTACCGCAATATGCCTCAACCACTGAGCTCCAAGGAGAACTCGCTGTTTCGCCAGCTTGTCAAGAACTATGAG